AATCGACCTCCAAGCATACCACAGCCGGGCATGGGCTACGTACCCCCTCCACTAAGAATGGCGCCAATGTCTGGTCCTAACGACGAAGGTCGAATGAGAAGTATGTCCAATCGTGAGATGGGCCCGGCATCGCGGGAGCTGCCACGACCACAAGAAATCAGACAGACACTTCCTTCTCCACAGGAATTGCAACTCGGCCATAGGGAGGCTATACCACGCATAGATTCTGGAGACCGACCCTACGAATCTCTACCTCCTGACAGCTTCCCCTTCACAGACAGCAGCCGGCGGAGTCTCGTTCATCCCTCTCCCCGGCACCCAGACGAACCCCATGCACCAGACATTCAAGTCCCCTTAACAACAACGACCGAAAAACGCACAGAATAATGGACATCTTTTTATTGAATAAGTAACGGCACTCTTGTTTTCCCTGTTTCGATGCGACACGATGAATGAGCTACACCATCGATTACTAGCGATAGATAGCATTGATTCGCCCTCCTACCTGCCGATTTGCAAAACCAAAACGAATAACGTACTAAACTGAGGGAAAGAAACTCACGAATTACGCATACTCTCGCGAGTACCGGCCTGTCTTTTCCTCCCATATTTATTCTTTCATCGTCGTTCGGCCCGTTCTTTTTATTTCTCTGCTCCCATTTATTTTGGCTTTCTTTCTCACTTAATAACTTTCTTTTATCTTACTGGGTGGTTCAGCTGAGGTTATGGTTGCCGACGTTGGTGACCATTTCTAATCGATCTACTTGCCGAAAAATTGGATTTTGAAAGACAAGGCTAATGCCGTATGGCTTAGCTTGCCTTACGCGCGTATTTGTCCTGATGAACTACCGGCAACTAGAGCTGTGGACAAATCTCCTCTCTGGACATATTAATTCTCTCTTTTCTCCCAAGCCATCTTTCCGCCTTCTTCGTTCGATGTGCCCAATTCATGACTCGTTGATATGACGAATACGATCCCTTCTGTCTAGCGATTTGCCGTATTAATCGCATGCTCTCTCAGCATTCCATTTCCTGTTCAGATGTTCGATACAGACAGAAAATCTGATGAATATTACGTTGCACATGGGTCTCAGCTACGATAGCTATTTTCCTTCTTACCACTTTGGGTCAGCTTATGATGTTGTTCTTTTTGGTTCTGATCCAATGTCTTCTTGACCACTCAACTTTGCTCCTCCTTGTTTTCATCTCTTCACGTACTTAGAATTTAATGTGTCATGTACATGTACTTATTTACTACTAGTCAGCTTAGTGAGAGGCCTCGATATAGCAGCCACTGGCCATATATAGAGCCAACTATTTTCGACTTTTATCCACCAAAAAAAAAAAAAAACCAAAGCTTGGTACCCGCTTGTATTTTCCTGGCCATGCATTCGAGGCTCCGATTTCGTTGGTGTTGCCGCAAGTTGTAGGACAAAGTATGTACTACTGGACTTGGCGATATCATTTTGGTCATGCGATTTAGCGGTACAAAGGCACTATGATACATCAAAACTCTAAGAGCTACTGCTAGTGAGTGGCTACAGGAATACAAGAGTAGAACATCAAATGAGTAACCACCTATATCTAAGGTATAACAGATTATAGTAGTATTCGCGCATAGTACTGTACCGAACTGCGTCCCTGTAAGGTTCGAGCGGAGGTTATTTCCGTCTAGATAGCTTTATATTGCATAAAATTAAAAGGCCATATTCCCATTCGCGTTGTTAAGGGGTTCGAGCACGTTTAGCACGGTTAAGTAAGCTGCGTAGTTTACCTCCCTGGTTTTCTGAACATGGTGTATCGGTGCCAGTTGTGGTGGCGCCCGTGGCGGTTACCTCGATGGGTGATGTCGATATCGCGGGTTCTTCGAGTCCCGCTCTCAGATCCAATGGATCTGACATTTCTGGAGTTTGTGCTGAGGCTGATCCCTGGCCTAGTTCTTGTTGTTTCTTTTGCTCTTCCAGCTGGGTTCTGATCATGCTTACTGCAGAGCCAAAATTCTGGGCTGATGGCACAGTAATTCTTTTTCCTATTCCCATGGCTGGCTCGCTCATGGTAGTTTCCCTGACCAGCTTCCTTAACTCGTCTTTTCCGTCAACACGACGAGTCAGGTACACCTTCGGCAGTGAGTCGCCTTGTTCCCGGATGCGTTCGACTTCCTTTCGATAGGCTATTTCGTAGATATCGAATTCTGCGGCACCGGGCGATTCGCTTACCATTGGATAATAATCCTCCACTATAGAATCCGGTTCATCGGACGGTATCGTAGTTGTTAGTCCTTCTGAACCCAGAATCATGGGTGGTGCTTCAGCAGTCTTGGTATCCGTAGTGGTCGAACCAGTGAAAGTAGAAGGGCCGATAGACAGGAAAGGGCAGTTCTCTTCCAATGGGTCTCGTGCATGCCCTCGTGTGCCTTCCATGCTGCGCTTAGTTGTAGTCGAACTAGCGCGAGAAAGCGGGGCGGTTGGAGATACAGACGGCAAGTCATCTATTGAATCATCCCTTATTTTAACGCTTCGTATCGAACCGGAGTCCTTCCTTGCTAGTTTGTACGGTATAGCACCGTATCCACTAATAGGATCACTATTATCAGGCAGAGGGTACGGGAGAGGCTCCCGTCGCCGTGGATGAAATCCTTTAATAACATCATCACGCTCCCTGGCACTTCTATTATATGTGTTCAAGCTTTGGCTCTTGTTGAAATGTTCCACACTGGGTACGGACACGCCTTCATCTGGGTCCATTTCCATGGGAGGCTCAACAAAGTGACTTTCATGTTCCTGGCCAAGGATGCTGTGCATGGGTGTTTCAGCTCTAGCTGGACCTAGGAGGCCTTTGAATTTCTTCGCTGCTTTCATCTGTGAAAACTGGTTAGGTCTTTTTTTTTTACGTTGGATGGGGATTATTTGGGTACATACCACAGCCAGAACATGAACGAAATTGTTTGTAATAGCAGAGTTCATTTCCTCTTCTGTCGGCAGGCCGACAATTTCCGCCGTATTATCGCCCTTGGGCAAAAGAGGGTCCATACCATTCTTTGTCACCCAGGGGTGTTCCTATATTCTCGGTTAGGAACAAACATGTTGCCATAAAGCACAGCCACGTACACGTAACTCGTCCATCTGTATCCTTCTCAAGGGTTCCTTTTCCAGGATTTTGGACATTAGATCCCTAAAGGCCTCATCGGGCTCCCCTTCGCAAACAACTGGAACGCTTTTAATAGCTTCGTATAATTCGAAAATGCTGTGCTCTTCGAACGGAAGCTTGCCATATCGTAGACAGTACAGTGTGACTCCCATGGACCATATATCTGCTGCCTTTCCTGAAACATCGCCATGTTTAACAACGCACAGTTCCGGTGGTAGGAAGGCAGGAGACCCAGCAGACTTGGCCGTGAACATATCCGAATCCTTTTCAAACATTTCTGACACTCCAAAGTCAACAACTTTGAGGACATCCTCACTCGTCACCAGGCAATTATCCGGCTTTATATCGCGATGAACAATTCCCTGTGCATGCAGATATTCGATTCCCAGAATAAGGTCACGAAACCAACAGCGACAACGCTCGTCATCGTAAGGGTCCGCCCTCTCATCAAGGCCAACCTTCATGACCACACCTTTTTTGCACATTTCCATAACCATATATAAAGAGTCCTGGCTCGGATCATCCAAAACTTCTATTAGCGATACCAGGTTGCTATGGTGTAACTTCTTCATGATGGCGATTTCCTCCCTAATAAGATAGAGGGCATTCTGCTTTTCTTCGTCCTGTCGATGGAGTGGGGAATTGAGTCCATCAGCAGAGCGCTTTGGGCCCCGGGAGCGTCTAAGAAGATGCGATTTCGCGCGCTTCCTTAAACGAGTTTTCGAAAATTCTTTAACAGCCTGAGAATCGCTTATGAGCTAAACATGCATCGCAGCAAGCCATGGATAGCTGAAGAATCTCACATATTCGTTTCCAAACTGATCAACAGCAACATGCACGGCGCCAAACGAACCGCGACCAATCTCTTGTTTGATGACATATTGGTTAATTCTGTGCTCAGCAGTGCCATCATCCTGGCTGAGAGTATACTCCGATCGAGCATTGAGCGTTTCCTATGCCCCCGGTTAATAAAGATGTATGTTTTGAACAGAAAATGGCAAAGAGATTGGAACGGGAAGCCACCTTTACAGGACGCCGAGCTGTCGGGTTACGGCGATGGTGTCTCCGGGGGCTTTCAAAAGAAGGCGTGGAGCTGAAGAGCAGGATGTAATGTAAGCAACCTCTGCCTCCGGGTCTAATCGACAATTCCCCGCATTGGCTCCGGGGCGTTACCAAAGCTCGAAATAGAAGAGCAACTTACGCATAACGGGCTGGAGTTGGTCGGGGAGGTTGAGAATCAGAGCCGGCAGCGGGCCCTTGACTAGCACTCTGCTGCAGAGAGCTAGAACCCTCGTTGGCCATCGAATATTTGCGCCGCAGAAAACTGACGGCTAGCGGTGAAAGAGACTCGCAGCAGGAATGGTAAATACCGTAGGGACCGAGCAAAAGGATATCCTGGAATCTGGCTGCCTGTCAGAAATGTGGGGGAGGTGGAGGGGCAAAGCGATCGAGATAAGACGCCACTTGCCGTCTGGGAGATTGGGCATTTACGATCAGGGACTCGAAGGGTCAAGGACGAAGATGAGAAAAGCAGGAGGCAAAATAGGATGCTCTGTGCTGGTCCTGCTTGAGCTCCACAGTCAATATATCTCTGTCGGTGGGAGGTGTCGGAATGGGGCCGGAGCTGGAGCTGAGAGCGGGATCAAAGACAAGCTGAACGATGGTTGACCATCGAATAATACGTTGATTCTTTCGACAACAGTAGTCTCTTCCTATATTTAGAACATCGTCGTTATACCAGGTGCAATTGACACCTCTTCCTCCACCTCGACGCCAACTTTTACTTATCATTCAGAGCCAGGCACGAGAAGAAGCAGCTAGTGGTCCCAGTTGCGTCTTGGATGTCAACAAGAGCCGTTCACCGCCCCGATTCGCTCCAGTCCCCTCATCTCCATCACTCCAGCAAATCTCGCCTCTCAATCGGAACAACCTCTAACTACAACATATTTGCTCGTCCCAGCTGGGAGTCGTCGGTCTCCCTGAATTGGACATTCGGCGCTGCCACGTGGTTTCCCGCTTGTGTCGACTCCTGAACACGATGACTGTCTATTCCTTTTACATCTTCGACCGTCATGGTAAAAGCCAAGCATCCCCAACTTTAACTACGGCTGCTAACACTATCTCCTTCCCAGCTGAGTGCATATACAAAAGGCGTTGGCTCCCTCGGCCTACCTCAGCCGTTGGCAAATCCTCGCGACCTACCTCCGATACCCCAACAGTAGCCAATGGTCTCACATCTGTCTCCGGCCCGTCGACGCGGACAACGGACGATGATGCGAAGCTGATTTTCGGGACTGTTTTCTCGCTTCGAAACATGGTGCGGAAGCTAGGAGGGGATGACGACAAGTGAGAACCTTCGATTCGGGATCCCCTCGAGACAACCGAATATTGACGCTGTTTGTTCTAGCTTTGTTACGTATCGCACCAGCCAGTATAAACTTCACTACTACGAGACACCTACGAACATCAAATTCGTGATGCTTACAGACGTCAAGAGCCCAAATATGCGGGTTGCGTTACAACAAATCTACATCAACCTATACGTGGAATATGGTAAAATGACCTGGTATCTCGAGATCAAGAAGCGGTGGTGGCTAATTTGAACAGTTGTCAAGAACCCGCTATCACCCACTGAACACCCCGGTGGTGAAGGTGTGAATAACGAACTTTTCGAACAATCACTGGAGCAATTTGTGGTACGTAGCACCCGAGGTTCTACCTATCCGACATGTGTGTCCTAACTTGTCCAGACCCGCGTCCTCGCCTAAATCAACTTAGGTAGTAGATATCGAGCCGATGGCCTAACTGACACCTAACCCGACCCGCATCGAACCCCTAAATGGAGTATCAACAGCCTTTCGGCTTCTGGCCTATTGAGCCTCCGGCGATCAGAAAGGAACCCACGCGCCGCAGGCCGATTCGGCAGTGCAGCGCACAACAGCGCATCCGATAGCATCGGCACAGGGAACAATCCAGTACGTTGGCGTCTGGGATGCCGGGCAGCTGGCAGCAATGAATACTGACTAGGAGATGCCGTCCCAATCACGGCCGAGAGCCCTGTGCGTTATAACATTGCTTCCCCTACTTCTAGGGCTCTCCGTTGTGACCAAAAAGGAGGCTTTGAAGATATCCACGAACATCCCAAACATGTCCACAATTATGTTCAACTATAACATCATAGATAAACAGTTTTTCATGACACCTGCACCTCGTTATCCCGATTTCTCGTGTTATACATATAACCAAATTTAAGTACCCTATGTTCACGTGTCTCGAGCGCGCCACCCGGCAAGTCATCGGTTAGACCAGCGCTATCTTAAGACTCGGCCTGCGGCTTCGCATGACGAGGCTGTCTTCCTTTGCCGCCCATTATATTAGACCGATCAGCAGCTTCCCTCTCGTCACGGGCTATAATCATTCAGTATCCCATTAGCCTGTCGATCTAGAATCGAGAGATGAGTTGGATTGGATCCGGGTACATACCTAGCTGCGCATCGGTATTCGAAAACGGAGGCTGCATCGGATCGGCATATCGCGCTTCGTCTCGCTGGGTGGGCACTCCCATTGTGAATCCCCAATCACCGGGCTCGTAGACGTAGCTGGTAGGTGCGATCTCCTCGTCCTCTTCAATGGGGATGTAGTCGTCGTTATCGGCCTCGTACTCGTCTTCAGCGGCTCGTCCGGCGCGGTTGGACATCCTGGTCTGCTTTGTTTCTGGTTCGGCTCGGAGCGTCGTATGGTGTGGTATAAAGAGCCTTTCTTTGCGATGGATGGATCTATCATTCGCGGTCGGGGGTGAAATATATATATATAGCGGGTATATATTTCTTTAGGGTGTATGGGGTGGTGAGGGGGTGAACGTCAGGGTTATGTCAACATAAGTGTATGACATGGATGGTTGGGTGATCCGTGGGAACAACTATCAGGAGATTGGTAGGAGGATAAACGATCGAGATTTGCGCAAGAGTCGGCTGGAGTGGTAATCCATGAAAAGTGTCTTATGAATTGGTCCTACCATAGTATCGAAAGTGGTGTGCTAGCAAAATATTGGTAAATATATATAAGAATATCTATTTTTATCCAAACCACCAATAAACTTATGAGTGGCATGGCATCGTCTATTTGAGAAATATAAGGCATGTTCTACAGAAATCTCAAAAGTCCTCATTATTTTGCGAGCGAAATCTCCTACATCTAGTTCAACATCTGCTCGGAACGGGATTGATACACTACAACTCCACAATAAAACCGAGAAAAATGCCAAGAAAAGTATCACTGTAGTCACACACCCATAAGGTGCCCGCTAGAAGATAGATAGGAGCGACAACACAGAACCCAATATTCTGCCGGAGACCCAACACAAAGGAGTCGAATCCAAGAACCAAGTTGATATCCCAGGCGCATTATACATCTGAGACCCGGGCCAATTCCATGCAACCGAGCAGCTGCATGCAGGGTAGAAAAGAAATGCTGGTTGACGTCGAGAGATTTCTGATAGCTCGTGCAGCTCTCCACTGATGACTTTCTGAGTTTCCTAATGCGAATAAGCAGCTTATTCCTTCGGCTGAAAGGTATGGGAAAATCGATGTCCGTGTGTTTGCTGAATTGTCCCCATCGAAGAGTCTTGGTCATTCTTGGCCCGAGAGCAGAGCCGAAGCTTGGGCTGTTGAAACGGGCATCTTGTTGGCTGTTCCGGTATTATTCGTCGAAAGTGGTTCCATTCTCTCCTCCACTTTTAGGCCCCAAATATATTCAAAGCTTGGACTCGAGAGCAAAATAATACGTACTCTGTAGTGAGGACTAAGGCTGAAGCTGTGCGCACTGAGCACAGCGCACAGAGCGACAGCCGGGGTTTGCCGCCGAGTCTTCTCGCGCAAAGGCAAAAAGGCAAAGGCTCACCGTCTGTTCATGGCGTTCGTCACCTCATCTCCATCCCACATTTGGATTCCCACCTGATGATGAGTGCGTGGTTTATTTCTTCCGGGCGGACCAATGGCTTCGCCGGCGATCGCGACAGTGCGATTCTCTCCCTGGGATTAATGACAGTTAGCTGGTAAGATAATCGGACATCCGGGAAGATGCTCGTCACTGAAGTTGAGCTTGGACATTCGTTTACCAGGTCGGGAAGGACACAGGATAAACGACACCAAGGCCGCCAGTGCGGCGACGGGTCAGTCGAACCACGCAGTCACTAACATGGATCTTTCCGCGACGGGCCCGCTTGTCAGCCTCGAGTATCATTACCCGGATAAACTTGGGAAAGAACGATGATGGCGTTGGAAGAGAGTACTCCGCCAGTATGGAGCAATGGCTTATGTGGGCAGTTCGTTTGTCTGACAGGAGGTCGGCAAAAAGACCTACCTACCTAGTAGCTCCTTAGATGGCGTTTTAAGGGAGTGTGCATGAAGCTGGCTGCTTTGCAGTTTGCTGCAACCCACAGACCAAGGGACAACGCCCTATGCTGGAACCCTGATCTTGAAGCGTCGATGGAGTTGAGTTAATCGGAGGCGGTCGAACCCCCTCACACAGCAGTGTGTGGTAGTACGCATCACTCCCAAGTTGTGCTCTGTGGTAATCGGTCACGAGTCCTGCGACAAACCTGAATAATGCAAACTGCCATCTCCATTGACTCTCGCTACCAGATGATTCGAGCACCCCCTCCATAAACGGTGTCCTCTGTACGAAGGAGCGGAAATGCTCTAAATGTGCCAAGCCGACAATTGGCTTCCCATGGCACTCTCGAGAGTGCATATGCAGTGAAAACCAGGGTGGGGATCCTCAAGCACAGGACACCCCATCTTAGCCCGGGAAAAAGTACAGGCACTGGACTCGGTGGCTGTCTCCTCCGTTGACATGCAGCGTGAATGGTGAAGAGTAGGTAATAATAATATAGTAATGCATTCGAATGTTTGTTCAACAGCAGCATCCTCTGCTGCAGCATCCTGTGTGAAGACCCACTCCACGCATCGTGGTCAATAAAGTAAGACTAGGGAATCTCCAACTAAACCCATCTGGTTGGAACCACTTTTTGCTTTTCTCCTTTGATCTCCATCTCTCCCTGCCGCCATTGGTCGGAAAAAATCCCTCGTGCTAATCTGAAATGCTCCATCCCGACCTTATCGACCTTGGTTTCAACTTTCGGGAATGTTCAGGTGCGGAACAACCACCATCCCCCATTCTTTCAAACAATAATACGGGGTTATAGCGTCGGAACTAGGAGCCTATTCACCATGCACGACGATGAATCTGTGGTCAATGGCCGAGGCGTTGTTCCACGGCTGACTTTATGGCATTTTCTTCTTCGTGGCCGCCAGCTGCCTTGTGTGCCTCCCTCCTCAAGCTTCTGCGGGTCGGACTAACGGCCGAGGTCTGGGGAATTGCTCTGGAGACTGCGAGTCGATCGCAGCCGTAAATTGGAGCCGGAGATTTCGAGAGGGCCATGAGTGGTGCTTCAGGAGGTGCCATCACAAAACGAGAGGCAGAACATACTCCGGACTCCATCTATCCACCTTCCAATCGTGGTATTGCACCGGAAACTGGCCGTCACAATACATTCGCCTAGCGTTCGCGCCAGATTACACCGTTAGGTATTACTTACTACCATCCAGCTGCCTGTTTGGGTTGAAACACTGGGAGACTGCGGATTAACCACTAAAGTCAACAGCTATAAGGACGACATCATCGGTCTCGTTGACACATGCTAACCCCACACCGATACTCGACTTCACCCCAATGGAGTTATGTGCATGGCTCAAAGTTTCCCCTGCTTCATAGCCTTTCGTCGTCGAAAGAACTCATGCTTTGATCATCATCTCACCTGAAGAAGCTTTGACTCCCAGAGTCATAGCAGGATGGAGTATCCGAGCGGGCAGAAGCAGATCTGACCGTTATGAAGTAATTGAAGAACTATGATCTAAACGATAGCAGCAAAATCCATTAGGACATCGCGCATTCGGACTTATTTTTACATGCAGAAGGAATATTAAAAAAAAAAAAAAAAGAAAGAAAAGAAAAGAAAAGCTAGACTGCGACCAATCTGCTGGGGTAACAAATCCCCCAGACCCTATACGAGTCGAAGCGACGGAGGAGTTGGCCTTTCCCCTCCATCATCTGTTTGATCCCACTCAGCTACCCCTCAGATGTCTTGAACGCGATATCTTGGCAATTGACACAAAGTTCTCTCGACCAACAGCCACAGCCTGCCGCTCAACAAGACGACAAGAGAGATGACTCCTATTACTAGCGGCATTCGAACCGCACCTAATCAGGACGCGCAAAACCATCCGCGCTTGTAAATGATGATGTGCGGGGACAAGGGTGAAGGGTCGGCTCATTGCTCCAGTACATATCAATAAAATCAATGACTCCTGCACAGCCTCAGCCTGACTTGATGGGAAAGGTCGGAGGGTTGACTAACCTATAGCAAGTCTTTGCCTCTCTTGAGTAATTGTTATCAATTATCCCTCCCAATCCTCCATCATCCGGCTTGTTTTCGAGTCGCTTCTTCTTCTGATAGACTGGCGCCGGCTACCCATAACCCATCAACAGCGCATCAGTCGACTTACCGGTTGATTCCTGGGTGCTCGGAAGCCATGGTTGACCCAGAGTTGGATCCAAGGCACAGCCCTCTGACAGGACACACAGCTCGTCTCATGGAGACAGTGAACTGCGGAGCTTCCCGGAGCAAGAAACGACCGCGCCACTTGGTATTAATAATGATTGCTCATTTATTAACTACCAGAATACTTGTGGCTAGACGGACGGGGGTGTTAGCGGTTTGATTATTATTACTACTCCGTAAAATACTATTATTGTCAAGCGTTTGGAAATTGGTCGAATTAGTTATCATGATGAGGGCAAATATTATTAATCGACAGACGGGCACCACTTTTGGCCGGAGTCGTCAGGTTCCAGTTCCCACCGCGCTTTTTACCGTGGCTGGTTGCGCCAAAGCCCACAAACTTCTGGGGAGGTCGAGTAAGGAAGCGGAGAGCTGCTATCATCACACCACCTGTGCTCAGTGCTGGTAGCTGGCAGCTGATGGCCATGCTTTTGAATAATGCTGATTCAGATTGTCATTTGACGGGTAGAGTGATACTGCGTCGATCATCGTGTGTGGCACGGTGGGCAATTGCGTCCGTTGTCGCTGTAAAATTCCCGATCTGTGGCTGTAACCGTACGATACCGGGCTCTTTCGGTACGGTACCGATTCCTTTGGTAACCAAACGGGGAGGCGGTACGCCTCACGGCCGTGCAGTTCGCCCTCGTTAGGGATCCGCGGCCTCCTAACCAGGTCAAGTTTTGCCTGCTGCAGGCGGTAAATGGTAATGCGTGGGTAATGGATGATGAAAAGGTTCCCACAGTCGTAGCCTGTCGAAAATCGAAATCAACCTGCCTCTTCTGCTCCAGTTTTCTGTGGGAGTGCCGTCGACTCGTTACATAGCTGCTCCCTCTGCTAACTATACAAGTACCGGCTGCTGCTCCTGTTTCTCGCCTCTGCTCTTCTCTCCTAGCAGGCAACTTGAACGCTTTTCCAACTTGATTGTTTCCTTCCACTCCGTCCAGTCTCCCCATACACTCTACTGTTTGCTTAGTTTGCCCCGGCTCGTATAATAATAGCACCACATCATCCTTCTGACTCGACCTCGCCAACTTGCATTCAAAGAGACTATAGAAGCCAAGACTTTCTGTGCTGCTCCACTTGAGCAGCGTCCCATCTGGGCATTCCGTGCCTCGCTCCAGGCTGAACGGTGGTCCTGCACTTTTTTTCCCTTTTCCTTTTTCTTTTTCGAATTTTTTTTTTTATTTTTTTTTTTTAAATTCCAATTTTTTTTTCTGGTTGTGCAGCCCACCGACTTCACTGCCGTCACAGACTAGTGAATGCAGCCTCAGGCCAGCAGCTGCTTCGCCCACCGGTCACGACCGCCGTACCACTTTTTCCAAGTATAATTTCGCTCTCGCCCTCCTTACCCTCGATCTTCTTTCAACTTTCAGCTTCTCAACCTTGGTCTTACTTGGCCTTTCAGCCTTGTGCTGTAGGCTTTCCGAGTCTCTTTGCTCGATTCCCCGAATCTATCTTTACGGGGGCAAATACAGTACCCTTTGTCTACCGTGTTTTACTTCGACACTCACCGCACATGACTCCACCGTCTCCTTCTCCTGTACCCTCCACAGTCTCATCCGCCGCAACTTCACAGATTTCTAGCGACCATGGAGAACGACAGGTAACACAGGCTTTGGCGGGCATGAATTTGTCTGCCGTGAATGGGGACGCGGCACACGCCGTGATTCCCCATTCAGTGAAACCTCCCAAGCAAACCATGGCGAATCGTATATCTCGCATGTTTGCTGGTAACACCGGAAGGTCTACGCCGAGAGAACAAGACTCCTTGCGCGAGCTATCAGATAGCAGTTCTGATGGCGGAAAGCCCGCCGTCAACGGCACTGGCAAGCAGTCCAGGCCATCATCAAGACCTTCATCGAAACCCCCATCTAGAGCCCCATCACGACAAACTTCCACGAAAGACGCGAGTGAAAAGAAGACGAAAGCCACCGGTGGCAAAGATCAAAAGGAAGGATCGACCGGACAGAAGCGCTTCGAGTCCCTCCCTGATAACTCCCATTGCCACCACTTGAAGAGCACTCGACGACAGGAGAAGTTGACCGACCTCCTCCGCGATATGCTCGGTGGTCGGAAGAAGGACGACCATGCCGAGGACCAGCAATTATCTCTAATGTCAACTTGGATTGATCAGTTCAAAAGCGAGCGGGACAAGTTGGCTGCCGACAAGAAAGGCGGTCCTAACGCCACCGCCTCGCTTGTCGATAAGTACGGTAAATGCCAGGAGATCGTCGGACGTGGTGCATTCGGCATTGTCAGAATATCTCACAAGGTCGATCCGAAGGACTCGAAGAGCGAGCAGCTATACGCCGTCAAAGAATTTCGTCGTCGTCCACAAGAAACAAGCAAGAAGTATCAAAAACGTCTAACTTCAGAGTTCTGTATTTCCTCATCTCTTCGACACCCTAATATCATCCACACTCTCGACCTTCTACAGGATGCTAAGGGCGACTACTGCGAAGTTATGGAATACTGTGCTGGCGGTGATCTCTATACTCTTGTGCTGGCTGCAGGAAAACTAGAGGTTGCCGAGGCTGATTGTCTATTCAAACAACTTATGCGTGGCGTTGAGTATATGCACGAGATGGGTGTCGCTCACCGTGACCTCAAGCCCGAAAACCTTCTTTTGACTACTCACGGCGCCCTTAAGATCACAGATTTCGGAAATGGTGAGTGCTTCCGTATGGCATGGGAAAAAGAAGCACATATGACGGCCGGGCTCTGTGGATCTGCGCCTTACATTGCACCCGAAGAGTATGTCGAAAGAGAGTTCGACCCCAGGGCTGTTGATATTTGGGCGTGTGGTGTCATCTACATGGCTATGAGGACAGGACGGCACCTGTGGAAGCTAGCTCGCAAGGACGAGGACGACTTTTATAAACGGTACTTGGAGGGCCGCAAGCATGAGGATGGTTATGCACCTATCGAGACGTTGCATAGGGTAAGGCGTGGCTTATGAACCAAGTCAAAAGTCTCAAGCTAATCTTTATTTCTTTTAGGCACGCTGCCGCAATGTTGTTTACTCTATCCTCGATCCGAACCCATCTCGTCGCATCAACTCATCCCAGATCTTGAAATCCGAATGGGTTCGCGAGATCAGGCTGTGCCAAGCCGGTGAGGAAGGCTTCTGATGTCTTGCATCATATCCCTAATGGCAGGTATCGTCTCCGGAAGGGTTCATTGGACTGGTTTTGTTTGATGCTCATCCGGTCGATGGGTCCCTTGTGGTTGCTTTATTCCTGTCTACCTACCTCCTCTTTCTCAAATAGAAACGGGCGGTTATGTGTTAATCCCTTTCCTTTCCTGGTGGGAGGTTGAGTCCTTCTTTACACTAAATAGAAGGAGGGCCTTTTTTTTTTTTTTTTTGAGATTTCCTACCGTTATGCCAGTGCATGTCTTTTTCACCTCTCCTACCTAGTTTACGGGCTTAGTCTGGCGTCACGTTCTCATGTTAATGCAACGAAGATCATGACTTTTTGACTAGACCTATGGTTCCAGTCCAAACATATATACTTCATATTAACGGCCTCTACGTCTTCTATTTCATTTCCCTCACCTTCCCACGCCCTACTTACAGGCCTATCTGCAAGACCACCCTCTGGCCTTTTATTTTTATTTTGCTTTGGAACCATTTTTTTTTAACCACAAGTCCCGTCTTATTGGCATTTCTTTCAAGATTGCGCTGGTCGTTTTTTGCAGCTCATGGTGGCCCGGGGATATTTCACTTGGGGTCAAACTGTAACACTATTATGCACCCTTTACCTACTATATACTATGGCATTATGTCTCTGTCTCAGATACAGAGGAATGGCGAGTCCATTTGACATTGTGAAACCAGCAAATCCTTTGTTGTTCAAAAGACATTCTTAGTAATATTGATAATCATTAACTAGTTAACTGACTACGTAGTTATTCTCGACCCAAGACGTAACCGCGCAACGCAGTCGACGAATGCATACATCATGTGACCACCAAAGGCAACGCATTACATCATAGCCCACATCCATGCTTAATCCGGACCGCGGACGAGAGATTGGAATCAAATCTTAGTCTTGGGTATTATGTAGTTAGTCTAGGCATTAGTTATTAGAAACCAGCGAGCTTTTCCCCGATGACTTCATTCCAACCCACCCAAACTGTGCGACAGGGATTGTTGGTAGCTTCGGTCCACTTCCCTTTTAGCCTGTACTCTGCTGTATCTACACCGTATACTATTAAATTGACGGTATACATTTCCATCTCCATACTTTCCTAGATTACCCGCCCCCCAAGACGCTACGGGCTTACCGCATAATTAAAGATGGGAGAACTCCATATTCATTTGCCTTTCTCTGGGAGCAGTATGCAGTGTGTAGATCCTTGCATGTGAGTTTATGCAGACAAGGTGCGACATAGGTACTTAGCTAGGTGTTACTTGTTAACTAAAGCTACTTACAGCGATATGATGTTGCGAGTACTGATACTAAGTAGGGCTACATTGCGCGTGAAGTCTGAATTTACTTTTTGACTTTCGTCTTTTGTCTCATTTAAGGATACCGAGAGTTTTAACAGAAATGTTCACATGGGTTAAACTCTTTCATGCCAACTCAAATCCGTTACATATAGTTTATTCTACGGTCTCAAGGTATACCGGCCGGGAGCCCCAGGCACAGAAAACCATAATTTTGCTCCAAGGGCCGAGATCTTTTACGACACCCTTGCCCATCCCCTTGCTGGAGTCCTCTAATGGAACTGTTGCAGGCTGCCATGTTAGATCTGTACCAGTAGTACACAGAATGTGAAAACATACTTGGCGGTCACGAGTGAATCCCGCCCCTGTAGGGAATACGCTGACATGCATAAATCAATGGTCAGATACACGAAGTGTCGAGAGCCTAGCCAGTTCTAATCTCCTGGGAGCGCTCGGGTGATAGGGTTGTCTTGTCGGTTTCTGCACGTTGATCCGGGGCAGTTGATCGTGTTTCACTATTGGTTATTTTGCCGTGCTCTCGGCTTAAGCATGCGACATTGGATTGCCTAGACCCCTTGCTTTGTCCAGGTATTTCTGGAACACTTCCATAAAAGATGGCATGCACCTTGCATGCATTCCCAACCAGAGAGAATGCCGAGAAGGGACTCTGTGTTAAAGAATCGAGGCCATGCAACTCGATAACCAAGTTTGCCCACAACGCCGTGGTCTGTGATGGCCAAGGACCTAGATCAGCTGCAAAATACTGCTGTGGGTTAATAGTGGGACTGTTGAATGAAGGGGCTGGGTAATTCATGCTGTTAGTCAGTGCCAAGTAGAATTTGTATAACCTGATTTATTCCAATCCATACCACATCGGCCACGCCGTATTTTGTCCCCAGGGGATCGTGGCTGGTACCACCTTAACCTCGATCCCGGGCGGAGTGGGCTCGGACAAATCAACAAGAGGATTGATTCCATGGAGGAGAAGGTATGCCTGGCGGTTGCGTTCACTGCACTTAGTCCCTAGCATGTAACTAGCCCAATTAGACTGGGGGTTTATCCATGTTCAAAGCTGATGCAACTTTGCGGTTGAAAGGGGCTAGCAACCCACAGATTCCGCACACTCCCTTCAGAGGAAGGAATCAATAACAGTTCGGCTCCTCGAGGCTGGATGTCTACCTGGAGAGGTCGGTGGAGCTTTGCAAGAGCAGGCAGCACAGTTTTCTGGAATTCTGCTGCGATACAGCAATCACACGGCGTTACAACGCATGGGGCCGTGGGACTCTGTACAGTACTTGCCAAATAACTACACCGGGTCGGGGTCCCGATTGGGCCTTGCGTTCTCAACGGGAGCGTTGGCCATTTTTGAATGGTGCGCTGGTCCTGAATAAGGAGGTCTAGCCTCCGCCGAGACCCCGTTGTACTCATGGTGACTGATATTGCTGGCAAGGGATACTAGGATCCAAAGTTGAGAGTGCTGATGAGGAATAGGGCGATGTTTCGGCGAAATTTGATATTGCTTCCCTCGTGGTTCATCTCGAATGTTACCTGCAATGAACAGCCTCGAAACTTAACGGTTCCTGCTCCCGAGACGGCAGTTGTTGTCGATCGTCCACCACGAGTCTGGGGGAACACAAGTCGTTGTTAGCCGGCTCTGGCACAGCCTGCAGGTCACTTGTTCCAGCTTTCTGCTGAGCAACAAAGGCCGTCATGTGATACTGCGGGTTTTGCAGCTTGCGTTCGATTTGAAGCCAGTTCTGGCAACTGCAAGGAAACGGTATGACCAACAAACTAGTGTAATCTGTACCCGCTGTTTCATAGGGCTGTACTGGTAAATATGTCATGTTTTGTAAATACACAGCCACATACCGGTAGTATATACTTTTGTATGACTTCGTCTTTGTCGATCCGTCGGCTTTTGACTTCGAGTCCTGGTCTTGGGGGATGGCGCAGCATGCAGCAATGAGGGGATGGCTTACTTTGACGTCAGAACTACCCCGAGGCCAACCGACACGCTTCTGTTTGTTCGATCTGGGTATATTGTTTTGACGAGGTTGATTTGTCTCTGAAGCGTGGAGTTCAAGGTCATCACTAATCTTGCTATCATTGGAGCCTTCATCATTTGCATCACTTGGCTTATGCTTCTGTCTAGTTGGCCTACAAACCCGCCGTTCTTGTGAAAGGGCCAGGAATGAGCGACAGCAGAGGCACCATGGAAATGAACCGCGGAGATAATCTTGCATGCCCATTTGCTAGATCTGCGCTGGTACGTTGAAGAAAACTCTGGTCGTTTGTTACTGGGACATCTTGATATGTGGCACGGCACCATGCCCACACCATCAGTCAATGGTAGTATTCGGTGGTGGACACGTTGCTCCCTATATGATTAGAAGAAGAAAAGCATTCCAGGCTATGACAGACGTATATTGATTGTCCAGTATCTCGACGAGGCGTGGGCTTGTAGCTGTGAGGTCCCGGCTACAGAGGCTGTCAACTTGCCTTTTTGCGCCGGATTGCCACGCAAATTTGGTGTGTTTGCTCACTTTGAAGCATGTAGATTGTCAATACTTGATGCTACCTCTCTCACCTTTCTGTCGCTCATATTAGGCCTGTGGATCTAATGTATGTTGTTGCTGCTGGACTACCTCAGGTGACCACTGTGTAGGTTAAGGACCAGGGTAATAACCTAATTATTATCATGTAACAACGCAACAATTTTCTGGCTTTGGATCATCTTCGTCTATAGATTGGATGCTTGCTGCATGTCATGGGCCATTTCAAAATGTCCCTGGGGCACCTTATGAAGCTAGCCGACGGTGCTAGTAGGCTCTGTTGCTTTGTTCATATTGCAATCCGACTCCATCTACAAAAAAGAAATCCTGTAGAATACTAAGTAATTAACCAATCTCCCACTGTAGAATATATATTTCGTCGGAGTGATCCACCTCCAAATGCCGCGCTTTTGTTGAGTATAGATCACTACAATGTGCTCACTAGTTAGCTCGCATCCAATGACTGCAACATTTATAAACAGTTATTTACAGTAATAAAAGACTACAACTTCTGCACTACTTTGGTTAATTGGCTGTTTATAAGGAGTACTATATAGTACTAGAAAACAAAAAGATGAGGCCTGGAGTAAGAAGGTATAAGGTATGCAAAACGGACTGGAAACAACAGAGGTTGGTATTGCTCGGACAGTATGGACTTACTAGGTGATTGTGCTGTAATAATAAAAACAAACCAAGCACTACGTACTCGTAGCCTCACTGGAGTGATAATACAATGAGGGCCTTATCGATTTTGCCATCCTGAAGGAACTAGCACAACGTGTACATCCCACTCCAGTATACTGTGTAGGGCGGCTGTATTTTTCGGTTTCATACAAGTTGTAATCAAAATACACAGCCACACACAGCCACCCCAAGAACAAGGAAGAACATCATCATCAGTCCCGCATTAGGCTTCAATCTTGATTCCCCTCCCTCCTTTCCAGGCCCATGTTCGCTCGACACCAAAACCGACGACTCGATTGAAGCACATCAAATTACCTACTGCGACTCAGATCGGAATCAACTACGATTGACTCTACTCTTGCTCGCAGGAACCGATAACGCGACCGATTAGTGTCCATCATGTCTTGGGCAGGTGCGCATCCAACCGACGGCCTAGAGACTCTGTTTTGAGATACACTAACATGAACATTCTCTGTAGGATTTAAAAAGAATGTGAACCGCGCTACGACGCAGGTTATGATGAAGACGGGTATGCCTACGACAAACCTTACCGCGCAACCGCGATGACCCCAGTGGTGGACCGATATCAGCTGGATTGAATATTGGAAACCGAAACTGCGGCAGATGCTGATCCTACTATTCTACACGTATAGGGCATGTAGAGAGGACGAACGATCGTGATTATGAGATTGAAGAACGGTATAGGAGTCCGAGTATACGGTTTTAGCCGCCTGGGGCTAATTGGTTTTCTTACAGACGATACCGGACCATGGAGGCTGCTGCGAATCGCTTACAGAAGGAAGCCAAGGGCTATCTGGACTCTCTGCGAGGTATGCCAATTGTCTGATAATGTTTACATTGGATGGTGCGCTGATTATTCGCTTTTCGAACAGCGATGACGGCTTCACAGATGCGGATTGCAGAGACGATAGACGCATTCTACGGCGACGCCGGGGCCAATGACGGTGTGAGTAGGAGCTATAAACAGGCTGTTGAGGATCTCGACGCCGAGACAATTAAAGCCTTGGACGGACCGTACAGGTACTGAGCCCCTTTAGTGATACACCTGGTGTTTTTGTGTCTCATACTGACATGCGCTAGGTCAACTGTTCTCGAACCCATTTCCCGCTTCTGTGCCTACTTTCCCGATGTGAACGAGTGCATTAAAAAGAGAAACCACAAGCTGCTTGACTATGACGCTATGAGGGCCAAGGTGAAGCGACTGGTCGAGAAGCCCGACAAGGATGCTACAAAACTGCCCCGCACCGAGCGCGAATTGGAGATGGCCAAACAGGCATATGAGCAGCTGAACGAGCAATTGTTCACGGAACTTCCACAACTTATCGATCTACGAGTCCCATACCTTGACCCAAGCTTCGAAGCCTTGGTGAAGATCCAGTTGCGCTTTTGTGCGGAAGCATACTCTCGCATGGCTCAAGTGCAACAGTATCTTGACGCGGAGACGAGAGACCAGTACGCGCGCGGCGATCTGGATAACAGGGTTGAGGAAGTTCTACAGGAGATTCGGGATTTGAGCATAGCGGGTACTGTTTGATCTCGTTTTTTTTTTCGGGAACGTTTACCGGGTTTGGACCGTAATACATTTGCATGTTGATATATCCATTATCATCCTTTTCATTGTAATCTTGATGAGTTCGTAACGGGTCGCTTTGGGAGAAGTTCAAACGATGCAATTGCTCGGGTATCATCTATCTGTCCATCTATATGCCATAATCTACACTTATATTATACTATAAAAGATTCAGTTGGTGCTTCACCGAGTAGGCTCAGGCTCTGGGTTCCCCCCCCGTACCTGATCCAGCCTCCTCAACCAAAACATCCATCGCAAAACCTGCAGCCCTCTTTATAGCATCCAGCTCTTTGCCCTCCATTGGCGTAAGAACGTATTTCGCGACGTCGTCTGGATTTCGACTCTCCGGCCTCCCGATGCCGACTCCAATGCGCAAGATAGATAGCGCTGGATCGTGCGGATACATCTTCTTCTTCTCCAACCATTTAAAAACATCCTTTAATCCATTATGCCCGCGCAGACTCAAGTTTTCTGGGCCCCCGCGCTTCACGACTACCTTGCCAAGGGGCTTTTCGAGTTCGTCGTGGAGGATAACGAGTGTTAAGCCGCTCGCGGTCGTGTCTGGGTGGTTGATTCGCTTGAACGCGTCAAGTTCGTTGACAAGCTTCTTGCCCGAAGCGTTCATTAGCGACGGACTGTACCATGTTTTGTATCTCGGCGGGAGCTGGGTCCGGAGGAGGGGGGTTATGGCGTCGAGGAGAAGGTGACCGGCACTGTGACGAGTGTCGCGGTAACGGCCTGGGTTCCCGATTGAAGCAATGAAGAGGGAGTGGAGGGGCCGATGACTCATTTTGTTAATGATGAATAGTCACTGAATTGGTCTGTGATGGGCTCGAGCGACTATGAAGACAAGTGGAGTCGGTTGAGCCTGAAGAGTCTCCGAAAGTGAAGCTTTTGACAAATCTTGAGAGTTTGTTCCAGCGGAATGCTGCGGCGGGAGATCGTCAGGTTCGCTGGGAGTGTGGAGAGTCATCACGGAAACTTTTTTTCATTTTCATTTTTATTTTTATTTACTTGAACAATTCCAAATCGCAGCCGAGCTTATTTTGGCTTGTACCAATTTCTCAGGATCGAGTTCTTCAAAGAGAGGAAGGGACTGATCCCCCGTCTCTTGGGTCAGGAACCGATTTGAGCGATGATGGAGCCCAAACCTCCGGTCGGGCATGGGGCGGTATTGACAGTCGACAGTCGAGACTCGAGAGTCGACACGGAGTCAGGTGCTATTTCAAATCCCGTCAGACTCGAACAGCACATCGTCAAGCTTTTGGTCTGATTGGGATAAAGGCCTTGTTTTCCCCAGTCCCTTCCCACTGCACTGGGTCGTTGAATCATCCGGAGAGGACCGATAGCCCGTCCGCGTGTCGCTCCCTACTCTTCTCGGAAACCATCCTCTCTCCATCGAGTCCATCCCAGTCGTGCGGGGCTACGTGAGACGGTTTCGAAGCATCTGAAAGGGTTGTTATTCACCGCTAGCCTGCTTGGCTGGAAGCTGGCCCGGTTTCTTGGTGCTGCTCCTGCCTATCATGGAAGGACTCGGCTGTCTGGGGTTGGTGGCCCGAGATGCTGCGAAGCTTGCGATGCAAGACGGCTGAAGCCATAACGTGTGACGGTCTTCGATTGCTGCACGGTCTGTTTCGGCTCCAACTGCTGCAGCTGTTGGAGGTGGCGATGATAGGTGTGGAATGTGATCGTTGCGCCTGAGGTGATGCAAATGGGTGCCTGAGTCCTGGGCCGACGGCCGAGAGACCCAGACGGGCGGCGCATTGACGCGCTGTCATATCATCCGGTGCTATGATATGATGGAGATCGACATTTGTGATTCGGAGGCTTGTCAGTCGAGACTTCCGTCTGTCGTAAGACACCCTTGATGCGGTGTTCGGTGGATGTGGATAGAAGTCCGAGCTTGCGATCCCACCGCCAACGTCGCCCTGGGGGCCTGGAGGGAAAAGTACCGCAGGCCGCTGTGTCCGTGAGCGCCGGGTGCCAGTGCCCATGAATCCCAAGAGTTTGGGAAGTGGGGAAGGCTGAAACTCGTTTGTCCGCAGGCGTTCGAGAGCCTCGCCGCGTACAACTTGGAGGGAGGCGTGACAATCACAAAGTACTAAAGAGTCGGTGGATTCGTTTCCGCCAGGCCTAACCCAGGCTGAACCAATGGCTGCCATAAATATTGATTAATATTAATTCGTAGTGACAATGACAACTCGCACGCCCATTATTGAGTTCGAGTTAAACGAAACTAAACAATTGTCCGTTTATTAATCTTGGGCTTCCCCTGGGACCGTGCATGTCCTCGAAACATCCGGTTCCCAGTTGACGGGCCAGCCTGTTTCACATCTTATTATTACTTTTGCTCCCTCGCTCCTCGTCCATGTCTACTCGCATTTGACTCTGAAGTACTCGACCTTCACAAGCCCATTTTCCTGCGCTGCGCAATGATTGCTATTTGTTCGAGTTTCCCCGCCCATGCCTGACTCTCGTACATTCCCTCTGTCGCTCCGCCCTTTCTCATCGCCCGAGTTTAAGAATTTACATGGCCACTAGTTGGGATTCGTCATGTCATGGACGAGGCAGCGATTTCAGAAAGTATGCCTGAATCAGTCGGGACAGGCAGTGCCAAAGCAGCTGGAAAGCGTCGCTGGGTGGACGAAGACCCTGAGATGAACTCCGATACAGACTCCGATGAAGTCTCAATGTGAGCAACAGCTCCGGTTTTCTTTCTGCCCCTCTATTGCATATCTTGTTCTAAACTAACAGCACTAGAAAATCCACAAAATCCTTCGAAGCCCAAAACATAGAGTATGTGCTGGAGAATGGCCGTCGGTATTGCAATGATACATACTTCATGCCTAATGACGAGGCCGAACAAACCCGTTTAAATATCACCCACCAAGTGTGTCTCATTCTACTCGATGGAAACCTCATAAACGTGCCCCTCGCCAAGAAGACAGCCCGGATCCTAGACATTGGCACAGGGCCAGGCGACTGGGCCATTGAAATGAGCGCTGCCTACCCTGGTGCCACGATTATCGCAACCGACATCGGTGTATTTGATGGCGGCCTCGGTAGCACCATCGACCTTCCAAACGTGAGCTTCCAGCTTGACGACGCACGAGACGAATGGACATACCACGAGCCATTCGACCTGATCCATCTCCGCGGCCTAGCAGGGGCCTTCTCCGACTGGGCCTCCATATATAAACAGGCCTTTCGCCATCTCACCCCAGGTGGGTATATCGAAATCACTGACGCAGATCCAGCAGCGGATTCAATTACCTTCCCGGACTCGGGTGACTCTTATCTTGGCATATATGCGTCTGCTATGCGCTCCGCCGCTGAGGCCTCAGGACACCCTCGTGACTTGTGCCATCTGGTTCCTGACGTCCTCACCAAGGCGGGGTTTAGTGATGTCCGCATAATAGAGCGCACGATCCCAGTGGGGTTGTGGCCCGAAGGACCCCGCGAAAAGACTCTAGGAAAAATGGCTCTGATTGCACTCCTTGAAGGCTTAGAGGCGTACAGTATGAGACAGCTTACCATGACGGGGAACTGGACGGAAGACGGCGTCCGTGACCTCTGTGAGAAGGTGAAAATGGAATTACTAGCCACCAGGAGGATGGCCTGCCGCATGAAAACAGTAACAGCACGCAAACCATTTTCGAGGCCAAATATGCGCAAGAGTGGTATGCTTCAGAAGTTGAAGCAGCTCGATGATGAGATAAAAGAGAATCCAGGCTCTGTTTGATTTGAGTTTATTTGGTTGGTTTGTTGCAGCTTATACCCATTTGCATTATTGTTATTTTCTCTTCTTTTTTTCATAGATGAAAAGCGACTTTTCACTGTCTTAATTTAAGCGTCCGGGGTTGTGGATGGGGTGGCTGAATGGCGCATGCATGCATCCAAATATTGCAATTATTACTCCGCACAAGTTATAGGGATCTAGAACTTGGCTCGTGCGTACTAAACTTTTTAGATTGCAATATAATTTATCTCGTTGGATTGAGCTATAAACAGTCAAGTACAAAGTGGTATTTACATAAGTATAAAATCAGAGAGATTTGACCCACCCAAATCGGCTTCTTTTGGCAACCAAACTCCATGCGATGCAAATGTAGATAGGCACATGAAATGCAATCACAGCTGGAACAGTGTTCTCTTCTTCTCCATCTTCCCCTTCCACTCCCACTCTTGCCCACTAGCTCTCTGAATTCCCTTATCAACACGGCGCAACTTCAAGGTAAACCTAGGTCCTAGTTCTTGTAAACCCGTCCGGATACCTTCCGCCCCCTTAATTTCCTTCCCATCTGCACCGACAACAGCCTTTTCGGTTTCCCGTTTTTCACGGAAAACGTAACGGTGACGGCGCACGAAGATGTAATCACGCTGGTTGTGAAGCGTTACGACCTGCCGTCCCTCAATGTCTGGCTGTGGCGGGAATAAAGTGCGGAAAAGATGTGCGGTGAGGAGACCAAGCGGTGTGCGGAAATTATTCAGGATAAGTTCGGGCCAGTGCTCAGTTGGGTTGCCGTGGCCTGGGATCCTCTTGCCCTCAACCCAGTTGCTGATGCTGAAATGGAACATGGGGCCCTTGGGCAGGTGCACGATATCCAGGCCTGCTGGCTTTTTGGCATCTTCTTGTAGAATTACTAGGGTTGTGTACTCGCGGTTAGAGGCGAATTGCGCGATCTCCCGGATGGAGAACTTGTGCGAGTGGGCGTGGGCTGTACGTCGGATGTAGACGCTGTTGGGGAAGAGTTGGGTAAGGATTTTGCCTTCGTGGTGGAGGGTTGAATTGAGAGAGGTTGTGATTAGGATTTTTGGCGGCCGTTGAGAGTCCGGCGAGAAGAGGGATGGAAACTTCGCAGCTAGAGCTTCCGGTGCGAGGTTGAGGTTTGTGCTCCGTGTTGATTGGGAAGGACTGGTTGCACGCTCCGTCGCTGAAGGGACAGCAGACGGTTTCTGGCCGCGACTGTTTTTCGTGCGTTCGCCGTCCTCGCCGTCCTCTCCGTCCTCATCGTCGCTGCTAGCCAGCATACTGTCGACATCATCATCATCATCATCATCATCGTTATCATCATTTTCATCCCCTGAATCCGAGTCCAAAGGGCGATTGAGTTCCTCGTCTTCCTCCTGTTTTTGTCTCTTTATACGTTCGACATCGACACTGAGCCCTAATGGTTCTTCAGTGTCGCTTCCGGCCTCATCCCACACACGCTTCCGATCCAGAGTCAAAGGAATGTTCCGCTTAAGTCGTTCCTCCTTTAATTTGGGGTTTTTGGCTTCTTCCTTCTTCGTCCCGAATCGCTGAGCCCGACGAGCGGAGTCTTTCGCACGCTTTCGCTTGATATGAAGAAGTTGGCGCTTTTGTTTGTTGCGGGTTTTGAAATCCATAACCGCGCTCGATGGCGGCCTTGACAGTGATTTTTTGGAGACCATACTGAAATATGGGCCGAGGAGAGTTCGTATATGGTTGCTTCAAGCTCTCATTCTGCCTGGGCTTTTTTTTTTTATTTCTTTGGCGGAGATATTTTTTTGGACGGATAAAGGTTGGACCGGAGCAGGCGGTCGGAGAGGCGTATTGACCGTACAAACATTACGCCTGCGCCGTCTTTTTTTGTATGGACTGACTCGACTGGCTGCCCCTGGAAGCTTCAATAATTTCCTCTATTTCCGTTTAAAGCGAGAATTTGAGCGCATTCTCTTGCATATCCGCTCGTTAATACTTCATGCTTGTCTTTATATCCATATTAACCCTCCGTTTCCTCTAATTTCGGCCGGTTTCAGCCTCCTTGAGTCTATCAAGGAACGGCTCACGTGTCCGCGGATGACTCAAACGCCCATTCGATTTTCTTTTCTTCCCCGCCGAACTGTTTCTTGTTGGTACCCCGCCAGCAGAAAACACTTTTCCTCCACCCCTCCCACCCTTCGCGCCGTTCTCCAGGAGTCAAGAAACAAGAAATCCGTGATGGCTACCTTAAATACCAAGACCGGTCAGGCCGTTGACCGTGCCGTTTTGGATTCTATGCTCCGCCGCCGCCTTTTCTATACCCCCTCTTTCGAGATCTATGGAGGTGTCTCCGGCCTGTACGACTATGGACCCCCCGGCTGCGCCGTTCTAAACAACATTGTCGAGACATGGCGGAAACACTTTGTACTGGAGGAGGATATGCTCGAAGTCGATTGCACAATGCTGACTCCGGAGGAGGTTCTCAAGACCAGTGGGCACGTCGAAAAATTCGCCGATTGGATGTGCAAGGACCCCAAGACCGGTGAAATCTTCCGTGCAGACCACTTGGTGGAGGAGGTGCTCGAGGCCCGTCTCAAGGGCGACAAGGAGGCTCGTGGCCAGAAGGTTGAGGTCGACACGGACAAGGAAGCGAAGAAGAAGAAAAAGGCCAAGAGCGAGGCTATCAAGCTTGATGATGCGGTCGTCAAGGATTATGAGGAAGTGCTGGCGCAGATTGATAACTTTGACGGTCCCCAATTGGAGCAAATAATTGCCAAGTACGATATCAGAAATCCCGTTACTGGCGGCAATGTCCTCCCCCCCGTTTCTTTCAACCTGATGTTCCAGACCTCAATTGGGCCTAGCAGCAACATGCCTGGCTATCTACGCCCCGAAACTGCACAAGGACAATTCCTGAACTTCCAGAAACTGCTTGAGTTCAACCAGCAGGCGATGCCTTTCGCTTCGGCGTCCATTGGGAAGTCGTTCCGAAATGAAATTTCACCACGTGCGGGCCTCCTGCGTGTTCGTGAATTCCTCATGGCCGAGATCGAGCATTTCGTGGACCCGGAGGGCGGAAAGAAGCACGCGCGTTTCGACGAGGTTAAAGATATTGAGTTGGCCCTCCTCAACCGAGACGTGCAGCTGTCTGGGAGCACTAAAACGGAGACAATGACAGTCGGAAAGGCTGTTGAGATTGGGCTGGTAGATAATGAGACACTCGGATACTTCCTTGCCCGTATTCAATTGTTCCTCCTCAAGATCGGTGTTGATCCTACCAAGCTTCGCTTCCGCCAGCACATGGCTAACGAGATGGCCCACTATGCGTGTGATTGCTGGGATGCTGAACTGCTAACCAGCTATGGCTGGATTGAGTGTGTTGGATGTGCCGACCGCAGCGCTTATGATCTGAATGTTCACAAAAACAAGACTGGGGCCCCCCTTGTAGTTCGTGAGACTCGTGCAGAGCCATTGAAGGTTGAGGAATGGCAGATCGACTTAGATAAGAAGAAGTTCGGTCCTCGCTTCAAGAAGGATGGCAAGACCGTCGAGGCTGCCATTGATGCCCTATCACAGGACCTCCGAGAGAAATTGGCTCTTGACCTGGAGAAAAGTGGCAAAATTGAAGTGGATGTCACTGGTGTTGCGTCTGGCAAGGTTGAGCTAGAGAAGGACATTATCACTATTGAGAAGCGCACCCGTGTTGAGAATGTCCGTGAGTACACGCCCAATGTTATCGAACCGTCATTCGGTATCGGTCGGATCCTATACAGTCTTATGGAGCACGTCTACTGGTACCGTGAAGGCGATGAAGCACGCGGCGTAAGTTTCCAATCCCTTGTCCAACCCGAACTGTTCTTATCTTACTTTATATCAAGCTTCTATCCTTCCCCCCGGTTATTGCCCCGACTAAAGTTCTTCTCGTACCACTATCGAGCAATCCCGCGTTCCGCCCTCTGGTGCAACAGTTGACGACGAAGCTCCGACGATTGGGCATCTCCAGCCGCGTGGATGATTCATCAGCTAGTATCGGTAAGCGATACGCACGCAATGACGAGCTGGGGACACCATTTGGAGTTACGGTCGACTTCCAGTCCGTTAAGGACAGCACTATTACGCTGCGCGACCGCGACTCGACAAAGCAGGTGCGCGCGAGCGAAGATGAGATCCTGCAGGCCCTCAAGTCCCTGGTGGAAGGGGAGGAGACGTGGGAAGATGTGCGGAAGCGATTGCCCGAGTTCACTGGACAAGAGGTGGACTAGATTAAGGACTTCGGCTAGAAATATTTCAAAATCAGATCTTCTCTCATGGGTTCTTAAAACGGGGCATATGGCTATAATCAAATGTTCAATAATGTTTGTAAGGAGTATGTACGGATACAGCTGTAGAATAATTCATGCCAAGAGTTCCAGGCCGAGACGTCATTCCACAACATCATTCGCCAACTTGGCTTCATCTTCTTCATCTTCGCTCTCTCAGCCCGCCTTCCGATCGCCAAGTAATTGCTCATCGCATCATTGGACTTGCAGGAAGTCCTGAAGATGGCGCCCAACATTCCCTCTGCCAAAATCACCCTCTCCTGCCCCTTGTTCGCTGCTGATTTCGACCCGCGCAATCATGCCTTTCTTCTTGTTGCGGGCGGCGGCGGCGAAAGTCGCAGTGGCGTGGGAAATAAAATTGTAAGATCCCACCCATCCGGACTCATTATAATGTGAGCTTTCAGTAACAGTTGGTACAGGTTCTTTTGAACGCGTTCAAACGCCACGAACTGAGCGAGGTCGTCGACGTTGAGCTCTCGCGGGATGAGGATTCAGTGACCTCCCTGGCTGCGGTGCAGTCAAATGACACCTCTATAGTCGCCTTCGCCGGCATAAACAGCTCCCTCGCCTTGCAACAACAAAACAAAAATCGGCATCTACGATCTTTCCAAATCGATTATCCTCCGCGCCGCACAGGGTCTAAGGAATCTACACTCCCCGCAGAGACTAAACCAGGGCAAACAGTCAATCTATCCCAGGAGTCGTTGTTCAGGACAGTTGCTGGACCAAAGGGAACAACAGATACGTACCAGAGAATAACCCGTTTGTCGCCTTGGAAAGAAGAGGGTGCTACCCGTGTTGCGGCGATTACCACCGGATTGGCACCATCAGGCGAAATTGTCTTTTTCAATGCAAACACGAAGGAGCCGGGAGAAAGCGATGTTATTGGAAGAATCCGTTTGAACAGTGATGAGGAGGCGGAAGATGTTGATATTACGGGTCAGGATGAAGATGATGGCACTTTCTCGGTGGCATATACCAATGGTCTCGATGTCTTCACGTGTCGCATCTCGCCGGAGACTCGATCGCACGCCGCACCAGAGGTGAAACGCGTGTATACTCCTCCAGTGAACCCAAAGGGCAAGGGGGCACGCGCGAAATTCCGTGCGCTGCGGTTCCTCTCCCCTACAACGCTATTGCTTTTGCAGAATGCGCCAGACCGCAAGGGCTGCGAGCTCATACTTCTCGATCTGCGCCCAACAATATCATCCTCTTCTTCGCAAGCCACAATCATCCGTCAGTACAAGCTTCGCAAATCTATCAAGCTCGGCCTTGGCCTTGATGTATGTAATCTCGGCGCCAATTCGGATGCCCAGCAACAATCAATAATCGCAATCTCCGGCGGTGATCAATCCCTCGAGGTCCTAACCATAGACTTCGATTCCCGCCGACAACACCGCACGAGTGCAGGGTACACTCCTTTTCGGGTTTATACCACCCTTCGTGATGTCCATCCCTTCTCAATGACAAGGATATGTTTTTCTCATTGCGCACCTCCGAGCCCCGTTGCTCCAGAGACACCTCCACAATACGTCAAGCTCGCCTCAGTGAGCATGGGCAATACCGTCGTCGTGCATACATTTCCGCTATCCCCAGTACCACCCTCAAGCCGCAATCCTCGCTATGTCCTTGTCCGGCCAGGTGAATCCGAATTCTTAACGGGTCTCGCCGGGACTCTCGCTTCCTTCCTCTCCATTGCGTTGGTTGTATTCCTTCTCCAAGCCATCACGGAAATCAGGGGTGTCATGCCTCCGTACCTTGGTATAACGGAGCACTTACCGCCTAATATTCGGGCCGCTATTGCAAGGCCATACAACGCGCCTACCTTTCCTCCCACTCCATCACCAATTGAACACACACCTCCAAACTCAAATACCGAGCCGGAAGAACCACAGCCTCAACTCCTCCGCGATATTATCCCGGACACGGAGACATCCATTCTCATATCCTGCAACCCGTCAAACAATGAACTCCTCGTCGAGCCACACACGCCCAATCCCAACCCTCAGTTTCCGGAGGAAGTCTCGGAAGTAGAACCAGATCTAAACTCACATACAACATTCCACCATGCTCGACAGTGGACAGATCTCTCGACCCAGGACCGCTTGGCATGGAAAGCTCAGCTCACCAAAGCCGGGCTCTGGGGACCCCAAGAACACGAAGACGAAGACGAAGATGAGTCTATTCTTCAGAGAGTCTTCGTTCGGGAGTTGTGCCCACAACCTAGTTTCTCTAGCGAAGATCGAGAGGCGAGCGCCGATTCGGCCGAGGAATAAGGGAATTATAACAATAGAGTATGTTCCTTTTATTCCTTTTTCTTTTCATTTCTTTTTTATCTACTTGGTTTCCTCTCAATTTGGCCGTACTATTTGCATGCCAGGATTCCATAATGGTTTATAGTACACCTTATGGCTTAGTTAGATCAGTTCTTGTATCATGATATGTACGTATGTATGCCTACGATTATACGTTTATTACTCCTGTTATCATTCCTTTTTTCTAGTTGTTGGGAAAAGCTTCGAGAGATACACTATTACGCCATGAAAAAGGGCCTTCAAAAAAAAAAAAACGAAACCGGTTCTGTCCCCACTCTTACATCCTAGCCAGGAATCAATGGGTCTATGTATTATAAGTTGCTCTCTTGAATGCCTAGATAGTTGCTGGCTCTAAACAATTTTCTTTCCGTCGACTCATCGCTAGAAGAAAACGGGTGGGTAATATCCTATGTTTAGTCAAGTGTATGCGTTTGCAGAATGCGCAGCCGCCATGTGTGGGGACGGACGCTGGTCATAATCAGCGTCACAGAGATAAGACAAGATAGTTTCTCCCCAGATTGGAACTAAACCCCTGACTATTTAAGGTAATCATGAGTGACACGGACGCAAAAAGCAAAACCAAGCTCGTTCATGTCAATGCGGGTTTTGAAGGGAGGAAGAACGAAACGAGAATAGACGCCAAAAGAAAACGCCGAATTTATCAATGCCAAGCGGCGGGGAGAGTGAGAAGTTTAGCGGGTTGGATATCACTCAAAGCAGAAATTGTTCACATGTCGTAAGTTTCAGCGACGCGTAGATGTCGTCCACATGTGCGTGGGGGCAAGACGTGTAAATCGTAAGGAGATGAGAAATCGATGGGTCTAAGGGTCTTGGGGCCCAAAGCGGAGAAGTTGTAAATCACTACTGGCCTGTGTTCTTCTTCCAACGGAGCAACTCTGCGAGACTTGCGAGGCTGCAGCCCATCTTGAGGAAATCATGTTCCAGCAACTCCTGTGCGGTGGCACGACTGTCCACAGCCACACATAAACAAACGCTGAGAAAAGACTTAAGCTCCTTACTGAGCTTCTCTGGACTTTTGAGTCGAGGGGTACCATTGGTGGCGATCAAGTAAAGAGCCTTGAGGGGTTCCTCGTTCAAGTACGGGGGTTCAGACTCAATCATTTCAATAGCCATGATGCCCAACGACCAGCAGTCAACTTTAGGGCCATATTCCTTCTGCTTAACAACCTCGGGTGCCATCCAGTATGGAGTACCGACCATTGTAGCACGTTTATTCTTGGTTTCGGTGAGCTTGGCACAGAACCCAAAATCCGCTGTATAGTTCGTTAGTACCTCCAATAATTGCCAGCTAATGGGGAGGGTTGACTTACTAATTTTAACATGGCCAGCGCGGTCAAGAAGAACGTTATCACTCTTGATATCACGATGAATGATACTCTGGCTGTGCAGGTGTGCCAATCCTTTGCAAGTCTGATGTGCTCGTCAGATAAACATTCTAGTCAAATGAGGACGTAAAATACTAACCTCTGTACAGATTGTAGCAATCTGGTCTTCCTGGATCACACGGTTATTGTCAATAACATCAGTAAGCGCCCCACCCTCCATGAACTCCATGACAACCCAAAGTTCATTGCTCTGCTCTTGCAGGAAGGAGTCTAAGAAGTTAACAATGTTGGCATGCTGGCTATCCTTCATGACAATAATCTCGTTAACAATCAGCTCCTTCCGAGGCTGACTACGCAGGTCCATTTGTTTGATTGCAACCTGGCAACGTGGGCCGTACTGGCGATACAGCTCTCGAGCGACACCAGATGTCGCGTTTTCTTTAACCCGCGCAACGTACACGGAACCAGAAGCACCCTGTCCGATTTTTCGTTGCTTGCTGTAGGATTCGTTTGGGTTGTCTTTGGACACGACGGACCTCAGCCTATCCATGACCTCGTTTTCACTCATAGCCGACATGCGGACCTCCTTCTTATGAGGATCAGCCTTCTTAGTCAGAGCAGCTTCCGCCTGTCGAACACCATCCGGGGCATTATTCTTAGGCGCTTGCTTGTTGGCAATGTTCAAAGGCTTTACGGGCTGTACAGGAGCGGGAAGCTTGCTGGGAGGAGGGCCGTGTGCCTGTTGCGGCTTGCCATTGTTCTGGCTGCGGGGTGCTGAGGCTTGAGCGCGAGGATCTGGGGGAGGATGCCTGGCATTGGATTGATCATCGTAACGTGAGCCTGGGCCCCGCGACGCTCCATTGGACGAATAATCTCCAGGCCTTTGCCCTGAAGTCGTTGGTGGTGATGGTGCCGGTCGTTGGGCTGTTAACTGGCGGGAGGGATCTTGAGGCTGGCGGGTAGAGCCTGGGGCCTGCGGAGCAGGGCGGCTCGGCTTGTAACGGTCATTCGTCGATTGCTCAGATCCTCCATATCCTCCGAGTTCTTGTTTGGCGAGGGGGACACGAGTTTTCGGAAGAGAGGCGTTGTAGGCATCCTGTTCAAGTCGGCTCTGATCCTCTTCACGCTGTCTGTTACGGCGGTCTTCCTCTACTCTTCGGCGTTCCTGATCAGCCAATTCCTTCATCTTTTCTAGTTGTTGTTGCTGTTCCGTAGCCCTATCTGAGCCGGATTTGCTCGGAGTGTGGCCAGAAGATGCAGAGCGACTGGAGTATGATTGGCCACTGTCTAAACGCTGCGCAGGCGCCGGTGGGGGTGGTCTTGGAGGGGCAATCGAACCGCCTACTGAATTATTGCCATATGGTTTCGCCTGACCAGATGTATTGCCCAGGCCAGCGTAGTATTGTGGGTTTTGTTCACGCATCTTGATGTCAGAATAGAATTCGAGCACCTCGATCACAGCTTGCGGGTTCTTCTTGTAGTCCTCCTTAGTAATTGCGGACGCAGTCAGAAGCTTCTCCCACTCTGGGGGTAGACCAACAAAAGCCCCTGTCCGCGGATCAAAACCAACGTGAACGCGGTGGCTAAAGTTTGTAGGATTGCTCACACCACCCATTCCGGGGCAGCGCTCGTATATCTTGTCGATCCAGTCGTAGATCTCTTCATCGGTTCTGACCTCACAGGTCAAGCTTTTTGTGGGAATATCGCGAGTGAGTAGGGCCGACTTCGAGGTAGCATCTTTCGGGTTGGCTAAACGAATAATTTCAAACGCCATCCGTGTATCTTCCGAACGAGAGACGCCTGTGACTGCGGATAAGGGAATGGAGAGAACCACCTTTCCGGCCTCATTTTTCATAAAATCCAGGCGAGACTCGCGAAGAATTAGGAATCGCTGATTCCATGTAGCTAAGAACTTGTCCTCTTTACAGCGCACATACCCCTCTTTGACAACACCGTATCCTGCCGGCCCTGATTGATCTGTCTTTGTCCGAACGAGGGATGGGCTGCTGGTGTTGGGAAACAGCGACAGGTTAGCGGTCGTCGGGGTGCTTGGCGAATCAATGTTCATCTGGCCAAACGATGTTGCTACACCGGAGGTGCTTGCGGCGAGGTTAAGTTTAGGACGGTCGGTCGGTGGGCGAGGGGCAGGCCCGGGATTCATAAACTGGTCTGCGGAATACATGCCGCTGGACAATTCGGTCAGTTGGCTCGCCGTTGAAGGGTATCAAAATATATGTTTCGATGCGTCGCATGTCATAGTGACAACTGCAATCAGGGGCAGCCAGCGGGAAAAGGGCCGTGCTGACTTACTTTCCATAAGAGGAAGCCATTTTGGGTGATGATTCGGATGGCGGGCGCCCCAAGAGGCGGGATCACCTCAGAGACGGGAGAGAAAGAGGGCCGAACGAGGAGGGTCGGTAAAGGACTCAAAAACCGCACCCGTAACTATCAAGGTCATTAGCAACTATAGGAGGTCGAAAATGGAGGTTCTGCGACAGAACCAAACTGGCGATCCAAGGTTTGGGCGCATTTGCACCTGGATCCAATGTCACAGGGGAACCGGATCAGCCAGTCAACGCTGGGGTAGACGGGAGGGTTTCTAACAAAAGGGGTTGGGCGTAAATCCGGGATTACCCACGCTGTGGCAGAGAGGACTCGAGTCTCAAGGAAAGAATCCCCGCGCTTGCGAGGATGCTTCGAGCGCGAGGTGCACGTCTCGAATTCTCCTTTTGTTCAGACGCGGTGAGGGAGGAGCAGGGGCCAAATTTGGGTGTCTGGGAAATAAAGAGCGGGGGGTGGGGGGGGTGGTTGCACACTGGCGGTGGGCAAAATGGAAGCGACAGACAACAAGGGACGTAGATGGAGAAGAGGGAAAGACGTGAGTAAAAAGCACTCGTTAAAATGGCAGCTTTAAGGGCGTTTTCAAGATAGGTAGAGAGCCTTGGGTCGGAGAGGGACTAGGAGGGGAGCGAGAGCAAAAGGTGAATCGAATGGCAACTGAGAGGTTTCACCACCGCTGGCTGGGGTGCGAGGCTCCAGAATCCCTGAAGGGGGCGGCGGCTCTTTCGAGAGAAAACTCCTTTCCCTTTGCCGCCAACTCCCTATTATTAATTTGCTGGCCCTGTCTCATTCAGTTCATACTTTTATTTTCTTGTTTCTGTAATCCAATGCTTATCATTTCAGACATTTTCTATCCACATAGCTAACCATAGCTGCTGGCAGGTTTAGACCCAACGAACTTGAGCAGAAGGCGAACTGTTGGTATGCCACAGACTGACATGGAACAGGGAGACTCAGCAATAGTATCCGAGTCCCAGAGGAATATACTGGGCTCTAACTCCAATGAAGGAGTTCGTGCCCAATGGTGGCTCGATTCGAACTTATTATTATTGTCCGAAATCCTGATTTGTTATTCAATTCAGACTCTGGTGAGCAGAGACCGAAGAGCTATGTTTCACCTTGATTGAAACAGCGATCTGATCCGGATTTCGGAATTCTCGCTGTTAAGTCTCATCATGAACGGATAACTGGAGTCCTCCCTTGTTAAGGGGAGGCCGGAGGCCTGTTATTAATATTTTATGTTCAGGCAGACTATTTACAAGCCCGCCTCGGATCTGGCACTTGTGATGAAAAAGCGATATGGATATTGATACATACAACAGCAATTCGGGTCTTGGCTGTCTAGAATTTTGCTAAATTTACTTGCAGTATACGTATTTGAAGCTTGGGTTACGGATACTGACTGTGCTCCACCAAAAAGATCGGTTCAGAGGAAAGGCCCACAGGTTTCCGATATTACCCCTTAATCAATTCTTAGGTCAAACGGATGGAATTTGAGCTTTGAAGGGGCCGTTGACGTAAGAGTATTCTTGGATGGTTGAATGACTAGTACTTCGACATGGGGGTGTTCGTGAAGGGGTTGTTGAGGATATTAGAGAATAATAGATACATAGTATATGAGTTGGGGGTGATTCCCCCGAAGTATACAGAGACGGACCAGAGCTCCATCCATTTTTAATTTGCTACTCCCCGAATGGGTAGTTAAATTTAAGCAACGAGTTCAGTCCTCCTACCCACCCATCATGGGCTTCGCTATCATGAGCCTCGCTGCCCATGACCCTCCGCATCACGCACGGCGCCCCGCCCTGCCATTCATTTTTGCCGTGCCGCATCTCTTCATTCCACACCCGAGCTTCCATTCCAGCTGTCATCCCTTGAGTCATGTTGACACCATCGATACTGATTTCCAGTTCCCGTCCTCGGTTTTTCTCGCTCAGACGAAGCGTAATTGGTGTGCTAGCCGGCAGAACTAAGGGCCTGAAGCTGAGGCTTCGAGCACAGATTGGTGTTAGGAGTACTGCTGGCACAAGAGGGTGAACGATACTGCCTCCGCTACTAAGACTGTATGCTGTACTTCCAGTCGGCGTGGAAATGATGATGCCGTCTGCCACAGCTTCTGTGAGAAACCTTCCTCCCACATATACATCCACAATGGCAAGGTGCGGCTCCTTTCCGCGGTGGATGAGTATTTCATTCATCACATACAGTCCCTCACTTCCTATACCTTGGGCGGGTTCTGAACACTTATCTGCTACTGCGGGTTTTCCATCGGCAGTAAACAACGCCACTTTGAGGCGGTTCCGCATCAGAATACGGGCACCTCGATTAAAACCCATAGATTTGCCGCGAACTGACGACCATCCCGTTATCACTTCTGATCGTTCTTCGGCACCCAAGGAGTGAGGAACCCCAAGGGCAGAAGCGCGGTCTCCCACTCCTGCACCGGACATGTACACTTCGCGAAATGCGCGCTTATATTCACTGAACTTCCATTCGCCCAGGAATCCAAGTGTACCCATGCTAAACGATAGCATCGGTGGAACATTGACGCACGTGGCGAATAAGGAGGAAGCATGTAGAATCGTTCCATCGCCGCCTAGGGTAACGCTGAGATCCACCTTCCTATGTAATGCACAGGGCAGCTTCTCTAAGGAAGCCGAATAAACGGGGAACGGCAACGACAAGTGTACTTCCTCTGCTACACTCGGTTCTAAAATGATGCCAAGTGACGGATATGTGGATGCTGTGTGACTAGATGCCCGAAACGATTAGCGTATGCGTTCCTAACACATTGTAAGATGTACCTGATGAATTCAATTAACGATCGGGTGACCTCTGGCGCGCAGTCTTTCTTCACGACAAAAATGTTTCTGGGGGCCGCGGGCCACTGAAGTGAAAGGAGATCGTTCTCGTTCGACTCTAGCCGTTTGTTAGCGACGAACGTAATGGTCTTAAAAGCTGATGCGCACCATGATATCTGGGAATTAATCGCTCTGGGAGCGTATCAACGTCTCTAATTTCTAGTCGCTTTAGGGAGCCTGAAAAGTTCCGAGTCCATGATAATTTCCGCGTGGGATTCCTCAATGATTGCAGCCGACTTATCACCGACCGCATCGTGCTGAAAGTGGCGGCTTTCGACTCTTATTATTATTGGGGCTGGCAGAACACAGAATTTATCATTAAGAGGGCGTCGGTTTAATCGTCAACCTGTGGTATCTAGAGTGTCGTGCTTGAAGTTTCTCTTGACATTTTCTCGCGCAGCATTCGAGATAGGGTTCGGCCTGGCAAGAGGTACTTATATCCGAAAAGCGGTCATCTTTTTCTGTACAAATGTGAGCGAGAAACCCGAGATAGGTGCAAGAGAAAAACAAAAGCCTCCACTGAGTAGTTCAAGGCTGAAACGCCTGCTTATCGAGTGCAGAGTTGAAGCCTCCAATTCCCCAGAATGATCGGCGATCTCTGGCTCTGACCGCCCTGAGGGCTTAGCCAAAGTTAGCAGCTCCCAACGTCATGGCACAGTCCATGGCGCCTGCTCTTCTTGCTAGCCGAAGTTAGGCTGTCCACAAGATCGGGTGCATCAGCCGTCATTCATCAAGACTTGGACTTCCCAACTCCTTCAACTCTTCCATGTGATTTCTGGGATGTCATTCTTGTATTTTCTCCTTTATCTTCTTCCGGGTGAAATGTGAAATGGCCTAGCCTTAGTCCATCCATCCATCTCTTGTTCTCCGCTCGTCTCGTTCGTGTGAGTCCTATTCTTAGAGTATTTCGCCTTGTAAGTAAACACAGCCGTTTGCACCCATTCACCGAGCCTTGGGAGCAGGAGGCTCCCTTCAGAATGGTCGCGTGATGATTCTCCAAGGATTCAAATTAACTGTGGTTGCAGTCCTCTTTCCCTGGAGAAGAACAGTGTCGTGCTTTCCCACCCATCAATACGATCCCCCACCATCATGAACGGAACAGAGGTTCGGCAGCGGAAGCCGGCGGCGGGCACGAAAGAACATACCCAGGCTTCTAGAGATGCCGAACCACGCCTCAAGCATGGGATACCCATGCAAGTGCTGCGTTCTTTGCTTCTCGCAACCTGGTTCAATTGCTGCTGCGTTGTTATTCTGTTAACGCAGTTAGTCGGTTCCCCTTTGTACTTCATCAAGAAACATTATTATTACGCCTGGATGGCATCCACCAAAAGATCTTTTGGGCTGGTCATTACAGCCCTTACCGAATGGGGCTGCCCGACTTATGTTCGGGTTAGCGGCGACGAGAGTGTACGCGGGCACATCCACATTGCAAGCGATGGACGCTTAAAGACAACCTTTCCCGAGCGACTCGTCATGATTGCGAACCACCAGGTGTACACCGATTGGATTTACCTTTGGTGGATTGCTTATGCGAACATGATGCATGGCCGCATTTTCATCATTCTTAAGGAGTCCCTGAAATATATACCCGTCATAGGTCAAGGCATGACATTCTATGGCTTCATTTTCATGGCCCGAAAATGGCTGTCTGATAAACCCCGGTTGCAGCACCGCTTGGAGAAACTGAAAACTCACCATAGGGGTTCTGATTCGGACTCGCCGAAGTATGATCCTATGTGGCTTTTGATATTCCCGGAAGGAACAAACCTCTCCCTAAACACTAAACGACGAAGCGATGCTTATGGTGCTAAAAACTCGTTCCCACCCCTTCAACATCAGATTCTTCCTCGCTCGACTGGCTTGTTTTTCTGCTTACAGCAGTTGAGAGGAACCGTTGACTGGGTATATGACTGCACTATTGGCTATGAAGGCCCTCCGTAAGTCACGATGCTTCTCTAATATACGTATAGCCTAAGTCTAACTAACGATCTTAATTCTATGGAACAGAAGGGGTAGTTACGCTGACAAATATTTCACCCTTCGGTCAACGTATGTACAAGGACGCCCACCGACTTCCGTCAACATGTACTGGAGGCGTTTTGCAGTTGCAGATATACCTCTGGATGACCAGCAGGAGTTTGATGCCTGGCTTAGAGCCCGCTGGACGGAAAAGGATGTGTTACTCGAGCAATACTTTGAAACCGGAAGATTCCCATCCGCTCTAGCTGGTAGTATCGAGGTTGGCAATGAAGATCAAACTCAGTTAGATGCAGGCAAATGCGGATATGCCGAGGCCCATGTCCGCTTGGGGCATTGGACTGAAGTCAGTCGGATATTTAGGGTGGTATTCGGCCTCGCTTTTCTCTGCCGGGTTCCTAAACTTACAGGGCTCTTGAACCCGGTCGCTTAGAGTCAGAGCCCTCTCCCTGAACCTCTGCCTATAACTTTGACTTTATTATGACTTTATTATGAATAATGTCTACTCCTATTCTTATGACTGATCACTTAGGTATTTTTTTACTGGTTCTCAAGGGTTATAATTAAACTTTTTTTTTTTTTTCCTGTTCAGGGGTCAACGCACTGAATGAAAAGGATATACAGGAGTTATTTTAATGAACAATTAAATCATAGAGAAGTTGTGATGAGTATTTATAAACACCCACGGTTTTAAGAACTTGCATACAGGAGATCCGGATATTGAGAGCTGACGCCACAAATTGGCTGTGCACCAGCCACAGATCCGCTTGTTCAGGCCTCAGGCATTAAAATTCCAAATCATTGTCCTCATCGCGAACCAGAGCAGTAACAGCTACAGAGAAGTGAAGGCGCCCTCACTCTTTCACTTTGTTACGCAGCCAGCGAACCCGTCTAATATCGTCTGTCTAATCTCACTTATGGAACAAGTATGAGTTGAGTTTTTTTTAACGTCAGGCCCTCCTACTCCATTCTCCGACCGAACTTTCATATCCGCGTCTTAAAGCTCGCGCTGTCGATTGGAGAAGTTCACACACGGCCGCCATGGCGTCTCTACAAAATGGCTATGCAAACGGTATGAATGGGGATGCATTTCCTACGACCGGATCTCTGGCCAATCTCCGCTTCTCTGACATTCCATCTGCCATCGATATTCCCGCATCCACACTTGATAGCGAAGTCGAGGTCAGTCTTGAAGGGCTCCCCGACGACCCAACCGAACTCTGCACGCTTCTGGAGAATGAAAAGGCGGCGAAAAATTTCTGGGTAATCATAGCGCTCGCCTATGCCAAACAAAAGCAGATTGACCACGCGATTGACATCCTGAACAAGGGCCTCGCGTCAGTTGCTCAAGGTGCTACGAAGGAGAAGCTCGGGTTACTGGGTTGGGTATGTTGGCTTTATTTGCTGAAAGGCCGAGAGGCCCCCCGGGTGATATCAGATGGTGGTTTAGGCACAGAAGCCAGGACCAAGGACTACTACATCCAGCAAGCGACGGGAATACTGAACGAAGCTTCACGATTGAACCCGTCCTTTCCGCCACTTTTCCTCGCTCGTGGCGTTCTATCATTATTGCGCGCCTCTTTACATCCCCCCCGACCGGTACGACCTGGAACTGTTGATAATTCAGAAAGGGTGGAATCATTGCGACAAGCTCTCAAACAATTTGATGAGTCCTCCAAAGCGTTTGGGGGTAGAAACGTCATGGCCATTCTTGGGAGGGCAAGAGCGCATTATCTTCTTGGACGCTATGCTGAGGCGCTGGAAGGGTACCAGAAAGCCCTGGTGAGAATGCCTGGATTAAGTGACCCAGATCCTCGGATTGGCATCGGGTGTTGTCTATGGCAATTGGGCTTCAAGGATCAAGCTAAGGTGGCTTGGGAACGTGCCCTAGCACTGGTATGTTGCAGCACTATAGTATATCTCCTGGTCATTACGATGGAACTAATTCGGTTGTCCGTTTCGTTTCTTAGAACCCTGACTCGAAAGTTGCCAACATCCTCCTCGCGGTATACTATCTCTACGATAGCTCTCGGCATGCTACTACGGACCCGGCGTTCGGTTCCTTGTACAAACTGGCAATGACTCAATACACCCAGAAATCTTTCAAGTTGGACAAGGAGTATCCCATGACCTGCGCCTTATTCGGCAGTTATTTCCTCTTGAGAAAATCATATTCGACTGTCGACACCCTTGCTCGCAAATCAATTGAAAACACCGATGTCATGCAGATAGCTAGCGACGGATGGTACTTGCTCGGCCGAAAATGCCATTATGAGGGCGATTTAGTTAAAGCAGCGGAATACTACAGTCGCTCCGATCAGGCTCGGGGAGGTGGCGACAGGGGATATCTTCCGGCCAAGTTTGGCTCCGTACAGATGCAGGTGTCTAACAAGGACTATGACGGGGCTAAATTCCAGTTGGAGAAGATCATACAACAAACAAAGAATCCGGAGTGCATGATGCTCCTAGGAGCTCTCAATGCGGAAGATGTATTCGCAGTACAGAGAAGCGGGAGCAAAGAAGATAAATCAGCGGAAATCAAGAAAGCCATAACCCTTTTCGAAGGTGTTCGCGCGCTGTGGAAGGATGAAAGTAAGAAGATCACACCAGACGAGTCTGTCTTGGTGTATCTCTCGCGGTTGTATGAGCAGTCTGCTCCAGATAAGAGCATGCAGTGCTTGACGCAACTGGAAGAACTTCAATTGGCGGATATACCGGATGAAGAACGCCCCGAGAACGTCGAAGACGAGGAGGAAATCAAGGCTGCACTTCGAGTGAATCTGCCGCCGCAACTTCTCAACAACATTGGTTGCTTTATGTACCAGAGCGAGAAGCTGGGCCTAGCTCGCAACATGTTCCAAGCAGCACTTGACTCTTGTGTTCGATCGCAAGAGAAAGAGAGTGAGCTTGACACTGATGCGCTGGTTACAACAATAAGTTACAACCTTGGCCGGGTATATGAGGCGTCTGATATGCCAGACGAGGCGAAGAAGATCTACGAGGGTCTCCTGGAACGCCACAACGACTACACGGAGGCAAACGCGCGATTAACATACCTTGCTCTCCGCCGTAGCCCAACAGACGAAGGGCCAAAGAAGATGGCTAAGCTCTATGAGACTGATTCGACAAATCTTGAAGTCCGTGCGTTATTTGGGTGGTATCTTAGCAAGTCCAAGAAACGGGCTGCAAACATTGCAGAGGACCATGAACAGAGGCATCACAAGCATACACTGCAGTACTTTGACAAGCATGACCGATACTCCCTCACCGGGATGGGCAACGTCCATCTACTCTTTGCCAGAGACATGCGGCGTGATACGGACCAGGAGAAGGAGAAGCGTCGCAAGATGTACGAGCGTGCTGTTGAGTTCTTCGATAAGGCACTTCAATTAGATCCTCGGAACGCCTACGCGGCACAGGGCATTGCAATTGCGCTTGTGGATGACAAGAAGGATTTGAGCACGGCAGTACACATATTCTCCAAAATCCGCGACTCCCTTAAAGATGCCAGCGTCTTCCTAAATCTGGGTCACGTCTATGCGGAGTTACGTCAATACACACGCTCGATCGAACATTACGAGGCAGCCCTATCAAAGGACCGGGCACGCGACGCACAGATCCTAGCCTGTCTCGGTCGTGTCTGGCTTCTCAAAGGCAAGCAGGAAATGAATCTCGCAGCAATGAAAACAGCCTTGGACTACACGGAGCGTGCGCACTCCGTCGCACCTAGCCAGGCCCACTTAGAATTCAACGTCGCTTTCGTCCAAAACCAAATCGCCTCTCTAACCTACAGTCTCCCCGAAACACAGCGGACTGTGCAAGACGTCCAAGACGCAGCCGACGGCCTCCGCACGGCAGCGGATACCTTCGAGCGTATCGCCCAGGTCAAGAACCCGCCTTACCCGGCTGAGTCTCTGGAGCAGCGTGCCAACATGTCCAAGACGATTATCAAGCAGCTTGACCGAGCCCTTCAAAGCCAGAAGGAATACGAGGAGAAGAACGCCGCTAAGCTTCAGCAAGCTCGTGAAGCTCGTGAGGCCGAGATCCGCCGTCGCGAGGAAGAAGTCCAAAAAGCCCAGGAGGAAGAGCGCGAGAGGAAACAACGTATTGCTGAGGAGCGACAACAGCTCGTCGAAGAAGCTCAGAAGCTAGCCGCCCAGCGTGCGGATGAGGAACGGGCGCGTGAAGAAGCTGATATGACGACTGAGTCCGAGACGGGCGAAAAGGTTAAGAGGAAGAAGAAGACTGCAACATCAGGCAAGAGGAAGAAGCAACGCCGTACCGAGGATGACTTCATTAATGACGATGAGGGCGAGGCCGGGGCTGCACGTAGCTCTGAGTCTGATGAGAGTGGCAAGGAGGAAAGCGCGCCAAAGAAGAAAAGACGGTTGGAGCGAAGGTCTAGGGGTGCTCCTCCTAGTGCTGGAAAGGCACAGGGCAAGTATAAGAGTTCTGAAATGGTGGTTGATTCAGATGATGATGACGAACCCGCTGCTGCTACGCCGACAGGTGGTGATGATGATGAAGGGGAAGAGGAAGTCGTACAAAGGCGCAGAGCCAAGGTGACGAGACGGGTTGCAGACGACGACGACGATGATGAAGAAGAAGATGTCGCTCAACCAGCTGGAGATGATGGTGGCGATGATGGGGGCTTGTTCAGCGAACAAGAGGACACGGAGATGAAGGATGGCGATGAGTAGACAAGACTGCTCGCTGCGTTCTTCAACCCATTTATTTTCGATTTCATCACTATGTAGTTTACATTTCTTCGACACTTTCATTGTTTTTAATCCCATATGATATATATTTGGCGTTGGGATGAGTGTATTTCCAGACTCGAGCTTCTTTTAATGCGTGCATGTAAGCAAAATTGAATTACAGGTGCTGGACCTAACTTTTCCCTCATTGATAAAACACGGCCACTGCACTACGCAGTATATATGAGTAGTATAGTTATACCAGAGGCTCGGTTACATGCTGAGACTTCAGAGATGCGACTTTCTGGCGCAGCACGGAGTACCCCTACTTAGCTCACCAAGTTCAGTAGCCTCTAGTCTCCCACGGTGAGGGTTGTGAAGAACACAACAATGTCTAAACGGGGATATCAATGGCGGGTCTACTTCGTACTCCGGGCGTAATTTCTTGAGAGTTCAAACTTCAAAGTGGTGGTTAAGGTTCAGATCTGAGACGTTGGTGCGGTCATTGGCAGCAGAGCACGGGGGTTCAACTGGCCGGATGATTGTCGGGTTTACCCAGAAGGAAGAACTCGACGAACACGGGCACACTAAGGAAGCCTGCGAGGGAAGGATCTTCCTCATCCTGAATCCTAACTTAGTAACTCGGCGAGATCTCAGCTCAATCCTCATCAATTCGGATAATGTGTTCTGTGGTTGGCCGAAACAAGAATGCATCCCCCCCCTTTCAGGCGGAAACAAGACACGCCCACATTAACCGATCCCTGGACGACGGACGGTGACAACCCCTGACGACCGAGCTATAATACCGAGACCCAGGGAATCATGTCTGCCAGCCTGGAGCAATTCCTTGTGAAAGCTGGGGAAGACGGCCCATCCTTGTCCAACCAGTGCCGTAGGGGGATGGACCCGGGAGTTCGACCTGTCGGGATGCATTGTTTGGTATGGCCACGCGGTCCTTGTCGGTCAAAGTCCACGAGCGTCGCTTGTCTCCCTGCCACTGGAGCTCGAATTCAGACGCCGGTCGACGCAACTGTGCAGCACAGACTTGCTCAAGAGGACAGAACGACATGTTTGTCGGTTGTCCAGGCCCATCCTGATGGAGTAAGGAACTGAAACTGTGTGGATCAACGAGGGAATTTCGATCGCGAGGCGGAGTCCAAGTGTCCAACCCAACAATCCGGCGTGGGAGCCTGACAGTGACAGTCTGACAGATAGGATGATTTTCCTTTGACAGGAATCAAAATACGTATGATGTCTCGGGTAAACACCAGCAAGCCCGACAGAGCGGTCATGGACTATAGAAGCTAGAAGAAAAAGCAATATCTCGAGCTACAGATGACATATCCAAAGGAAGCGACTCGTGCTGGCTGCAGGTACCTGGTTCTCTGGCGGTGTGATCGCCAGCAGGCGAGCAGCACCTCGTGTCACTGCGTCATCCTGCGTCTGGTTGCGCATGTGCCTGGCTCCAGGATGTTTGAGGTTGTTGTCTCTTCTATTTCAGGAAGGCCGGGCTGGACATGTCTCGTGCTTGATGATCCAGCGAGATCCATCGTTGGATGGATCATATTATTTCGACAATTGTCGATGGCGAACTGCCGATGCACACACATGCTGACTGCTGAGCTTGACATCCGATCCGAGGCTGGAGCCGATTGTCTTCAGATTTGGGGCTCGCGATTACGCGATGGCGCATGAGTTAGTTAACTATTATTATTCCTGGTCTACGAAATATACACCAGGCGCTGGTCAGCAAACTTTGGCCACCATGTAGTCTATGTATGATTGTAATAGTTCTGGACATCTCGCTTCTTGAAGATGGCACTCGACGATCGTCGCCCACCGCCAAGACCCTCCCATCGCATTCGCAGTCAATCAAGAGTGACGGGCGCGAACCACGGTTGACGAGCAGGCGAGCAGCGCCGAAGAGTTTCGCGAGCGTCTCTGAAAAGATGGATGCGACACCGACGCGACAATCGCCTCAAGTCGCAGGATCCCGCTAAAAACAACAATTTTTGGGCGGCCACTCACGGGCTTGGTCTCGTGCCTCGGGTGGAGAGAACGTTGAAAATCGGGAGTGGAAGCGAATGACGATCCAGACGTGCCTGGATTAACTTCCAATTGACGTCCACGCTTGGTTTTCTGTGTTGTGGAATTGTATTTTTGCTTCTTCCTCGACTTGCCGTGGACCGCGTCGGGTCTTATCCTCGGATGTTCTGGCTGTGGTTTCCACCGTTCGCCAGCTTGTGAGAAGTTTTGCGAACATGAGACTCGAGAAATTGAGTTTGCCAACAGTCTCAGGGCTCTCCCACGCTCTCTCCGTCCCCCGGGGCTCGCAATAGCCGCTGTTTGTGATGTTGGCTGCGGTGGTGACACGCCAATCTTCCAGTTCCATGGAGGTTCGATGCATCGTCGCCCACTCACCAAGACACTAACTCTCGCGCTAACTCCTGCTCAGGCCCCATCTTTGGGACTCTTGGGCTTAGCTTCGTTCTCTGGTTCCCGCTTCAGTCGAGATAATTTCGCGACAAAGGGCCTATCGGGCGGTGATGGTCCTTCTTTTTCCCCTTTCCGACCTCCTGAACACCAGATCCAAAGGGAACCAGAACTCCAGAGGTTCGAACCCACCGCCGATACCTGCCCAACATAGTCCGTGTGGGATGCAGAGCGAGTCTGGAACTGCATGGTCGGAATTTCCAAATTCTGGCTCTGTAACTTGTCTGCTCCAACCAAGAGGATAAGCGTCGATGCAACGGCCAGCCACATCCCAGCCCGCCCACGCCAGGAGCAGCCCATCTCCTAGTTTATTCGCACCTGGTGGAGGCTAAGGCTGGGGCGGGAAGTTCATGTCACATCCCTGCCGTGCGGCGTGTCTCCCCGGCCGCTGCCTGTTACAGAGGTTTCTTACTGCTTTTGTGTCTCTTGTCGACGTCGAGGGTTATCTCGATGGAGAGGTGGGATCCGATCGATCAGCGTTCAACTGACGGGGCACGCCGTCTGTACCATGGAACTTGGGCGACAATCATCAAAATAGTCGACGACTTGCGCGCTGGTCACCTCGGAGGTGGGCGAGGGACGGTATTACTGCGGTTTCCTGGTCCCTGCGCCGTACACACTGCGTCGGCGCATCCCCCTTGTCGCCTGAGACTCCTGATGTACGTGTTAATGCAGGAGCTTGCCGTCGCCTGTCCCTGGCCGCTTCCTACGAGTTGGAGGCTTGGAGCTGTTTCCCTTGCCATGGCACAGGTCGGGAAGTGAATCTGTGGCGTCGACATGGGTACGAATGCGACTCCCACCTGGAATAAGTAGGCGTAACTATCTGAATTCTGAAAGAGCGCATCAACCCAAAAGTCGAGACTGGCGGAGGCTGAACAAAGCGATGCTGTGCTGCCATGGATCCCCATCCAGAGAGCGACTTGCGCACACCATCCAGTAGTAAGGAAGAGTCCTCCGGAGTGTTGTGGTCATATTTTCTTATTATTCTTATTCTTATTATTATTATTATTATTATTATCGGCTGGACTATAGGAGTTTTATTTTCCCTGCCTCTCCAGTAAATAATATTATTACCACGGATATTCCCTCACTACTTGTTGCTCTTCATCAACGCGGACTATCCCACTTTTTTTTTCTGTTCCCTTCGCTCTTCGCTCTCTTTCCTCCCTCTCTGTCTCTCCTTTTCATTCCCCAAAGTTATCCTCACTCAACTGTACTCCGTGCAGCTCACTCATTCTCCCCTCCTTTCCCTCACCATTGTCGCGTCCATTCCTTCTTTACTCTGAATCTGTGTTGTAGATTCCCCAACCTGGCCACTATCATCGCTGTCGCTCCGGGGGCTAGTGCACTCTTCCTCCACCAGGTTCCAATTGTTTCTGATCCAGACTTCTCGTCTTGTGTCTGTCGTCTGACAGTCGTCGTTCCATTCCTTCAGCTTTACTTCAATTGACACCCCCCCCCCTCCCTTCTCTTGTTGTTTTCCGACTTTGCTCCCGTTTATATACTTAGCGTCTCCCCTTTCGTCGGTCAATCCCATTGTCTCATTTCATCTTACTACCATGGTCCATGTCAGGGCCCGGCCATACCAATCCAAGGCGTAACCGTGACCATAATAACCGGCCCTACTCTAGCGACCACCTGTTGGCTTGAACAAAGACCACCAGATTGTCCCGGCCCTTTTGGACTTTGTGTGTGATACCGAGGTTGTTCCACCATGCCCTTGAGTCCTCACTTTTCTGTTTCAGCCCCTCGCCCAACGGCGCAGGATTTCGACCGGCCGTCCACCGGAGCATCCAGCAGTGACACCCCCGACCATCCGGTCCATATGCGCTCAAGGTCAACTGCTCATACTCAGAGCCCTAAAAGATTGTCCGTCTTCAGTGGGCGTTCGAGGAGCAACACCACGACCTCTACATCTACCTCCATGAACTCGTCGCGTCGCTCTCCCTCCTCTTCAATGACATCTATGGAGAACGCACCCTTGCCCTCCGCGCAGGAAGACCGCGCTGTTCCCGCAGGCGGTGCACGCCACGACCGGCATGAAAGCGTAACCAAGTCACTCTTCCTACGTGGAAGCCGGATACTGCGCCGTCAAGGGAGTAAGGTCAATATGGTTGTTACCCCGGAGGAAGAAGAGGAAATGGAGCGCGAGAAATCTCGCTTCGACTTTAGCCGTCACCATAAGGCACGGTCGAATGATGCCCGTAAGTGCACTCCTCCTCCCCAGCTCCGAGTCTGCGGGAAGTACAAATATGGTTCTCCCGGGGATCTTTAATAACACGTCTCTTATTGGGTTTGTATAGATGAGCAGAGGAAGCGCCTGATTTCTGATCCTTTCGACTTCCACCACCTAACTCACACCAGCCCGGCTCAGTTCCAGTCACTAGGTAAGACCCGGGAGAACGATTTGGTTACGGAATTCTCCGCCATCCGGGCATCCCAGAAGCCTGTCACGAATCTCAAAGGCATCCGGGCAGATGATATCAATTTGCGAAGCCTTTCGGCTGAGGATCTCTCACACTTTGTGATCGGTCACGACAACTTTAGCCCGTCACCGGCTAGTCCACCACGTTCGCCCGGTGAGAGGTCTACTAGCCCACGCCAACTAGACTCGCGACCCCTACGAGAATCACGAATTTTTGAGAACTTTTCGCGCCCTGTATCAAGGCACCCTCGAGTTGATGCACCTGCCTCACCACCGCGTGCTTCGTCGCCAAGATTAGCGTCATCACCTGAGATCCCGGAACCTTCACCCCGAGTAATTGATGAGATCCTGGACTTGGACTCTCAACAACAGCCATATCCGGAGCATACATACTACGCAGATGATGACTCCATGCCAGCCTCTTCGCCAGCAAGCCTCAATTTGGAGGGCATGATCCACTCTACCCTAGGCCATGCGATCACCACTAATCCCAACAATGAAACTATGGATGCGAGAACTGTGTCGGCCCTCACAAGTCCCAGCTCAGAATTGGAGGATGTTCCCGAGGAGGACGAAGCAACACATTGGCATGACAGCCCGGAGTCTGGGCAATCGGATTATTCAAGAACTCTGGGCAGTCAAGTGTCGCCTAAAACAAATGTCGCCCCAAAATCTCACCTGTCCATTAATGTAGCGCAGGAACTCTCAAAGAAGTTTTCCGAGGCATTGGGCTCACCCACTCTTCCTCAACATTCTCCGGATCGAGCCCACACGCCGCATGACGACCGAGCCACCCAAACTGCACTCCGACGACAATCATCGGTCCATCAGAAAACCATCAACGAGACAATATATGAATCTTGGGAAGATGATATTGACTACTGCTACGAACACGCAGCAGAGTCAAATTCTGATTTCGACTGGGGTCGCGCTTCATTAGACGAGTCTCGAAAAGATGGAACCGCGGTTACTGTTACGAAATCCAACCCAAGTGTCTCATCATCAACACAGCCTTCGGTGTCTTTTTCTGACCCAAAATACCACAGCACGTTGGTGCTATCGACTCCTGACTTGGACCCCAGTGCTTCGCGCTCAGCACCGAGTTCCCGCTTAGCTATAACGCGGTCTAGTGCTGGGTATGGGGGTGAGATAGGTACCCAGAAAGATGGAGTCTTTTTGCGGCCAGTCAGTTCTTCAGTGCTGTCAGGAGCTCTGACTAAACACATCTCCCCCGATACGATGTACGAGGACTATATCGCGGCTGATGGGGAATCAGATCGACACTTCTCCTTTTGCTCACAGGGTGGGTTTCAGGCTGTAGAGCAACCTGTGTCTCCTCGAAGCAGTTTCTCGCCCATAAGCAAATATAACTCCCAGGAGAGTCTAATCTTATCCCGTGCTGCTTCAATCGTGCGGAAACATCGCTCATCTGTTTCCACTACGAGCGTGCCAGAACTTGTACACAGCCTTGCAAGCAGCCGCGACTTTTCTACTTCGGATCTTATGCTTCCTGGGGAACAGTCCGAATTGGTGCACCAGGACTCCTCTTCCCATTCCTCCAACCACCGGCAGACAAAAAGCCTGGCACGGGAAATCGAATCACAAATAATGTCCCGCCCAGAGAGCATCAACAGCACTGATTCCACAAAGCTGATGGGCGCCACTGTTCACGACCGTGCCAAGTCCACATCTGAAGTTGAGGCTGCTCCCCTGGTGAACAAGGCTGTCAGACCCGAACTTCCTCCAAAGAGCGCAAATCGGAAGAAGGGTAGGACGACATCATACTCCCTCTTTCCATGTCCGAAAATTCCCTCGCCTGCGAACACCTAACCCTCGTCTCGCTTTGGATTCATTTTTGGCCGCCTATCGAAGACGGGTCTCTTGACTCCCTAATCTGGGAGTCCTCACGGCTCTCCATCAATCGGCCATACACCTTTCAACGACTTTATGAATTCCCATTTTGACCTGCATTACAACAATCTTTTGCGATGAATTTCTTTTGACGTAACCTTTTATTTCATGCGGTCGTTAACGAGTACTTTTGCATTTATCTTAGCATTTCTCAGCGGTCTGTTTCCAAAAAGAAAATGGTTCAAACATCGAGGGAGTATTACATAGTATTTATTCTTGGGCATGGGCGGACCGGAAAATTGGCTGTATTGGGATATATTAACATCAATCATTCGGGTTTCTTTTTGTCTTTGGTTTTGTCAGCGTTACTTGTCGAGGTCTGGATCTATTTCATTATACATAGAGGCATCAGACAGTCGGTCGGCCGTTCATTGTTACTATATACTACTCAAAATGACCACAAAGCATTAAGCTATCAACTTCAGACTGGAAGGCGGTATCCTATTGGCGGTGGGCTATACCGCCTTCCAGTCCAAAATATGCTGCCTCATTTCGCCTTGATCACATTGCCTCCAAGTGAGGTCTTTTGTCTCATTTCCTACACACACGCCATCGATTTTATGGAGATACCCGAGATTTTTTCCACGAAGACACGCCTCCTCAATCCATCTCCGCGATGTCTTCCCCCAAAACGCTTATCAAGCGCGACAACGAGACGAGTTTAATGCCGCCGCCTCCCCCAAAACGGATCAAACGTCCCTCCACCGTTCTTGATGAAGATATCTACACCGATGCGCTATCGCATATTATTGCGCGAGACTATTTCCCGGGGCTATTAGAATCACAAGTGAAACAGGAATACCTCGAAGCGCTAGACTCCAAAGATAAGGAATGGATTACAAGTTCGAGGAAGAAGCTTACGGATCTGATGAATACCCCGAAGCGGTCTCGGCCTCAGCTTGATTCAGGGTCTATAACTCCGAGATTCAAAAGTGCAGGAGCTCCTGGGGATACACCGACAGGCTGGGGTGGCGATACGCCCATGTCGGTCGTTTCGGCGGCGACTACAACAGACACGGAGACAACGCAAAAAACTACCCGTCCAGATGTCTCCAGAATGGGTCTGCTTGATTTTCAATCCAAGTATACCAGCGAGGATAACGAGTCTTTTAACAAACTCTTGGATAAACAGAATATCAAACATAGAGAGAAATATGCTTGGCTTTGGAGCGGGAACAAAATTCCGACTGCACGGCAGATTGCCCACCGACAACGCGAAACGAAACGTATAGAAGCGCAGGGTGGCAACCCAGATGAGCAGAAACAAGTTGCCATCAAGACGGATTTTGATGCTCGGCCTGCCAAGCCCGATGGGTGGAAGATGGAGGCGGAAAACTCGCTGATGTTCTTACCTTCGTCCGTCGAAGACTCGTTCGTGACTATCCAACAGAAGGCCGAGGCTACTTCGCGCGCCGGCCCTAAGCGGGTCGTATATCAGAATACTAGACTTCCAGAAGAGGGCTCCTCGGAAGCCAACAACCACCCGCCGCCCTCGCCATCGATATCGGCGATTCAAGATGCGATTGCGGGCAGGCCACGTCAGACAGAGACAGAAGCAGGATACACTGGCGGCGAAACACCGCGGGTAAACGGGTATGCATTTGTTGATGAAGATGAGCCCGAACCCGAACCTGCCCCATCCCGGAACGCCACTGAGTCCGAACTCAATGACCTCCGTATCCTAGGTAAAAGCGACGCAACCCCGAATCCATTCGAGATCAAGCAGAACCGTCACCGGGAGGATCTTCACCACCGCATGGTTAACCGTGTCGCCCGCACAAAACGGGCCGAAAAGGCCGCGCAGACCACCAAAACCCCCATCACAGCTACACCTCGGTTTGCGGGCAGTCCAAGGCTGGACTTTGGACTCCGCACTCCTGGTTCAGCCACGCCTGGCTCTAGTAGCACAAATAAAATGCTGACGCCGGCGGCGCAGAAGCTCCTGTCCAGAATGGGAAGTACGCCCAAGCGGGAGACGTCATCTTCCTCATCTACGCTAAGGGATATGTGGACACCGGCGTCGAGGAAGCAGAAATGAACTCTCCCTTTTTTTTTTTTTTTTTTTTTTTTCCTGTGAGCTGTCCTACTTAGCGCGGAGTTATATTTGGAACCACGAACAAGGCGTACAAGGGTAGCAAAGGACTGGCTTTTTGATTCTAGATCACGTTACAGGGCTATATTGATTATTATGATACCACAGCAGACCTTAGTGCTACAACGCCGATTATACACTATTTTCTATACCATACGTGGACGAGAATATTTGGCTGAAGGTCAACATTATGACCGTATGATCCTCCAAGGCGAAGGGTTGGGCATCTATGTGATTTGATTTATACAACTAAATATCAACGCTATCAAAAAGGGCGAGCGAGGACGACGACCCATAAAATTGTGGCGAAGTAGCAACATTATAGACAAAGTAGGATGGGTATATAATATGAGAGTAAAAAGGCCAAAGGCAGGACTTCCATAAATATGTATACTGTTGTTTGGTCTAAAACTGCCACAACACGGTTCCAATGATCGAAGACGCCACCATAGTAGACCACAAAGGATATGGTGCCCGGAGACTCAACCCAGTGTTGACATTATACGAATACTTTGCCCGATCGCCGTCTGGACATGAAAACTGCAACGTCATAGGGCATTGCCGCACTAGTGTATGGCATAATCTAAGGCTTGGAAGTTTCTCACTGTAGGGACCGGGTTTAATAGTCTCATTAATGAAACTACTCCGAGGGCCTTGTATAAGAGGTGGGTCGAACGCCTCGATGATGTGTGTGCCATTGGGGAATGGTTGTTTGATGTTGCGGATCAAGGAGCCGTTGTTTGGTTCGGAGTTCGAAGCGCTGTAATCGTCACATTCGGGGATAGTTACGGCACAGAGCCATGCTTTATAGGCATCTGCGCAACCCGCGCAGTTGACAGCCATGGAAAAATTGGTTTCACTGGTTGTGTTGCATTGAATTTGTTGAAGAGAGTAGGTGAAGTTTTTATACAGCTTTTCTGCGTTGTCATCATATTGTTTCCGGGTTTCCGATAAGCTCATTGCTGGGTTGTAAGGAACTGCTTGGGCAGTGTTGGAGCAAAAGCCTAATTTGTGAATTATTTCGCAATTGCCATCTTGGCTCATTAGAAACTAGTCGGGAATGGCGTAGTATGAGCGTGAATACTTACTTGCTTTTGTCTTGAACTGTTCGGCCTTCCAGACCGTCCCGCCCCCGCCGACAATCCCACTCCCAAACTTAGTGGTGTTACTCGTCGCTAGGACGCCCATGTAGTTCGAGCTACGATTTAGGCCCGTGATGGAGAATTGCTCCCTAGTTTTGGTGGAGCTTGTTTCGACATTGGCCATTTTGCCAGCTCGCTCAAGGGCGCAGTAGGACTGTGACAGGCCAGAAAAATCAGCTTTATCCGCGTTTATGACGAACACGGTGTAGTTGGCCGTGTCGACCTTTGCAAATTCTTCGGTATAGAGCAGGGCCGTTGTCGAGCCCGTGTCGGACTGAAGCGCAACGTGGTCATTAAATTTGTGGAAGAAGTCATCTGTGGACACCGCCACTTGATAGGAATAGGATCCAATGAAAGACGAAGATTTCGGGGCCTGTATGTCAATGTACACATCGGACTTGGTGAGTAGAGTCGTGCTCATATGCCCTTCCGCAAAGTTTTGAGATTTCCGTTGTTCACTATCCTTTTCCGAAACATGTACCTCCAGCGGATCCGGAACCTGCCCAGTATCAGATATCGACTCCTTAGGAATGGGTTGCCTGCATATAGTGACGGATATGTAGACTTTCGTAGTTTTGCTCTGATCATTGCGCGCATTGTCAGCGCCGTCGCTCGCCGCAGAGTTCACTGGAAAATACCATCGCTGACTTGCGCCCATGCTAATTTCATGTGCCTCGAATTTATTGTTCGTAAGGGGTTCCAGTGCTGCGTCTTTAGGAGCCCGACTGACGAGATCCAATTTCGATGTCTTCCCCATCTCATCCTCCCCATGATCTATGAGCAAGCCGTTGAACGAGCCAAGGGCATACGGAAATCCAGCAGGTGTATCATCTTTGGCAATTGAATAGCGAGGTCCTTTCTCCGTAGTAAAAGGTGGGGGCCCCGCGAAAGTAGCCAGCGCGGGGGCAATGACGGCGATAAGTAGGGCGAGTAAGATATTAAGACTCTCCGTAGCACCAGAACGACACGGTCGGTGAACGGCTTTTCGTGGTGTGGGAGAACTGAATGGTCTGGTCCATCCTCGGGCCATTGCGGCCATCCGTGTCATCTAAATATCATGCAAGCACGAGAAGATAGGAGCAAGCCCCGACGGAGGTGCCGACTTGTGAGGGCGGAGATGGATGGGAGTGAGTCCGAGTCATGCGCAGAATGTACAAGTTAAGTTGGCTTAACTCGGTCGTCTTAAATCAAGATACGCAGCGGCGTCATGAATGGCCAGTGTTTGATGGAGTGGAAAAGCTTCAACAGGCCCGACAAATACGAGGCGCATGCGATACTTTTCTGCCTGGTGCGGGCAGCATCTGCCACATTTGTTGATAAGTCGGCACCGCCACATCTCGGCACTAACTAAATATAGCGCTGTATTATACTGAAAATAACATTTACATATTAAGTTTAAGTTTCAAGACGTTGAAACGAAAGTATGGATTGCTTTTAAAGCTCTAACAATATAACTCAAGAAGCCTAACTGCCTGAATATGAACACAAGAACCGAACGTATATACCAAGGAGCGTCGACCAAGGGGCATTTTGTCGAACAACTTGTTTTACACAAGCTTATAGAACCGTGCAGCCAGGCCACTGATGACAACAACTGCAGCAAGGACCCCAACAATGCCGAAAAACCATCCGTATCCTGGCACGTCTTGTCCGGGTACGTGGACATTCATTCCAAACAAGCCACAGATGAGGTTCATCGGGACTAGTATTGTTGCAATAAGCGTCACCTTGCTCAGGACTTTGTTGGCATGGTTCCCCAGGACCAGGTTTGTCACGTTCAACTGAGCTAAATAATTAGTATGAGATCGACTGAGCATCTTCTCAAAATGGGCCAGATTGGACATCATGGTCACAACGTGATCTTGAATGTCACCCAAGTAAAGCCCAATATCACCGCGAGGTGTTACTGAATATTGCTCGTTGCAACGCTTCGAGAACCCGCGAATAACATCAGCTTTACCACCCAGGAGCCGCATCAGGCTCATGACTTTCTTCCGTAAATTGCCAATGCGGGGTAAGAATGACTCAAAGTCATCCATGCGCGCAATAAATACAAGGTCTTCAATTGCTTCGGTTTCAACTTCGATTTCCCGAATCGCGGGGCCAAAGCTATCTACTATGTCATCACTTGATACAAGTCAGCGTGAAATGTTCAGCTTGGTCAGCAAATGAATGCTAAAGAGGAACTAACATCATGGCATAACAGATCCAATCGCTGCTGAGCGACACGTAGTCACGGAGCTTTCCAATTCTCCTTCGGACATTGGCAGCGTGGGGATTCTCCGTAAATGAGAAAGATAGAACGCCGTCGCGGAACACGACCATATAGAAATTCACTGGCTCCATGAATCGTTCACTGTCCTTCTCAAGTTGGTAGAATGTCCGGAAACAGACAAAATAGTACTGTTTGAAAAGCTCGACTTTTTCACGCGATTCCTGTGTTAGAATATCTTCGGTCGTCAAAGGGTGAATGGAGAACGCCCTTGAAAGCGCGCTCACTTCAGCCTCAGTTGGGTTCAAAACATCGAGCCACCAAACACCACCGTCTGGTCCAAGTTGAAAGAGATCTCTGAAAGTGTCCCCCGGAAGGACCAGGTCCCCCAGTTCCGCCGCGTGTACGGTGCTCTGCGACTCCGAAGAGAAGAAGCCAAAGCGAGTCGGCTCATTTGCATTCTTCAATTTGTCTAGCAGACCCTTCTCGTTTGCGTTATCAAAAATCTTTTCATTGAATTTGGGTGGCATCGAGTCCTCAAGAGATAGTTCCCCACTGGAGGAGCGTTTCTCATCAGCTTCACTCGCAGTTCCGGCGGCTGGGCGAAGGTCTTCAAACACCCGCGAATATCTCCCTTGTGAGCTCAAGCTATGTTTCCGTCGGCTGATTGAAGGCTTCGACTTCTGATTCAAGGCTACGAATTCCTCCAATTCTTCGTAGTCAATAACAGGAATCCTTCCGGGCTCTTCAAATGGAGGCACACATGTATCTTCCGTAACATCCAGCTGTATGTCACCTGGCTGGGGTCGAATAACGCTAGCATTGCTAAAAGTTGGTCGTCTGGTACCACCAGAGACTGTACGCTGGAGAATGGCCTCCAGATCTGGGGCTCCGTGGCTTTCTAGGGTGTTTGCGCGCTCTCGGCGACGGGGGTCTGCGAATGCATCAACCGAATTGGGAGGCGAGGACGACCTGGCCGAAACTGAACTCTTTCGCGACCTGTTTCCAATGTCTTGATGTGTGCGACTGTACGTCCGAACATGGCGAGCATTTCCGGCGGGATCGACAGAAAAGCGGCGCCCAATAGCATTCAAATCATTCGCAGATCGATCATCATCCATTATTGCCTGCTCAAAGTCCCGCGAAAACGGGCCTGTATCTCGATAGGCATCTTGAGCTTGCAGAAGGTCCGGTCGTTGGGTTATCTCGGTTATTCCTTGCGGGGCAGTGTTTTGACGGCTCAGGGCCATGTCGGGAGTCGCTTCAATGCGTGGCTGGTTTTCTAAATGAAAACGATGATCATCCAGTTCAGGCACCGGAGTGCTGAACCTAGTCAGATCCATATACTTCTCAGACTTGCCAGACTCGGACATTTTCGAATGAGCTATCGATCAACGGGAAAATTGAGAAGAAAAGATGTTGGCTTCGCAGTACAACCACGATCAATGCCGTCGCCAGTATTTGTGTGTATGTATTCAATCACGAGAGGAATAAGGATGGGTGAGATAATCCCGGGGTAGTTGCACCTCCATCCATTAGCCAGACCCCTCGCAAGGGCCTGGCATTACCGACACGCGTGCGTTTGCCAGATTCTAGGTGTTCAAGGGAGCCTAGTTAGGGAGGTCTGGTGTCTCCCCCGCAGAAGACCCTGAACTTGGGGCCCAGGAGAGGGTGCACGAAAGAGGACTGAGAGTAGCGAAGCCCCGCCAACTTGACTGAGTAAGGCGAAAAGGAGCGCTGGCGCTCCGTAGTTGCGAACGGGAGGGAGCCTTCTCAGAAAATCTCCTCTTTAGCAAATCCTGCGATCAGTGAACCGCAGAAAATTTCGTTTGACGTAACTGGAGAATGGTTCTATGGTATCAAACACGCAGTGGGCAAAAGTCGAGAAGTCCAGTAAAGCAAATTCCAGGGCCGACTGCAGTCTCCTTATAACGAATGCGGTGATAAGGGGTTGAACCTTCAAGCCCGAGTGTCAAGGCGGGAGAAAACTTTGAAATACAGGGTTGTATGATGCAGGATTCAGCGCTAGTATGGAGTGCAATGGACAAAGGATTTTTTGCCACAATCCACACGGCTGGAATAACGGGACTCCAAATTCGTTTTGAAAACAAGCAAAAGAGACCACCGACTCAGAAGGTACGAGGTCTGAATATATAGAGCAGGAGGAAGAGGTGGAGTGAAGAGCAAAGGGAAAATGCCAAAAAAGAGGGGGCGAGCAGAAATTTCCGCATTTGAGGGATAAGAATACGTCGTCTGGAGCTCGTGTTAGAGGCTCCGAGGCCGCCGAGGAGTGCCCACCACGGGGCTGTCGCACCACATCAGCTCACAATTAAGAAGGTAGCCGTCTGATAGGGGAACTAAAATAACTCCGATACCTATTATTCTCTTCACTGAAGCTCTCCTTTATCCACTGCCAGAATTGTGGAAACACGTCGGACATTGGCAAGAGAGAGCATGCATTTACATTTTGGTAATTGGTACCACTGCGGACCATCACGGAGAGTTCCGCTCGGATACCAATGAACGGAGTTGGTCCAGAGCGCGTGCAACCAGTGTCCTGTTGTCCAGACCGCGATGTGAATTACTCACATTCTGATTGGGGAGGATAAAGGAGGTCAGAAGGCAGGCAGTTGATGGGTCAACTTGGATCTTTTCAGCAAGCAACGAGATCTGCTTCTGATGCAGAATCTTGATCCTTCTGCTCAGCATTGCAGCTTGTGACTGGAGCGTCCGTCACGGGTGACATGAGCTGTGACCTCAATTCCATCGCTTTTTTTCCTTTTTTCCTTTTTTTCCTTTTTTTTTTTTTTTTTTTTTTTTGCTATTTACACTGGGTGTCCCCGAAATCGGCCTGGATCCAAATTTTTTACTATTTTTCAGTGTGCCAAGCCCTGGCACAGTCATAGCTCATCAATGAATATCGGCTCATGCTTAGACGAAACAATCACTCCAGACAGACTGAAGTAACAACCTAGGAGATTGTTTACTACTACAGGCGCATACTGTCAACCTAGAGAGCAATTGGCTCAACAGTTGGCACACTCTCTTGTGTTTTACTCTCCCTAGTTTGCACTCACATCTGGCTCGGCCTCTTAACTGGCTCTCCCCGCAATGTCTTCGAATTCCTTCGTCATTCGGACTCCCTGCTCGTCCGCAAATATCGGCCCTGGGTTTGATGTCATCGGTCTAGCCCTTTCCCTCTACCTCGAGCTACAAGTGACTGTCGACGCTGCGAAGACGTCCTCGCAAAAACCTCTCAACTGTGTCATCACATATGACGACCAGAGCAACAGTGCCGAAAAGATCAGTCTGGACCCGGAGGTGAACTTGATCACGCGTGTAGCTTTGTACGTACTTAGATGCCATGATCAAAGAGCATTCCCCGTCGAGACCCGTGTTCACATCGTAAATCCCATCCCACTGGGTCGGGGTCTTGGGTCGTCGGGAACCGCGGTGGTTGCGGGTGTCATGCTGGGAAATGAAGTAGGCCAACTTGGTTTGAGCAAGGATCGACTCCTTGATTATTGCTTAATGATTGGTAAGTCACTCTCCAGGTGCAGTTCGATATGCTGCTGCTGCAGGCTAATTCATCGCGCTAACTCGCCAACAGAACGACATCCAGATAATGTTGCTGCTTCTTTGTTCGGAGGGTTTGTTGGAACTTACCTTAATGATCTCAAGCCGGAAGATGTAGCACGCAAAGAGATCCCTCTCAGTGAGGTTCTGCCCGCCCCAGCTGGTGGAATTGACACTGGTCGACAACCACCAGAGCCGCCTCTCGGAATCGGTCATTATAGAAAGTTCCAATGGGCCGAGGAAATCAAAGCAATTGCTATTATTCCCGATTTTGTGGTGCCCACTGCCAATGCCCGAAATGTTTTACCTACTACTTATTCACGCGCTGATGTGGTATGTTTTCCCCAATTGCCCTTTTACTAAACAACTCATCGTCTAACGTTTCAGGTCTTCAACTTGCAACGTGCTGCTCTACTTCCAGCAGCCTTAGGGTCGTCCCCACCTGATCCAAACATGATCTATCTAGCTATGCAAGACAAGGTTCACCAACCCTATCGCCAGACACTTATCCCTGGCCTTACAGAGATCCTCCAATCAATGACACCGGCCACACAGCCTGGCCTTCTTGGAATTTGCCTGTCTGGAGCCGGACCAACTATTCTTGCCTTGGCCACTCATAGATTCGCTGAGATCGCGGAACTCATCATCTCTCGTTTCAGCTCCCAGAACATCTCTTGTCAGTGGAAACTCCTCGAGCCGGCCCAGGACGGCGCAATAGTGAATCACTGAATACACATACATCATTTGTCTCATTTCATGACCATGCAATCTGCTAGGAAACAAAGCATGGTAGGAAGTCAGACCGGTCCGAGCCCGGATGCTCATGTTATTGGCTGGCAGACCTAACATTTATCCCAAAACGAAGAACGAATAGATATCATTCAATCACATTGATATTAAAGGTTTAGTACCAGCCATTCTCCTATAATATGCGAGTGCTACCTTAACGGCTCCAACGAAGAAATATAATAATAATACATAAGTAACAATAAATAATAATGGAGACTCGTCAGAAATTTTGCTACACGGTTTGACAGCCTGAGCACTATTGGGTAGTCCCCAGAATCAGCCCTTCTCGTCTCAAGAACTGTTGACTCTTTTTGACGCAACGGCAAAATTCAATACCAGTACTGAACTACCGCCGACTCGCGGCTATAAGGAAATCGCTAGCAATACAATTAATTTCCTGAGACAATATTTTGTTCCAGCGGCCACCAAAGTTAGTAAACAAATACGCAATTCGAAAAGAATAAATAATCCTTATTTATCTTAGCATTCAAATATTGCGTTACTTTCTAGTAAGCATGTTCACTGGTTCAAGTGTTCCCAGTTATTGATCAGTAAAGGCGGTAAACGTCTCCGCGCGTCGATAAGGCGGCAGCTGTCCGCAAGCAGTCTGGGGTTTGGACAAGTATCCATAGTTGAGTCTACACCCACTTAAACCTTCCAAACACAGCAGTTCAAGGCATACAAGCTCTCCATTATGGACAATATTCTATCGCCTATCCAAGATGCCCTTGAGGGTCAAATCGTAAGTTCTGGTCTCCGTCGCGGCCTATTGCCCTGCCTGCCTTAATCATCATGCCAATCTATCAATACTAACCTGTCTATTCCCATCCGCATTAGGATTTCCACGGACAACAAATCACGGAGATCCTTTCTACAGCGCTCTTGATATTATCAGGAGTGAGTTCAATATCTTTCTTTTTGCTTCCTGGTGCTACGTGCCTTACTGACAGCGATTGATGTTTTTCAAGGTGGTCGCTTCCTTAGTCGGATACATCTTCCAAGACATTCACCTGTCACTCTGGGCCGGGTTGGCTGGTACACTCCTAACTGCGCTCATTGTTATTCCTCCATGGCCCATTTACAACAAACACCCTGAAAAGTGGCTTATTCCATTTGCTGGCAGAGCAGGCGTTACGGTAGATGGGGTCAAAGTGGCGTGACATGTGTCGTGGTCTTCATTTTAGATATGGAATGGAACGGCATCGCATTTTTTGACGTCTACGTGTTTAATGCATTGTGGGCCGAAAAAGTAAAGGTGATTGAAACGAAGCTAAAAAAGCGATGACCGTAAACGCCCACCAAAACGCATTAGCTGCACAGCAGCTTGCCTCATCTCCCGTTAACAAAAATATGCATTTACCGGCCATATTTTTGAAATTCCCAATCTTTGTTGTCAAGAGGACACACTTGACGAGTCTTTAGCCAGCGAGAGATGCAGTGGAAGTGGAATGCATGCTAGGGTTTTGTCAGTGTTGGTCAAGTCAAAATCGGTATTTAGGCAGCACGCACATTGCATATTCCCCAGGCTACTGTGCACTCCTCCGTTGTAGATGAACCTTGGTTTGCTTGACACTCGATGCCTATGCCGAAGATATTAGCACCACACTCAACGTCGAATGGAGAAACCGTAGGCAGAGCATACATAGATCCATAATGTGGTTACGACAAATGGCGCAGTTGTCGACGACAATATCCCACGCCCATAACGCAACAGCATTCCACTATCAATTATTTCACTTTAGCAACGTCGTCATCTCCAAAGTCCAGCTGCATGCGGGGTTGTACCTTCTTTACTTCAAATTTCTTCTTGCCATCATTGGCTCCTTCGGTCTTGGAACCAGCCTTCACCTTGGAGGATGAGGCTTCTTTCATTTCGACGTCGGCCATTCTCAATGTGTATGCCAGTGATATCGAAGGGCTTGGTCGGAGAGGACGAGAGGCAGGGCGGCTCTGGCTGATTATGTAGTTCGGGGTAGGCTTTATCGGACGTCGGTGACTCAACGATGAAAGCTATCAATACAAGTTAGTCAAGGTTTTGTAGGAAAGTGAATTTCGACAAAAAAAATTCAGTTATATACCTGGTGAGATCCTGGTGATGTTATGAAAAGTGAAACAGACAAAGCCAGGCTCTTAAGGTCTCTCAAAGGCTCCCGCCTAGGTACCTGCTGGATGAGGTTTGTATTGTTTGCACTGCCAAGTCTGACTCGTGGAGCTCTCAAGCCTGGAGCTGGCGAAGGTGGCGTGGGGCGGTCAGGCGCCTTAGTCATTGCCCGATCCCCGCCCGGTTCATCAACCCAGCCTCAGGTCATTTCGACTCTCTTCCTGACGTTATTTTGAACCATCCGTTCTCAATGTCGCCAATCACACAATAATGCCTCAACCTCTTTTCCCTACCTGTCTTCTTTCCCGTTTACCTATATTAGACGTTACTGTCTTTACGAGCTTTGATTCACTACCTTCTTCATCCGTTCCTCGATCGTTTTAATTAGACTGAGCCGCTTCTTCGACCGGATTAAGCATCGTCGTCACGACCATTAGCTGAGGGCGGCATCTCTTAGTAGTAATTCAAGCGTTGAATTATTCCTCGGTGCCGGCTACCGAGAAGTTATTATTTATCCGTTACTACCTTTTTTTTTTTTTTTTTTTTTTGACAAACCTCTACTATTCTTCTTATTATCACTTGTCGCGGAAGCTCTTTTATTGCAGCGTCATACCCTTGAATAAGGCTGTTTATTTATTAAGCCAACCCGTCGCAATGCCGACTCAATCCCCCACTCCTCTGACACCGAAAGGCCCTCGGAACAATCGTCGCAATCAGAAGAAAACCACAACACCTTCAGCTCAGAATGCGTCAACACTCGCGACACCTCCCTCATCACCCCCACGAACCTTGAGTCCCAGGGATACGACGACTGATTCTTCGGGCGCCATCACCCTGTCCAAGAAAAAGGGAAATCGATCTACAAAGAAGCCGCGCGATACCTCCAGAATGTCTCCAGTCAACAAATCCAGCCACCGCCACACCTCCTCACATCCGAACAATAACATTACAACGCCCCATTTGAAGGACACTCATTATGCGGGCCCAACCTTCCATGCATCCCCCGCGCCTTCAGCTCTGCCTATCCCAAGCTTCTTTTCCAAGTCATTCCCCGATTCTGATCTCGCGCCCACCTTGGAGCATGATGGCGACAGTTTCGATGTCGATGGGGATCTTGAGAATACGCCCTCCAAGCCCAAATCGCGCCCACTTATTCCACAGGAGGAGCGGGAGTCGACACCCCTTGATTTTCTTTTTAAGGCTGCGGTTGAAGCTCGAAGATCCCAGTCTCAGCCAAGCCCTGAATCTAGTCCTAGAGGCCAGTCACCGCAAACCGATTCCAAGGCAATTCAAACCCGGCAGTTCGCCAACGACACCAGTGGTATGTTTCCATTGGAAATGGGAGGCCAGGATCTACACAACGCCCAAATCGGGCCTTCGTTTGCACCGTCCTACAGAGATCGTATGAACGCTCTCCGATCAGCTAGCTCTCCATCTCCGACCTTGCAGGGTCTTAATGAAGACGAGCGGAAGGCCAAAACAGAAGCGTTAAAGAGTTTGTTGCTCAACCCCCGCCCTCAGCGACCATCGTCTACCTCTCACTCGAACCAAGATCCGGTCAATCACGCGCATAAGCGGCCAGGCCTCAATACGATGGTCCCGCATTTTGCGACACCCTTAAGGACCAGCTCGGGCCCACCCATAATAAACCCTCATGCGGATGCGTTGGGCAACAGACCACCTCATTCTGTTTTTGGGCCACGCCCGGTTTCGCAGAACTCGAATCTAAGTTCACCACAGAACCGCCAGTTACGGGATTCAAATTTTGGACCTGGAATACTTGCGTCCAACCCCGGAAATGCACCCAGCACACCAAGACAAGCATACGGCTCACCATCCCAGGTGTATCCTCCTCGGATTTTACCGGCTCAACAGCAAGATTCAAAAATTTACCCCCAGCTTTATTCCAAGTCTCCAGGTCCTCAGTATGAGTCTGCCAATGCAAATTCACCTGTGGTCGACACGAAGAAGATAGAGGATGATCTACGGCGAGTACTGAAGCTTGATGCCAACCCGGGTATTCAATCGAGCAGCATTCAGAGTTCACTCGCATAATGATATTGTTTCTAATGCAACGCGGGTGCCGTCTCTTTGAACTGCACTTTCACGATATTAATGTCATCGTTGTGGCTGCAATAAGCAATCGTCCTGTCCCTCACTCGCTTGGGGATGTGCCCAACAATTTCAACAATTTCCCTTTATCTGGATTATTCTGAATACGCTCTTCCCAGGTCTCGATGATCTTTCTTCTCCCTTGTTATTTGATTCAGCAGCTAGATTGATCAGTGTCTTTATGGCCAGGTTTCGGTGTTTTGGTATGCTTCATTACTAGCGGCTGGTTTTATGACTGGCAAGGTCGATTGATTCGTCGGTGGGGATTGCATATTTATCCCCCATTCCCTGGTTGCATCGAGCCTGGAGTCCGGTCATGTTTTGAACGAGGTCATTTGAAAGTATACTTTTGTGTGAGGATTAGCAAGGAATCGCCTTTTCCAACACTTCTGTGCTTCTGCATGAAGCCTTATGTCAACATCCTCTCACCTCCAGTTTTTACCTTTTCTGTCACAGGTTTCTTCAGACACCACTTTCATTTTACGTATTACTTTTCTGTTTTATATGCTTTGTTGTGCACTTGCTCTTCGCTAGCCTGTAACCGTGGTGCGGTGACACAGTCTTGTCATTATTTATTTTTTATTCTTGTTTTCTCATATTTCCTACTTGGCTCAAGAATCCACAGCTGAATTGGCCAAGCTTCATTCTCAATCTTTCCACACAACCCCTATGTCAAATTTTCTCTCATTATCACAATTCATTCTTTACTTTGTGCATCATAGGATCCTCGTTAGATGTGTACAAAGGGTCCTTACCGAAATCGAAACAATGATGTAAGCCGTAACAATAGCCAAAGTGCATCAAGATTGGACCGGTCAGTGTTTGGGTTCATGCCGCAATCGGGTGTCTGGTTGGCCAGCCTAGGAATGTGGATGTTTGTTTTCAGCACAAGGTGTTCGGTGAGTCCGATTGCAGTATTATAGTAGTCGTGACATGGGGCAAGTTCCCGCCCCTGGACCCTGTTTTGATTATCTCAACATGAACAAATGCGATGGTTAACTAACAGGTATAGTAATCGGGAGTCAATGATACTGGAGTCTGAATAAGAGGCGTTGCGGCGAGCGGCCGGGGGCAAAGAGACCGAGGGGAGAGGTCGGGCTCCTTCCCAGGGGTTGAGCAAAGGGAACTGCAAATGCAAATTAAACTCTTCTTTTTATTGCAAGATTAAGGATTTAAGGATAAATGATAATAATAACAGGGCCAGTCCACACACTAGCCTAGCCCCAGGGGACCTGAAGAGAAGCCGAAGAAGAGGCATTGATCATCGTTGCTTGTCCGCTTTCTTTTCCCAAGTTCCCACCTCTTCATTTCCCTGCACTCAGAGGGACGCCGACGACATCATTCCTATCGCATCCCATTCCAGGCTCTTTTTTTATCTTCGGTTCTTTCTCTCTCCCTCTCCCTCTCCCTCACCAACTTCGACCTGGATTTATTTTCACCCCATTCAGTCCTCTTGCCATCCAAAATCACATTTCAGTTTCAACACGCTCTTTTTTTGCTCGTTTCCTCCTTGTATCGCGTTTTCTGGATCCCCCCTCAGACCCTGCGACCCTCCCCTTCCTCGCTCTTCTGGCTGCCTGTCCCTGTTCGCTTGGCCGGCCATATTCCTCCTTGCATGCCCATTATCCAATGATCCGCTCGCGCTTTGCATAAAAGCCTGGAAGGAATCCTGCTGTGTTTACTCTCTCTCCTGCCACCGTGCTCTGCTGTTGATCTACCAACATGTCAAACCCGTGAGTATTTCTTGCAGACTCGGTGTATATTCCTTTCCACCCGGCACTTTTCTAATGGCTTGCCCTGCGGTAACAGCTTCGGCTCAGCATGGCGCTCCTTTTGGCATACGATGACTTCCTACGACCGCCACGCGTCCCACGACTCCCCCTATCGAACAGGTAGACATGTGCCTCTCAGCCAAAGCCGCCATGAGCCTCTTACATCCATCGCGACAAGCGCTATCGAATCCCGACCGGATCTTACTAGCCCCTACGAGGACGAACAGCCCAATGGCGTCAGCTCACCAAATCGTCCCTACTCTCCAGGAATGCGATCGATGTCATCTCACACTCGGCAATCAGGAGACCACGGGGCAGATGGTGCTCCGGAAATCCAGATGCAAAGCTTCCACGACGGAGCACCTCCTCCGCCTCCTGTATCCCATTCGTGGAGAAAGATAGAGCGCTGGCTTGAAAACCATTACGAGGAACTCTACGATAATCTATGCGAAGGTTGCACCCAAAATGATATTAACGAGCTAGAACACGAACTCGACTGCAGCCTTCCCTTGGAAGTTCGGGAATCTCTAATGAACCACGATGGCCAGGAACGTCCTGGTCTACCGACTGGCATCATCTTCGGCTGTATGCTCCTTGACTGTGAGGAAATCGTCCAGGAATGGAAGAATTGGAGGACGGTCAATGAAGAGTTTCTCGCTTCCCCAACAATGGTCAATACTCCGATTCCGAAGGCCACAGCCAGCTCATCTTCTGCCACACCTCCCCAGGCATCAAACCCGATGTGGCGACAGGATCTGCTTGAGCGGCAAGACTCACAACCTCCAGGCGCAGTTCAGAAGGCCTACGCTCATCCCGCTTGGATCCCACTCGCTCGCGATTGGGGTGGCAATTGTATCGCAATCGATTTAGCTCCTGGACCCGCGGGGAAATGGGGTCAAGTTATCATATTCGGCCGGGATTACGATTGCAAGTATGTCATTGCTCGATCTTGGGCCACATTCCTTGCCGTTTTCTCGGATGATATCTGCAGTGGCAAGGCTGTCGTGGAAGAGGACTCGAACGAATTGAAGCTCCTGGAATTCAAGGCTCAGAATGTGGAACCACCATACTTGGAAATCATGCGTTGGAGGGCAGATCAAAAATATGGCAGGAAAGCACCTCGTCGCAAGGCACCCAACGGCTTAGGTCTCAACACCAGCACCAGATCTGGGAAGGAGTCGCCTTATGGGAGCCCAGGCCCTGGCGAAGAGCGCGGCAGGTCACCACACCGTTTCCCAAATCGTGGTTCTACCCAAAGTCCAAAGACACAATTTGGCATGTCGAGCCCGCTTGCCCGTGTCACCGAGGAGGCTTCGAGCCCAGTCCACGGGACTACTGAAAGCGAACCCGCCGACAATACTACCAAACCTGCTACAAAAGAATCCAACAGCGAAGACCTTCTAGAAGTTGCGACTCCGCAGGCCTCGGGAAAGGAGAACGAAGGTTTTGGCGAGCAACAACCCGCGAGCAAGGCGGATCCCGAGAAGTTGCAAAGACGTGAACCAAGCCAGGGAACCCCTACAGCCGGCTTGGACAATGAAGTCCTTGGCGAAATGAAGAACGTCGCCATCTAAGCCGCGGTCGTACGATTTGCTCTTTATTTTTTGGGTCCGCATATCATGAACAGCCTCCTTTTCACTGTTTTTGCGCAGGGCCTTTATCTTGCTTTTTTACCTCTTTAAAGTGCACCCGGCGCAACCGTTGAAATGATGGGTTCCATCAAGAATTTTCTCTTTTTTCGATAACCTTGTATAAATTTCTACCATTATCGTGCTTTTTCAGTGATCTCGCCCGGCACCGCTCGCGATTTTCTACCTTGCTTGACACTGTCTGTTCGACATTACGTGTAACTTTATCTCTACGACCATGCAGTACTAGGTACTAGTCCTTTAGTCTTTCCAAGGTTTTGTTTTTTATCTTTCTTTTCTCCTGCCGTACAATAATTTCAAAATTACTCTTATGGAGTGCTTATATATATCGTTCTGCGACTTTATGTGGCTCCCCGGCACTTTACCATCTCAGAATATGTCTATATGCAACTGTTATTGTTGGGCGATCCCACGATTCAGCTTTGGGTAGTTGGAGCACATCCCAACCCCCATTCCTAGTAATCTATAGAGCCAGCAGCAGTTGCACGCTATTATTCTCTGGTATATCAGAGACATGACATCATCCGATATTTTGACGAAGTACGTGCCCGGCTGTCTTTATCTACAAGTCGGTTTTTTAATTGTAGAACGGCTGGCGATGACGCCAACTTGGTCATTTTGCTGGTGTAGGCAACAGGTACCGATGGAATCCAGTAGCAGTCCATTATCATGAAAAAGGCTGCTTGGAGATTGGGTAGATGCTTTCGTCTCGGGCTCAGCGAACACCAAGTCGATCGTATGAAGAAAATGTAAGCGGCTTCAGGCTTTAGCTGATAGTTGGCTGCCTTGCCGCCGTGCGGTGTTCGCTGTGCAGCTAGGCTACCTGCGCTGCTCGTCTCAGTCCCAGTCATCGTCATCGTCATCCTTGATGGCTCGCGTATTCCCAGCCCGGATACCCCGCCTTCGTTTTCCAGAATCGTCTTCCTCGCCATCACTTTCCTCCTCTGATCCTTCATCATCTCCGGCATTGAACCTTGTATGTGACAATATCCCTTTCACCAGCAACCTTTTTTCTAGGGTCGCCGTACTAAACCCTTCCAACCCATCGCTGCCCCCTGACCCCAATCCCTCAAATCCAAGCACCCTTTCCACTGCCACCCCGTCCATAAACCCAATCACACAGGGAAGAACCCTTATCTTCAACTTTTCCACGACAAACGGCGTTTCACGCACGTCGACTCTTGCAAATCGCGCGTCTTGGTGCCGTGCCGCGAGCGCCCGAATGTGTTCATCCATGGTCGCACAGCGCGCAAAGTCCGGATGTGCAAAGTGGATTACGCATCGCTGTGCCTGGGTGGTGAAGTCTAGGAGGGCTTGATCGCTTTTCAGGGTCGGGTAGTGAGAGTCTTCGATGAGGGTGGTTCTTTGGTTGTTAGATTTTTGCGATGTCGCGAACTCGGCATTGAGCTGTTCGATGCGATGGGCACGGTAGGTGGTGTCGTCCTCTTCTTCTAAGGCTTTGAACACGGCGTCATCATCGGAGAGATCGAGCTCGTTTATGTCTCGTTGACGCGGTTGGGGTGTGGTATCATGGGACATTGCGAAGCTGTGGTATATCTCTTCTGCGTTTATTTGGTGTTATGGGTATTAGGCTACTGGCCTGCAGGATGTTATTTTCAAGACAAGGAGTGGGTGGGGTGAATTATGGTAGTGGGGTGAAGAAAATATACTACGTATTACTTAAAGGAGGTGATGGAGATATATATAAATAATCTGCGCGAAAACACCGCCGATCCAGGAGATCAGTCTATAACAAAACGAGGCAGCACCTGTAGCACCAATACTGGTTGGTTCTTGCACAACCCATACAGCCGAATCCACAGCAATCATTGCACAGTTGCACTACCCCCAAGTGGACTCGGAAAGCGAACGTAGACCTCAGATCCATCCAAGAACTGCGCACCGTTTCCGGAGGTGGCGCCAAACTCGATGCAGATGAATTGTCACGTTATTTAATTACTTACTGCCAGCAACTTTTTTGTCCTACCTCACACCCTTTTCACGCGGCACCTTTTACAGCTTCCTTCTTCTTTACCCAAATTCGATCTCTTTAGTCGCCTTGTCACTCTTTCTTCCGAGACACTCCGATAGCCTCAAATCTCGCGTCCGTTGCCACGCCACTGGTTTTTCGATCGCTTAATTGCGGGATCCCCCTTTGTCGCCGCTTCAACCCCAGACACCTTATCGACGTTCCAGCGCCTTGACTTCCAAAATGGCGGACAACAGAAAACCTGATGAGTACGCGATTGAGATGGAGAAGCTGGACGAAAATAAAAAATTTCAGGCGCCGCATTCGCCGCCTCAGTCGCGGAGTTCCTCGTCCAATTCAGTCGCCAACAATGCTGCCCTCTCCGTTCTGGCGTACTGTGGCTCATCCATTTTGATGACTGTCATGAATAAATACGTGCTTTCTGCAGATTTCAATTTAAATTTTTTCCTTCTCTGTGTGCAGGTATGCTTGGACCTTCCAAAAACGCCAGGATTGTTATATGCTGACTATGCACCGGTTTTAGTCTCTCGTGTGCATCACTGCCATACAAACATGCAAATACTGTGGCCTTATAACATATCGTGACTTCAACCTAGACGAGGCTCGAAAATGTACGTACCTTAGAGCTCATTAGTGTCTCCCGACGAAGCTGACGGCTGTTTTGTACAGGGTTTCCCATAACTCTCCTACTCATTGGGATGATTTACACCGGATCTAAAGCATTGCAATTCCTTTCGATCCCGGTCTACACCATTTTCAAAAACCTGACCATCATCCTAATCGCATACGGAGAAGTCTTGTGGTTTGGTGGCTCGGTCACAAATCTCACTCTCTTCTCGTTCGGACTTATGGTTTTCAGCTCCCTCATCGCTGCCTGGGCCGACATTAAACACGCAGTTGAAAGTAATGGCGATGCGACGTCAAAAGTTTCTACTTTGAATGCCGGATATCTTTGGATGTTAATTAACTGCCTCTGCACGTCGTCTTACGTTCTGGGAATGCGCAAGAGGATCAAGTTGACCAACTTCAAGGATTTCGATAGTGAGTGCCTCTACGGTGATTCTTAAGTTTATTACTCTAACCTGTCACCCATCCAGCCATGTTTTACAACAACCTCCTTTCGATTCCTGTTCTCATCGTATGTTCCGGTTTCCTGGAAGATTGGTCACCTGCGAATGTCACCCAGAATTTTCCCCCTGCTGACCGCAACGGCATCATGTTTGCCATGATCCTGTCCGGGTTGTCTACGGTGTTCATTTCATATACATCCGCCTGGTGTGTTCGTGTCACTTCGTCTACCACCTATTCAATGGTCGGCGCCCTCAACAAGCTTCCAATCGCTATCTCTGGATTGGTATTCTTCGACGCCCCAGTTACTTTCCCTAGCGTGTCCGCCATTCTAGTTGGGTTTGTTAGTGGCATCGTATACGCTGTTGCGAAGATCAAACAAAACGCCAAGCCAAAGGTCGGAATTTTGCCAACCTCCAACCCAGTCAGCGCCAGCAGCCAGAGCATGAGGGATTCGTTGCGCTCGTGAATCATGACCCCTTAACGCAGAGACATAGTCGCCCACGGTCCAGTTTTCACTGTGGGATATGCGACAAAGCAAGTTTTGTGCCCCGAAAGTAATATTGCAGGCATGGCTTATTTGCGATTGATTCCGTGTCAGTAGGTGTTGGTGGCTGTGTACAAAATTTTGCTCATGGATAGAACCCCGACTTGGCTGCACCCTGCGTTCTATATTCTTTGAGCTCACCTGATGCCCCCTATAATGCCCTTGTTCTCGCAGTGAACACAGCACCCTTTGCCATCACCAGTGTAGTAACCTTTAGTGATGCTGGGGTTTGCTTCGCGTTCATGCTCTTGGATTCACTGGAGCCGGCACGCGTGGAGTTTGTCGGTCGTGGAACAAAGCCGATGTCCACTGTCTGGTGATGAATGTTGTATATATTGTTATTTATATTATTTAATTAGGGTATAGAAAGCGTTTTATTTTCTAGTTTTATTTTTAGTTCTATCTTTATACACATTTTCATTCTTGTATCTATTTGGGAAGCGATATATTGTGTAGGACCCGTTAAAACGTCCCGGCCTTAAATATTCCGTGTTCTGTCGAGTCTCGGCCCGCCGCTGGCGTGGGAGACCCGACGAAGCTTCCAACTCTAAATTTTGTATCAAAAGCGAGATAGAAAACCCAACGCTTTCACCCACGTTTCCCTAATTGCCATTGTTGTTAATTTATTTTAACCCCCCGAATATCTCCGAATACTGCTGTTTGGCCTTGACGCCGGTAAAAGAAGAACAAAAATTCCAGAACGAAAAAGCCCATGACGAAACCAAAAAGAGCCCGAGTCCAGCAGCAACACCAACATGCGCGCTCCAACCCGAATACGAGCCATGGAGCAGGCAAGAAGCATCGCAAAATGAGCTCGTTTGCGAAGCTCTCCACAAAGAGCAGTCACAGCCACAGCAATACTAGTGGGAATAAGGAAAACAAGGCACCGGCTGGGAAGAATGAGAAACATCAGCACAAGCAGCACAGAAGACCGATTGTACCATTCCGGAGGACAGATCGGATACTGTTGGTCGGGGAGGGTGGGTTATCCCTTTCTACCCTTCACTTCTCGTCATTGTTTGCTTGGAATGGCGTGTGAATGTTGCTGCCCTATGTATTATCTATGCGGAGATTGCGAGCGTACCTGCCGGAAAGATATCGAGATTATACAAATCGATATATGTATATATGCTTACTGATGCACGCCCGCCGGCTTTCTGGCAACCTACTCACTCGTGCGCTGCTTTGTCGATTTTGCTTCCTCGATAACAGATCCCATATGCGTCCATGTCCTATTAAGGAACACGCCCCCATGAAACCGAAGACTGACATTTCTAAAACCTAAATAGGGGATTTCTCGTTCGCCCATTCCCTAGCCACGTATCACCGATGCAGACACATATTGGCAACATGTTACGACTCGGAAAAGGCACTTTACACCAAATACCCTCAAGCCGAGAAGAATATCGCCGATATCGTTGACAACTTGTCGAAGCCCAAGGATGGCGAAACCCAAGGCCCGAAGGTGTTATTCTCCGTAGACGCGAAAAAGCTCGGCACCGCACCCGGCGGAGGGAAGAATGTCCGAATTGGATATCCCAGAAAAGAACGGAAAACACTTACTTGGAAGAAAGAAAGGAGTACAGATTCCGGAAGGGATAATGAGAGGAAGGACAAGGCTGGGCCCTGGGATGTGATATGCTTTAATTTCCCGCATGTAGGTGGACTTTCGACGAATGTGAACCGGCAGGTTAGGGCGAACCAGGAACTTCTTGTTGCGTTCTTTAAGGCGTGTATACCTCTTCTGGCGGAGAGACTTGAAGAAGTTGACGACAATGATGACGATGAGGAGCATGGGTGGGGCTCTGATACAGATGAAAATGGGTCTGGTGAGGACGCGATTGCAAAATGCGATGACGATGACGGCACTGTCAAGGCGAAAGACGAGCGGAGAACGGAACCCGGCCAGGTATTGATAACGCTTTTCGAGGGGGAACCTTACACGCTATGGAATATTAAGGATCTAGCACGACATGCAGGATTGCGGGTTGTGACAAGTTTTAAGTTCCCGTGGGCGTGCTATCGTGGATATTCTCACACACGAACGCTGGGGGAAGTTGAAGGGAAGGATGGTGGAAGAGGAGGATGGCGAGGTGAAGATAGGGAAGCTAGAACGTACGTGTTTGAGCTCAAGAAAGACGACCCCGTTGCGTCTGGGGCCACGGGGAAGAGGAGGAAGAGATCAGCGGAAACAGATGATTCCGAGAGTGATTAGGTAGTATTTGCAAATTATATGTACAACAATAAGTATAATACCCGCTATGTCCGGCCCCCACAACTGTATAACGGCATAGTATAAAGGCATATTGAGTTAAAAATGAAGTTCGTACACCATACATTCCGTTACATGATGTACACTTTCTTCATATCACTCTCGTCGTATATCTGACCTGTTATAGGATCTTTGACTTTGCCTGCGTCGATGGAGCTGAGCTTCTTGCTCATATCTAGCAACCGGTGAAGACCGTATACTCTGCCGTTTGGCAAGACAATCGGGTCATTTTCGACGTAACTTTTCGTGTGATGGGCGTACGGCAGATTTCGAGCAAGTTCATTCAGCTCGGTCGAACATATAGGGCACACGGAAGTAGTTATCGAATGAGGGTTAGAACTCGAAGAGGTGTAAGCTGAGTGGCACGAGGGCGTTTTCAGGGCGGAAAGGCCGGCTGATAAAGCGATATGTATCAATGGCCGCGAAGGCAAAGAAAGAAGTTCATGATGGGTGCGAATGAACAAGCCAGAAAGATATATCCACCGTTCAGAGGCATACATCGACTAGGCCATGTTAGATCAATCCGATTTTGAAGGCAAAATCAAAATACCTTGTAAGGTTCGGCTTTTGTGTCTGGAGGGAAAGCAAGCAAACCAGCAGCTCGATGAATCTCGGCCGATTGAGTCTCGTCATATGGGGCGAGATACTTTCTGGCATGCACCATTGCATCCACAAACTTTGTTCTATCTCTTGTTCTGATCATTTCAATGTACTGCTGCAACCGCAACTCGAACTCCAGGTTATACTGCGACAACCATATTAGGCTCCGAATAATGGAGTACCAAGAACGTTAAATGTACTTACCTGACTCCTTTTCAAAGCCGCCTTGTTCTCATTACACCACTGCAGAGCGTCCTTGGTTTCTCCATGGCGCAGACTTTCGGCGATCCGCTGACACTGTACAAAGACGTTGAGATCCACAAGCTCCTCGATATCCTTCTCTCGAGCAAGCTGTTGAGCGCTTCCTGTATACCCTGATCGCAGCATATGGTCAATTACGAGCCTGTCTAACCGGACTCTTGACCACTGATCGTATTTGACGTCCGTCAAGCTGGGAATGTGGTAGAGTTGATCAAGATGTTGTATACGTTTCCTCGACTGGAGATGGACCTTCTTCTCTTCTTGATGCAAATTCTCCATCTTCCGCTTCAGGCCCTGCATGCGGGATATCATAGCGTCAAGTGTGGCAAGGGTTTGCTCAGGCGTCTGGTGGTTGAACATTGCGGCATTCGCCGCGTCTTTGAGTGAAGGAAGGACACATTCCTTTTCCCGTTCAACGACTCGCTGAATAGACTTGAGATTTCTTCGGGCGAGTTCATGGGGCAATCGGAGGAGTGGTTGATCCTGTCAGGGAAATACCGTGTTAGTATCCAAGTGATGTATATAAAGCGGGGTTGGGATGTGGTGTGATACTAGGAGGAGGTGATTCTCCGCATTGAGCTTCGTTGACGTGAGCTCTGCGGCCATGGTAAGGATGGAAGCTCCGTACTCTCTGAGAGACGGGGGCGTTTGTATTAATTGGATGTATATATGTAAAGATCTGGTAGTGTTGGATTGCTGCAGCGAGTTGATAATGAGGTCGGCGTTGAGAGAGTATGTCTGTCGTTGGTTGGTCGGTCGGCGCGGAGAGATCACGACACCCGACCAGCTTCAAGTAAGGTATTACACCTCCCCGGGCCGAATTGCTTTGTACATTTCGTTCACCTTCACGCTTTATATCGATTTACACTCGAATTCTACATTGATTGTGGTGTGATTGTCTCAGAGCATAATCTGGTACATGTTTTATAACTAGCTCTGCGGTTAACGGACAATGACATGTGTAGAAACCAGACAAATTAAAACTCATTCCCTTTTCATCCCAAGACTCCAATAAAAGAAACAAATATGATACAGGAACCCTGCCCGAGAATCGCTTCGTCGGAAGCGAATAAGTATTTGTCACGACGAGTGTCCGAATTTGGCAAGTGAATTCCTGAAACTACTTAATCACTCTCGTCGCTGTCATCCTTTTCCTGCTTCGACTTCCTTCGCTCCTTCTTTTCCTTCTTCTCCTTCTTCTTGCGCTTACGCTCAGCACGCTCTTCAGCAGTCTCGCCTTCATGTCGCTTGCGCTTCTTCTTCTCATCGTCTTCTTTGGAGTCATCAATCTCCATCTTAGAATCATTTTGCTCAGGCGAGGACTCTTCCTTGGGAGCCACTTCAACAGTGGGTTGTGCAGAGCCTTCTTCTAGTGCGCTATAATCCTTATATTCGGACTTCCACTTGGCCGGGGTGGCTTCGTTCATTCGTCCGTATTTCTGAAAATCAAGGTTAGTATAGCTAGATTTCATGCCTGCAAGTGAATTTACTTACGTCAAGTTTTCCAGACGACTTGAGCTTCTTCTTTTCTAACGCAACGGGACCCAAACCCCACCTGCGAGGGTAAAGGTCGCGTTCCATGATACAACGCTTAACCTTGGCAACGACACCGTGGTCGCAGGTAGAAAGCTCAACGGTTGACATTTGGGCGATGCCGATTGCGATAGCCTCACCTTTGGTGGTCATAAGCACAACCTCTTCACCGAGCTCGATATTGGACTCTGTAATTGAGCTTTAGCGAACCGAACTCACTGCACAAGCGCTCAAATAGAATAGCTTACCAAAACGCAGGAGACCGGGAATCATCAGTTTAGCACCGTAGCAGACGGCATTCACTGCGCTGTCCTTCACAACGATACGCTTGTAAGTTGTGAGAAGAGACTCCAAGGGCTTGATAACTTTGCGCAGGTAGGTTTCATCCCGTTGGTTATCGTATAGCCACTGCGCGTCCAAAACATCATGCAGGGTGACCATGCCCTTGTTTTCATCCATAGCTCCACTTCGCACACGTCTCAGTTCCTGCATGTGGGCACCAACACCAAGGAGGAGTCCAAGATGAACACAGAGGGTACGGATATAAGTACCAGCTTCACAGCTGACCCAGAAAACACCAAGGTGTCTATCATTATCGAACTCGTAAAGCTTGCTCTCATGGATTGTCCTGATGCGAAGCTGGCGCTTGACTGCAGAAATCAAAGGTGGGCGCTGGAAGAGAGCACCGGTAAGAGTTTCGAGAGCGCGCTTGAATTGAGCCTCCCCACCAGGAATTTTGTCGTGGAGGCGGATAACACAGACATACTCCTTTCCGGCACCTTGTTGGGATTTAACCAAACGAGTAGCACGGTCAATGCAAACAATCAAGCAACCGGTGACCTTAGGATCAAGTGTACCGCTGTGCCCGGTCTTTTCTGCCCTATTTCAACGAAAACGATATTTTAGCACATTGTGTTTGAAAACGATTCCTCAAGACAAGATTTACCTCAGTATTCTTTTCATCCAAGCAACAACTTCATGACTGGACGGGTTTGAGGGCTTATCCAGGTTGATAACACCGGAGTTTATGTACGACTTGAGGTCTCGCTTGAGAGGAGAGGAGCCGGCGGGAATGGGAGTGAAATGTCCAGTCCTGACCATGACTAAAAAGTGAGATCAGTAACAGCTACTTTGGTAAATGCAACGAGAATTCGCACAAAAGAGTTATAGAGACCGAAGAAGAGCATTAACAAAACATACGTTTTTCATAATTTTTGAGCAGCAGCGGCCAGTCTTCCGTGCTAATGTTGGAGGTTGAAGCCTCCGGCTTGATTGTGTAGTCCACCGCTTCCAAGGCCATTGCGACTGCTATCAATAACAGGCTGGCTCACTGTAGGTAGGAAGACTGCTGAACGTTGGCGTTGAGGAAAAGTACGGGAAAATGCACTCCCTTGGCCCGAGATTTTGTTCTGTTCCGAGTGAAGAAGATCCAGAAAAATTTCAAGTGCGACAAGAGCTCCAGTGACCAATCGGGTTAGCGAATACAATACTGCTACTCACGTGCCATCAACCTCGCTCAAAAGAAAAATTGTGACTGAATTATGTATTAGTCTACATTTATGTTTTTTTTTTTTTTTTTTAATTTTTTTTTTTTTTAAAAAAGAACTTATACTGTACTGTATATTCACTTATTTTGCAAAGGTTTTTCTGATGGTCTATGACGGGTTACCTAGGTACACGCTTTAATTTCCACCGAGTCTGCGTCCTGAGCCCCTGGTATCCCAGGCAGTTCGGATAGACGACGCCCAACCCCGGGGAGGATTCTCCGCTTCGTTCGGAGGCCGGTAGGCTTGACCGTACACGCGTTCCCGGCCTCCTCGCAACGACCCAGTAAACCATCTTTGAATGAATGCAGGTGTGACAATGTAGTTTTTCCCTCCACCAAAAGTCGGATATATGCGGGTCACAAAGTCATACAAGTGAGCGGCCACTATTCCTGTAAATTCAATAGACGCGGAGTACCACCCCTTCATGACGAAAGTTAGGGCAAGCCTCGCCCAGGGCAGGAGTAAGGTGGGTATCTCGACTACGAAGAACATGGTTCTAGTGCCCTTGTTATCCTGAGAGTACGTGTAGGCGAATGCCAGGATCAAGGCTGAAGGGAATTAGCATAAGACAAGATATAAATACCGCAACAAACTCACCCTGCGTGAATATCCCGGCTCCCAAGTAAAACCCTGCGGTAAGCTTCACGCTGTTAGCATGGGGATAAAGGCGCCGCTGCAACTGTGGAACGCAGAAATGTTACAAGTCAGGTACATGGCTATGTAGGAGCACTGTCTAGAGTAGTGTAGGGCACCAAAACCACCTGCGTAAACTGGTTCATTACGTAGGCTATCTCACTGGTGGTCCCACCTTGCCCACATGTACATGGCCCTGTAAGGATCAAAGAAGGAGGTACCATATGCGATGTAGGGGTGATCTTCCTCGGTTCCAGGAACCGCTTCAGCTAGAATGTGGCTGGGCGGGCAGATATGCGAGGTTTGATATAAGGTATGAAGCAAGATGTAGAGTGCATAACAGGGATAATATATGATAATTTATCGGGTAGATACATTCTACCAGGATATCTTGGACTTACCATAATAACAGACGCAATGAAAAGCACGTAGACGAAAAAGCTTCCAGGATTGCTGAATCGAGGCGAGCCAAATTCAAGTCTGCTGGAATATGTGTACACTACGGCACATTAGCGTAAACGACAAGAAAACCCCATGTTGACCGGCATACTGAAATAGAGGTCAAACACAAAATTCAGCTTTGGATCTGTCAAGAGATATGGTGTGCATAGCCTCCATATCTCGGGACGAAATTTGAAAAGAAGCTTCGGGATAAGGGGGACAAAATAATAGCTGAGGGATTGACTGTGAACTAATGCCGACTCAATAAATGTGAGTGCAGTAAGTGTCCTGCTTGGACCATAGATTAGAAGAGAAACAATCTCTAGATGGGAGTGGTACATACCTGGCGACGGGAGGAAGAGCCCGAAAGTCATCCATTGCTGCTGAGATAAGTAATGAGCTCAAATAACGGTTTATATCAAATTGAAAATCGTGATCCGTGAGGTTAGCTTCGTTGTTGACACCACATTCTGTGTCCAGGGACCACGAAGTTGTTTATAGGACAACAAATGACCAAAGCCGATGGCTGAGAAGAAAGGAGGGGAAAAAAAGATTGACCTCGACATTTAAGCGACTGTCTGGCCTTTGGTAGATTATTATTCCGTTCCGCTAGAGCCTTGCCGACCCACAACCCAGAAGAATAAAGCTGCATGAGATATGGTCTTCTCCTTCACGGTAAATCTCGAGGTAAGCATTATCTGCATTACTATTTCAATTTGACCGAGACAATCATCGAGATAGCTATTGTATCGTTATGTCATTAAATGCACAGAACGCAAGACTATATGGTATTGGAGCAATAGGCAATGAACAGTGGTAAGAACGCAGTCAAAAAATTTCTGCATTATGCGTATGATTGGTGGGCGTCTGGAGTAATTTGAAGGTGTCTCTAAGTTACCTTACACTTTCTCGCAGCTTATCAGCGATATGAAGCGTAGGGTCAAACTGCAACACCGCCAACATGAGCAGTGCCTCGGACGGCTGCACCTCCGTTACCTGCCTCGATCCAGACGTCCCAGGCGTTATCTCTGGTTGGTTTTGGCTTGCCACAGATAGCTAACTCCTCTTCCACATAGAGGGGTGCCAAATTTTTGTAATCAATGTCGCTGATAGTCAGGCCCGTTCCATGTAGATGGTGGCAGAGGGCCGTAAGAAGAAGGGTCAATGTCAAAGGACCGTGCACAAGTAGGTTCCGATAGCCTTCGACGTCTCGTGTGTAATCCTTATCAAGATGAATTAAATGTGCATTGAAAGTTAGGGCTGAGAAACGAAAAAGTAGCGCCCGAGTAGGCTTGATCTGATATCGAAACTTTGGATTTGTGGGAGCTTTGGTGGCGCCAGAGCGGTTAGCTGCTTCACTCTGTAGCATTAGTTGAGCTCTACACACATTTAATTGTTTTGGAGACCTGAGAGAACTTCGCCTTATCCCGGTCTAATTGGTCGGCGGTTTTATCGCGCATGAACACCAGGTTCCTGTCCTCGACGACTGGGGCGTGCTCTCCCATATCCTTGTTATTACTCCTCCATATTCGTTTCCTTATGTCATTTTCAGTCTCGCCTTCTCCCACGGTGTTTATTTGCCTCTCTATCTTGACAAATATTTTCTCTTCTCCCTGTTGGCCTTTGACAATAACATCGCGGATTCCTTCAATACATACGGCGCGGCGGCCGCTTAGCATTAATTTATTTGTAGCTGCAAATCTAACCCCGCCGCCGACCCATAGTCGCCTATTGAAGGGCGCACCAGGAGAATGCAGGGTATCGGTGCCGTCGGGTAAGAGCTGGGACGGTGTGACTTGTGGAGGGAAGTAGACTAGGTGGTGGGCCGGTGGTAAAGGCGAAGGCCGGATGATAGTTGGAAGAGTGGTTTGCGTTTGAGGGAATGCGTCTAATTTGGGAAATAAGCCTGTTAATGTTAGATCCAAGAGGTGAGAGGGCTGAGGATGGAGATAATCAAAGAATAAAGGAAGTTGGCGGGATGTCAAATCTTGGTATAAACATTCCGGTAACGAGGACGCATACCCTCGTCTCGCACAAAAATTACCTCGCCGATTGGCTACGCCTAGAGGCCTTGATATCACCGCCCTTCTCATGGTGGTAGCCTCGTGGCAGTAGTTGTACAATCTCGAAGGGATATGACTAGTATTCCACAGGTCTGTGGCGGAAGTTTGACTTGTTTGTCTGACAATACCGGTACCGCAGAGGCTCGAGCATCCCACAAATGATCTGCAGGTTGAGTGAAGACAGAAATATTGCGCGAACTCTAATGCCTCATTGCACCGGGCTTCAGCCAAAGCAGGGAGTTTTTCACCATCACTAAAATTGAAAGGGAGACCTGTTTATGACTCCATGGCTCCTCTCAAAGTAACATTCCTAGGGCCCTCGGCATCGTTTTCACACCAGGTCAGGCACAATCAATCCGTAATTGAAGCCCTTTGGCGTCGTTAATTAAGGATTCCAGGCCGCCGTTGAGACGTTTGGGAACTCCGTTGAGCTTATACCTTGTCTATCGTTTGCAGATGCTATCGCTGCCGTTCAGAATGGAGGGGCGGACTATACGATTGTTCCTTTTGAAAACTCAACGAATGGATCAGTCATTCAAACATTGGACCTTCTCGTGGATCGCAATGATGATTACAGCGACGTGAAAGTGTGCAGCGAGTATTATCTCACAGTACATCACTGTCTTTTGGCTCGAAAGGGCCTCTTTCCTGCAGGGCAACGTGATTACAGTTCTATCACTAAGCTTTACACACATCCGCAGGCATGGGGTCAATGCGAGAAATTTTTAGCAGAACACTTCAGAGGCGTGGAAAGGCAAGATGTGTCGTCGACATCAAAGGCTGGCGAGACTGTGTTGAATACAACAACCGAGGTCAACGCCGCCATAGCCAGTGGCTTTGCGGGGCAGCATTACGGTCTGGATATTTTGGAGAAAAATATTGAGGACACAACCAATAATACTACTCGTTTCTTAGTGCTGAGGAATGTGAAGTCAAAACATCTGACTCACTTTCATCCTGAATCTGCCGGACAGTCGATTGCCGAGAAACAACCTTTGACAGCCTCCAAAACGGAAAAAACGTTGATTTCATTCATGGTTCCTCAGGACACCCTTGGGACACTGGCGGATGCACTGCTGATCTTCAAAGACTGTGGGATGAATCTTACGAGCATAAGTACGCGGCCAAGTCAATTACAAGCCTGGAAATATGTGTTCCTAGTAGAAAGTGAGACCGGTCAGAGCAAGGAAGTTGTACCTGAAATCATGAATAGCCTGACGAAGGTCACCGAGAATTGCAAGCACTTGGGAACATGGGCGAATCGGCTTGTCGCTACCTGACAATAGAATTAGCATTGATCGATATATCATACTTTTTCCGTAACGGTACTCTCATCCCATCTTGCTAACTGCCCTAGAAAGCTAGTTTTACACGTTGGTTATGGAGGACTATAGAAAACAAAATGTCTATTTGTAAACAATTTTCCCCGAGTAAAATAATACGACACAAGTTCGACATAAACTAGAGCAACTCTGGTTCCAGAGGGTTGCCAGAACAAAACAATTTAACTGCTAGTTCAAAACGCATAAGTGCAACAATTCGCGAGGTGAATGGTTGTAGATTTATGCGTAACGAATCCACCATCCTTTTGCGAATTACACCTGGTCGTTGGCCTAGAATGTGTAGGCAACATTGGTGACCATGCTACGGAGGTTGGATGGCCCTAGAGCGTGTTAAAACAAAACATATCAAATTAAAGATATGAAGGCATACCTCTGAGCAGCTGCACAAAGCTTTGTCCAGGTCGCATCACGGTATCCACCGCGAAAGCTACGGTTTCGCCTTCCGAGCCGCGTTTATAATGCATCGGGCGAGCCGTCAAAAGATCCGTTTTGGAAACTTTTGGCCTTTCATCCTCGCTCCCTGCGAGGCCGCTGAACCGTCAATCTGGAAGGGTTATTGTTAGCACGAAATCGACAAAAATGGCGCCAATTGCGCTTACCGTCGTAAAATTCATCCTCGTCATCATAATCAGCAAGTTGTTCGAAATTAACCTTGTACCGGAGAATTGCTCCGATACCACCAAAGCCCTTAACAAACTGATTTCCTTCGCTGGACTTGTCCGAAACGAACTCCAACGTGGCTCCAAAGTCCTTGTATCCTTCGGCGAGCCACTCAAGGAAGGAACCTTGGTCCACGATTTCCATTTCTGCACCAGTATCTTTGTCAAGGAAGAACTCCTTATTGTCCTCTTGAGCCTTGGTGGTATGGACAGTCACTTCGGAACCCTCGGAGTTCTTAAGAACCCATCTAGTGATATCCAAGTTTTCGTACACGATCAGGGTTTCGCACGCGCCTAGTTCTAGGGCCTTCAGGGTATCCTCGACACCGTAGCAGACCTTCCCTGTGTCCTGACTGATTTCTTCGAAGTATTTTCCGATAAGCTTTTTTTCTTGGACGAACTTCACATTGCTCAGAGTCTCAGATGAGAGCTCGATCGCCTGGTTGAAACCATTCTCCCCCCCGTATGACACATCAACGACTTTTATGACCTTCGCTTGTAGTCGCTGGTCAAACATATCGGACTGGTTTAAGTCGTTTTTGAAATCGGCAGAACCGGCGAGGATGAGACCGGCAACGTTAACTTTGTCGTTGGTGATGTAATTCTGCACAGCCAACTCGGCAATCTTTCGGACATAATTATGACGCTTCTCCTCACGAAGACGCGCGAAACGCAGGGCAGACTGACCACCACGACCGTGTTTCTTAGGTAGATCAACGCTCAATTTCTGGAGGATTTCTCTTGTATTACCGCTCAAGGTACCGAAAAGAGCACCATTACCATCCATAATAATGAAACCAAATTTCTGGTCTGACTCAAGCAGTTCACTCAGGGCCTCTGTATGGAACTTGTTGTCACAGAGGTAAAGAGACGTGTTGATTGGCTTGAAGGGCTCGAAATCGATGTTAATTTTTCTTTCCTTTCCTTCAGAAGTAATGATTTCACCACAGTAGACAACTAGGCCGTTTGGGGGAACTTTGTTATAAAGTTTCAGACGTTGCTGGGTAGACGTAATGGCGGAGAGTACAGAAAGACGGTTTACACGAGATTTGATGTTAGAGGCAGTTCCCTATGCATAAATATTAGATGCTATCCATGTCCACTTTGGGGTCGAGGATAAAACTGACGAATTCTTCAGCCAACATCTTTGCCGCTCTGGATACCTGGTCCTTAGGAGCTAAAGTGCCGGTGTTAGCAACTCACCAAATACCAGTTTTTAAAAAAAACGGGATACTTACGGATGATGAGAGAAATCATTGACGTTCCATTTCCTCGGGCAGCCTCAAGGCGCTTGATGAGCTTCTTGATCTTCCATATCTCAATATTCTTCTCCGCCTCATTCGCCTGCTGGACCGCGCTCATTTTGGGGGAGGGCAACGGTACTGTATGGCCCTAGTTTGAAACTTGTAGATTGGCCACCTGGTTCTTGATCAAACGTTAGTGCCATGATTTGAGAAAAGGAGGTTTCCATGGGCTGACTAATTGAGGTGAAGGGGAACGCCACGAAATACTTGGAAGTCAAGAATGAACTGCCTCTAAAACTAGAAATAACAGTAGGGATAAACGACGTTACATACCTTGAGGCTGGTAGATTTGCCGTCCAAGTCCAGCGGGGTGTTTAACAAAATTCGTCAGGCACAGTGGGGTGGCAGCCGCATTGTAATTTATGAGGGGCGCCTATGACGGATGATGTAAGCTCGCTAGAAATCAGTTAGTTAACTTAGTTAAGTCCATCGCAGCGGTTAGTGAGGCACAAGTTCATGTACCTGATTATCTAATAATTGTGCATTGCCGCCTCCGGAGGTTGGACTTGACTTGGGCTGAGCTGGAAGCCCGTTTGGCTAACTGAACTCTGCTTGCATGTGTCGTTACTGAAATTATTTGAAACATCTAGCAGTCGTCGAAGTGGAACAAAATATAAGATCTTATGAGGATGGTGTAGAATGGCTTGGGAGGTGTCATTCCATATGACCCAATCTCAGCTATTTGTAGTCTTCATTCCGCCCACTGCGGCGTCGGCCCATGGTCGACACTCCTACTTATTGGAGAGATAAAACTTACAACTACTAGGATATGAGCCTTGCCTATGAAATTGACACTGAAAATGACCGCTACAGAAACCGTAAGGGGCCGCCTTTCCACCTGTAACTTCCAGCGGCCCAAGGATCCCATTACATAGGCGTATCCTGCACCTGCTAAGCATTACCAAGTTATTGTGTTGTGTAGCAAGCTGCGGCAGCAATATGATTCATAGATTAGTTAGTTAGTTAAGCTAAACAAGAACTAGTAGTAAAAGCTATAGAAAAAGAGAAGTATACAGGAAACTATAGTAACTAATAACCCTCCGGATGATCTGTATAGCTGATACGGAAGCGTCAACTTGCAAGATGTTGACACTCAACTTTAGCAAGTGCTCTGTATGTCTCAACTAGTGATAAAAGAACGCTGAAAATGGCCACCTTCGCGGCTAAATCCCGCTGCATGCTATCTACTTTTGACCGGCCTGATCAGGCATTGTATAAGATGCCATATTTCCACTCCTTTCCCTTTGTACACCCTTCCACCTCCCTCTTGCTTGAACCGGTGAACACTAGTATTATACCGACTCCCATTCTTTGTAAAATACTCGAGCCAGACTAAATAGGGTATTTCTGCGGCCTGGGATAGCGGCCTGGGATAGTTGCCCCAAATCTTCAACCCCTAGGTCTTACCGTTGTCAAATAATACTGGAAAAAACATATTATCAACTAGAAATATCTATTTAATAGCTGCCGGTCACTATCGAAGTTCTCTGCGGCCTCGTGTTGAGCTAAGTACCAACCGTGGGAGTCGAGAAATATTACTTCGCCAAACATCCAAAGTGCTGATTCGAACTTGATGGTAATCGTTTCCCTGTTCTTCGATAGGATAATGGCGTTGATGGGTTCCGCGCCGTGCTTCACCGTATGCATCAATCTGCCCCTTTCGCTCTATTTGACAATGTTTGGGAATGGCATCAATCAGAAGGTGCAGATTTTGGATTGGTCTCTTCAGTGCTCGCAATAACCCGGACTGTCCGGGCACTCCTGCCGCAGGAAATGATTCTTTCAAAATAAGCTGTATCACCGTGGACAATAAAACGCATATTCATTTTCAGTTGCTTCCATTTTTCACAACGATTGCGAAGTTATTTCTTGCTCTTCCTGGGTTCAAAATTTCCTTTTTGAACTGTTTGGGCTCATAGCCTCCACCAAACTCCCAAAGCTGGTAAATTAATTTTGATGTTTGCTTGTGTCTTGCTAAAGAGAACCCCATACTCGTCAGGATGTCTTGTAGTCTTTGTTTTGTGAGATACCGGGAGTTTATGACACAAGGTGCAGGGAGTACCAAGAATAAACTAGGTACGATAGATATAGAGGAGCCAGGCAGTGGCGCTTTTGTTAAGAAAGCTACACAGCGTTTCAACATTTCTCCTCGGCCGACTGGATCTGGGACATAATTCAACACCAGAGAAAGACTAATGATATGAAACCGACTGTCGTCACTCTGCGGAAGCGGTCGTTCCATAAAATCCTGCTTCAAGATCCCAGGCTCCTGGGAGTTCAAGTCAATTCTCGTGACATCAAGATGTCCGTTCTGAGAACACGCATTCCTGGTGCTGAGTGCACCGACCTCGAGAACTCGAAGCTTGGAAGAAGTATTCTTCGAAACGCCCAAGCGAATATTTATCCAATCAATAAGGACTTTGCTAGAGTCGCCCCCCCGGTCAAGCGATTGACCGAGTTTGCTTGCAATCTGGTAGCTTTCTAAGCCGCCATTTAGTTCTATCTGGGCGTCGATTTTGTCAACTAAATCGTTGTTACCAACTTTTAGTGCCTGGATCCGCTGTTTGAGAAGCTTGTGATGGGAACGTATGAGAGTCCGCGTTGCTCTTGCTGATAAGGCGGCATCCCTCTTTCGGACCGTTGGAGGACGGGTGCGAGATAGCAGCACGGGGCGCTTGCTCTTCTGCTTCCTTATAGGCATGTTGTCTGGAGTATGCCCAAGAATTGAATTGTTAACGAGAAAGAAAAAATCAACCAATCGTCATCAACGCGAGACAATTGCCGATTCTCAGCCTGGCTTCCAAAATTATAGACCGCCTCCTTATCTGCCAGCTGAAAACAAGGCGGTGGTCAAGATGTGGAGAATCTGCCAAGGATTTCGAAGAGGGCTGGTCATGTGACCCACAGTCGACAGTGCGACGGTTTTTGCTAAGCGAAGTCACTTCGAACAATTCGACTTTCGACACTGCGACAATCACGACAACAGCGCCAAACGACAGCCATGGCACCCGTACAGAAGAAGACAGGTATGCACAGTCGAACGACCCAGATATAATTTGCAATTTTCTTTTTTGCCAATTTTGAGATGTGTGCGAGAGCAGGGAGTGCTGTCAAATGGCATTTCTCAGACTCCCACTCTTCATACTCATCCCGCGCAATATACGACGGGATGAATGTAATAGTGCCTCGCACTTGTGATATCTTGTGTTTCTGAGGGTTTTGTTTCGAAGGCACACGGCAGTTGGACTTGAACGTACACTCGTCTATACAAATCGCTTACATTTCGTTTTATGAACAGGCAAGTCGAAGCCCAGCGACAAGGCCGGCGCTGCCGCTAAGGCAGTCTTGAAGGGTGCAGGCGTACGTTTATATATACCAATATGGGATCAAACACCCCTTGGAGAAATCTGGCTAAAATTTATCCAATTCAACTAGGCGCACAAGACTCGCAAGATCCGCACCTCAACTACCTTCCACCGCCCCAAGACTCTCCAGCTGTCCCGGACTCCTAAGTACCCCCGCAAGTCCGTCCCTCACCTTCCCCGTCTCGACGCCGCCAAGATCGTCCTCTATCCTCTGAACACCGAGAGCGCCATGAAGAAGATTGAGGAGAACAACACCCTTGTTTTCATTGTGGACGTTAAGGCAAACAAGCGCCAGATCAAGGCCGCTCTCAAGAAGCTCTACGATGTTGACACTGTCAAGGTCAACACACTCGTCAGGTACGTCCCAGATTATTGTGGTCAGCGAGCGGAAACAGTGTCTAATCAACGCTTTATAGGCCCGATGGACTGAAGAAGGCATTCGCTCGCCTTACCCCTGATGTTGACGCTCTTGACATTGCTGCTACCAAGCTAGCAATTGTCTAAGTGATTGATTGTCTTTTGGGTCTGGGAAACGGTTTTCTTTTGCGCGGTGGCATGGGTACCAGCCATACACTTAGCTCCAGTTGTGTGATACAATGGCTGAATGAATAAAACAAAAGAATTTGATGCACTAGATTTCCATGTGTAGAAGTCCAACAGTTTAAAAACTCCAACCTTCCGAAACTAGTACTAGCTATGAAAAGCGCTGGAAACCTAGGTTTTTGGCACATGAATTTACTGCGAAATAATGGGGGCTCTGTTTCTTGCGAAATATGCAACTGGCAGAGGGGAATTTGGTATAATTACGAAGGATCGCTCCATTGATATAGTACATATTTTATCCGGCACTCGCCCACCGAACAGTCCACTGCCCAAGTCTATCAAATCGTAATAGAAGACATTGATATAATTCGAGTCACGTAACGGTAAGTATACTCGTAGGTATCGGGCCATTTACTCCATCATCCACCCATTTAGACCGCCGCACATACTGTACCCAGGTGGAAATTATATATTTATTGCCTCTGGAGAGTCTCCAAGTGCTTCAATACAGCAAGGTTTGTGTCCATCCACCGATCAACACAGTTTGATGCACATGCTTCTTCATTCTTATCCAGGCGGCCAGATGTAATCTTCGAGGTGATGCACTTCTTCCAGCAGGTGTCTGCGAGGTGATGGACGTCTAGAGAATAACGAGGCGAGGCATTTATTAGCTCAAATATACAACCAAAGAGGACAGTGGTAATAATTGATAGAAGGTATCAGGATCCATTCGAGTGAAGGGTAGCATACTTTGCTGGATCGCAGCTTTTTGGGATTCGTTTTGAAGGTGTTGGCTCAGTTCCTTCTTGTCGGTATCGCTGAGCTTTGAGACGTCGAGAGACTGATCCATTTTGTCGTGGATGTAAGAGATAGTATCGCTGATATCTATAAGGGCGGTGGTATCTAATGGGTTCGGGAAGCAAGAAGTTGGGGGAAATGAGACACAGGTTCTTGATCAGATATTCTTGGGTTTCCGTCGCCGGAAAAATGACATCGCGCTTGGAAACTAAGGCGGTGAGCAATTTGCGTATCCGATAACGCCCATTCAATATCTCCGAAAGGTGACCTTTGTTCACGCCCACTTTTTCAGAGCTTCGTATTTTGCTCTTTTTCATTTTTCTCATTCACTCATATTCTCGAAGATCGCATATCTGAAAGATGCCTCCAGTCCGCACATCTCGCAATCGCAAGCCACCCCCAGCAGGCTTCGATGACATCGAAGACACCCTCCTGGAATTCAGCAATAAAATGAAGGACGCCGAAAATGCACCGCATGAGGGCAAGAAGAAACACGAGATGCTCTGGCCCATTTTCCAGATTAGCCATCAGCGTGAGTGCGCCGCTCTATAGCCGCGCCTTATTTGGATATAGGTGTTTCAGTTCAGCTAACCTAATACCATGGCCGTGGACGATAGGGTCAAGATACATCTATGATCTATATTATGAGAAGGAGGCTATATCGAAACAACTCTACGACTGGCTCTTGAAGAATGGCTATGCGGATCCGAACTTGATCGCGAAGTGGAAGAAGCAAGGGTATGAAAAGGTATGAAGTTACCAAAAAAAAAAAAAACCAATGGCCATGATCAGGTACTCGATTTAACGTTTCCTGTAGCTTTGTTGCCTCCGTTGCATTCAGACAAAGGAAACAAACTTTAATGCTACTTGCATTTGCCGGGTGCCGAAGGCCCAACTCAAGGAGGACCAAATAATACAGTGTGTGAGCTGTGGATGCCGAGGCTGTGCCAGTAGCGACTAGGGTACCATAATCTTGGGCCGTGTCTGTACATTATATTGGTCACACTGGCTATTGGAGAGTTGCATCAAGGCCTTCGGTGTGTTTCTTCTAGGATAACGAGAGTGCCTGCCAAACGTGACTGGTAGTTGGGGATATCGGCTTGATCTTCGAATTCAGAGTCCGACATACTTAGCTTAGGAGTCCGCCGATGGACCCAAATTTGGACAGTTGACACTCCATAGAGGGTTTGTTCTTGCGCCAATTTCGCCGGCCAGGTGTCTTTGGCCAAGATCGTGGGTCTCGCTTTCGTCCGGCATACTCCATCCGCCGGGGATTGGACACTTGGGGTTATCACTATTCATCATTTTTCTAAGGCTTCATCAAATACGGCCATATTTAACTCTGCTTCGAGGACTCGATGATAACCTCAAGCCTGCACAAATAAGTGTTCCATCTATAACTGCTACAAGTGATTTATGTAATCACAAATGCCGTGTGCGACTAAATAGCATTCTCAATAACAGACACGCGTTACACGGGGAGTGAGAATGACAATAATAACAATGTGAAAGAACAAGCTCATATGAACATTGCATACTCATGTACATCCTAACAAATATCATCATAAAGGTCGTCATAAGATCGTTCCGAGGCCAGCTAAAGACAAAACACCAAACCTTGCCTTCCCAAAGAACACCAGGAAGAACGATGCACACAAGCGCCAAAAGTTGAACAGAAATCAAGAATAGCCCTAGAACACCAAACCATGACCTTGGAACCAAAGAGGTACTAGGTATTAGAGCATATGTACGCGACCAAAACCAGGGACGCCAGCTGCAAAGGCGAAGAGGAAAATAAATAGAATAATTTGAAACAGAATTCGCGTCAAGTAGGGTTCTTGCGTCGATGGCGCAAGCTCCTTAAATGGAAAACAGGCGAGAAAACGAAAAATAGGCATGGAATCTCAGAACAGCGCCTTACTGCTTCGCTGAAAATGAGGCCGGGAGACGTGAGGTCGAGCTCTCGACGGGTCGTCCTTTCCTGAACCTCCAATCTTTTGAAATCCTTGCAAAAGATCTACACCGTCTAACTCTTGAGGACTGTCGTCGAAAAGATGGAACGAGAAAAAATCATCATGTGCAGTATCAATGAAGCGTCCGGGGTCAGGTAGTTTCGATGGTGACTCTGGGAAAAGGAGGCCCTTTGATTTGCTAGGCGATAAGGATTTGTGGCCCCCAATCCGGTTGTTGGCGCTCATTGTCGTGATATCCGATAGTACGTTGCTACTAGAGCCGTTTGCATCTGCTCGACTCCGCTTGATCGAGCGCTTTTCGGGGGAACCATAAGCAGGGGTGGATATATGGTCCGCCGTCGCATCGGCAAACACGTCGAACGAAGTGTGGAGGTTATCACGTGGAGTGTAAGTCTCGTCCTGGATATTGAAGGCAGGACTCCACGGAAGGTCATCTTCGGTGAGACCTAAATGTTTAATGGGAGAGTTGACCATTTGCTGGATCTTCTTGCGATGATTTCTAAGGTTAGTGTTTGGAGAAACTGATGGCGGAGGTTTTGCAGGCTTCTTGAATTTGATCAAAGGTGTAATTGGAGGTGGCAGCATGCTGATATATTCGTTGCGGATAGGCGAAGACCCGACAATTACGCCAGCTTCCTTCATATATCCAGAATGACTCGGGCTGGCATCATGCGAGGAACTTCGAATTCGCGCAATCTCTTCTTCTGCCCGTCCACGCTTGATGCGAGGCGGCTCTATGTCCAGGTCAGAAGTCAAGATATGGCTAGCCTTGTTTGACCGCATCGCAGAGGATTCCAGTGATGAGAAGTAGCCACTGTCATTCATGGCGTTTGATTTTCGCTTACGATGCCGAGGGCCATTGCTAGGAGCAGCAGAAAGCGAAGGAGTTGGCGGAGTTCCGGGACGCGTGAATCGAGGCGGTGCAACGGGAGGAGACGAATGAATTGGCTGTGGAGGCGAAGATCGTGGAGGGGGAATTTTCATTGCACAGTTTGCACTCTCGTCACCCGCGTCGTCCTGGAGGGCAGGATCAGACGCAGGAAGAGTGGCATCAGAAGACAAATCCATCTGCTTAGAGCTCTGTGTAACAGAAGGCTGCGCGGGTGGCGGTACAGCCCAAGTGGTCGTGCTTGAGCCCTGTGGGTGTACAAGTTCCCGCTGTGGCACGACAGGTAGGGGAATGCTGGACATCGTCGCTCGGCGCAAAGGCTTGTCTTTTATAAACTGTGCTTCCATGCCTGGCTCAATAGCCCAGTAGTTTCCTTTTCCAGGATCGTCTTTCGGGCGTTCTTGTTTAATGAAAGCCTTGTTCAGGCTGAGATTGTGACGAATGCTATTTTGCCAGCCTGGATCACTGTTCTTATAGTATGAGAACGTATCTGATATCCATTTGTAGATTTGCGCCAAGGTTAATCTTCTATTAGAAGCACGTAATATTGACATTCCGATGAGAGTAGCGTAACTGTAGGGGGGTTTCGTGCCGTCGTCTTCAATTGGTGGCAGCTCATGGGGCTCTGGAAGTCGCATTGTTGTAGGCTCTTCGCGCTTCTGTTTCTTTGACCGCTCTTTCAAAGGTGCCGCCTCCAAAAGTGATCGTTTGAGGGACTGCTTGGCGAGCAGAGATGGCTCAGGAAAATCAGCAAAATTTTCTGCAGAAGACATGTCTGCGCCCTGGTGTTCTAATGAAGGTTTATTTTCCGTGTTGACACTGGAGAATGTTGTGAACAAGGCAGAATGCGGCATTGGAACGGATGAGGTGGTCGGATGAATATAAGTATCAAATGGTATTTTTTTAATTGGAGAATCAGTAGTAAATGCAGGAGTTGCAGGGGCAGTGATCGGGACAAACCCCAATCGCTCTTGAGTTGGGGCTGAAGTTCGCGGGTCGCGACAGGCTTTTGTAGGTGACACTTTGCTGGGCGGGATCGAAGTCGGATTGAGGACGTAATCTTGGTTTGATGATGGATTTTCAACAGGCTTCAGAGGCAACAGCGATGGTTCCAATCGAGGCCGTGATTTGGCCGTTGCCTTATCATGCAATGAACGCGCTCGTTGTACGGGTTGTTTCGGGCTCATGGTAATGCTGTCAGACTAGCTCCGTTCCGGGCCAGCTTAGAACCCGTTTACGCGCTGCGACTCGAGAGATGGTTAGAAAACTGCTCCGTGATTGACTTCTCGCTTGCAATCGCTTGTCCTAGCAGCTGACGTAGAATAAAAGATGACTCTGGCGAACTAGTGGTAGCGCGTAGATTGGGAGCTAAATGGGAGCAAGGTTTGCTGGTTGTCGTTACACAGGACGGCACTGTCGAGGCGAGAGAGGAAACAAGTCGTTGGGAGATGACGATGACAGGAAGATGCGGCGGACAGCTCTTGGTAGTCGCGGGCGCGAAGGAGCTGGAGAATGGAGGGATTTGAGGGGCGAGGTAATCTGGAACGCGGGCGATTTGACTTTTAATCAAATTCGTTTTGCCTTGGTAAGGTCGCGCAGTCCAAGTGGGGTGGTGCAAGATACTTTCTGAATAATAAAATGGATTTAGTTGAATTGGGGAATGTGAGAGAATGGACGAGCCTGAGAGCCTGATGATGTTGATATCGACACGACTGACGCGATCGTATGGTATGGTATCGACGCGGGCGCGTCACGCGTTTCCAGGGCGGTTTCGAGGGTGGCACCCAATTGTTCGAGGTTTGGATATTGTCATATTGTTACAATACCACACCCGTGTTTCAACGTCCAAAGCAATCGAAACTATTCCTGAAATAGCGGAAGGAGATCAGGAGCGTGGCTAGCGAGTGGCTCTCCTTGCCGCACGATGATCCGCCACCAAAAGTCATCCTCCCATCATGTTAGTGATCTAGGGAGATCATTGTTGGTGGAAAAATCCCTTGTCTGACGACTTCCCTCCAAACTTCTAGGAGTAAAGTCCAAATACAGGCCCCCCACTCTGAGCCAAGGAGAGAGATCTCAATGCGATTGAACTCAGAGCGCATACTCACTTCTCCGGAGTCACTACTCGGTCCTTACGAGTAATTCTGTTTCAAAAGCATGAGAGATGATCAACCATCACAGGTCATGCGAGGGTAAGGTAGCCAAGGCGAATGCCCCCTACTTCGGCGAGGGCCATCAGCCCCGTCCAAACCCACATCCCTTTGAACTCAATACAAACTATATGTACTTGAAGGATCCGTCCCTCCCTCATGAATCAAGGGACCCCGTCCCACCCCACTGCAAACTAGGGTTCCTTTACGTCGTCTCGCAAATGTAAGGAACGGATTTGGAGCATTATTTCCGGTAGGAGGGTTTAGAAAATCAAGTTGAGGCCCACCCCGAGACAAGAGGTCAAAATTGCAACTTGTGTTGGAAGACCCCTTTCGAGAGGCGATTTCGCATCAATTTGATTAACTGGTTGTGATAAATGGCAGGCTAGCAATCTACAAATATGCCACAAAATTCTTGGTCATTATGCAATGTGATGACGTACCACAAAACGAACCACATAACATATTATGATCTATACGCTAGGCTCGTGAGCGCCTGCGAAGAAGAGAACAAAGAAATCTATCCACCCAAAAAGTAGATGTCAGGCTCACCAGAAATAGCAGGCAGAAAGATTCAAGAACGCCACGATGCAAAAACAAACTTCCAAAGAGCCTAAAAAGTGTCTTTCCTATAACATGCTAGTAAACCACATCAAGGCCGCCGGTTTTCCAAGGCCAAAAAGAAAAGAGAAAAGAAAAGAGAAAAAGGGAGGAAATGCAGGAATAGAGATACATGGAATCTCCTATGACAACAAAAGGATTTCGCTGAACTGCACAAAAGGCCGATAAGAACAGACCCAAGGGATTGCCGCAGGCATTTCTTTAATCTAGAAACGTGAATAAGCTCGTATGTATAATGTTGAGAGCACGGTCTGCATCTCGTTCTTCAATGACACATGAGATGTTGATCTCGCTTGCGCCTAGATCAAACTAGTCAGTTTGAGTAAGTACAACCGGAGTAAGGCCACGCTTACCTTGAGAAATCATCTCAATGTTTACATTGTTCTCACCCAGAGTGGTGAACATCCGTCCAGCCACTCCAACCATGTTCTTCATTTGTTTCCCGACGAGGCTGAGAATGGCCATTCCAGGAATGATGTCGACCGTTCCATATCTCTGAAGGTCATTCAAGGCTCCTTTAAGGTCCTCGTCGATGATCTGGTACTCATCTCTTCCGACACCGTTCAAAAGCGGCCTCTCTGAATGGAGAGCCATCGACACGTGAACTTCGCTAGTAGATATTAGATCAATCGACAATTTCCAGCGGTCCAGGACAGAAAATATCCCAGCGAAAAATCCATGAGAAAGGGAGCGCTTGTTCGAATGTACATTGATGACGAGAATGTTGTGTTTTATAGTAACGGCGGTTGGACGTTTCGGCCGTTGCAGAAGACTCGGGCTCCTCGTACGGAATAATCTCGGGTCGTGTCCCGGTGTCGTTCTTTCTAGTTCGTAGGTGGAATCAGGAAATATTACAGTCCCATTTCCTTTCGGGTTCATCACGTTCTTAGTCCGAATTGGGATTTTGGCGCGAATGACTTGTTCCATAGTAAAAGGATGGATCACTTCCGAGCCATAAAATGTCAACTCAGCAGCTTCTGCAGGCGTAATTGCTGGTAAAAGACGAGCGGTGGGCACCTTGCGCGGATCTGCGGTGAATATCCCATCAACCTCCTTCCATACTTGAAGTTCCTTAGCATGAATGCCAACGGCGACCAAAGCCGCACACAGGTCAGTATAACCACGTCCAATCTGATCAAGAAGCCCTCCAGGAACTGTTCCGAAGTACCCCGTAATGACCGGAACTTTGTCCTCGCAACTACGAAGCTTGCGGCCAAGGGCAGCGGCGAGGTTGTCGTAGAATCCTTGATCCAATCCTTGGCCTGAAATGTGGAAATCGATTATCTCAGACAGGTCGACATATTGTGAGTCAACACCTCGATCTTGAAGAAATGCGGCCATTAGGCGACAACTCAGTTTTTCTCCTGTGCTTATAACTTTATCCACGCAACGTGCACTGATTTCGCCAAGTGTCTGAGCTGCTTCCAGTACCTTCAGGACCCTTTCACATTCGGTGTCAATCTCTGAGATAAGTTGTGCTCTGAGTTGGTCAGAACTGATCTGGGTCTCCACTACTTCGGCATGTTCTAACCGGACCGCCTCAATAAGGGAAAGGTATTGTTTCGAATGGGAATCTTCTGCGTCGCGCGCGGCTCGGAGTAAACTGTTCAACATCATATCAAATTAACTTCTCTTTTGCAAAAACAGCTCCGGAGAATAGGCGGCAAGCCTTTCGCATATTGAATTGTTGCGATGTGACTCACCGATTGGTTGTGCCTTCAACTTTTGTAGAACTACTCCTTGCAGAGCAAACTACGGCAACTTTATGTTCAGATAAGCTGGGACTAGATTGGATAATAGCTTAGCTAGATTTCCGGCTATAAAGTCGCGGCTCAAGAAGAGTACTTACAGGACAACTCGATCAATGATATTGAGAGCAAACTTCCCGACACTCGTGCCTCCAAATTTTTGTACAACCCAATTGCGGTTTGTGGAGTTCGCTGGTGCATCTTTCATAATAGATACAATATCTGGATTAGACTGCAAATGGCCTTTCATCTTGAAGGGACTATATCGCAGGTATGTTCCTGATCTGGAGTTAGTATGACTGTCCGGCAACGGGAATCTTTTATGAGGCCCGGCGGGGTTGCGAAAGCGGAGGGCATAATTTTTCTCCTTCCTTTTCCGCCTCCCATGTGGGGAGCCAGAATCTTTGGTACATTAATAAGGCGCGCGAGTAACTTGCGGGTCTCAAGCCCCACGACGACGATGTCGGGAGTCGGGACTCGCTTTGTTTCTTATTATTGGCCAAAAATAGGCTATACAATGCTTGGTGCCTGACCGCGGCTTGTTTTGCTCAGGCAGCTTCTTTGATACCTGTTCTCACATTATTCCAACCCAGGTACCTGTAAAGAGTGCAAGATTTGATCAAACACCAAGGGTAAAATCCACACCTATACCTTCTACTGCTACCAGTGCGATGGATGCACAAAGTATAGGATGTTCAACGTGCCCATTTTGTCCGTTCTTTGATCTAAGCAGTGGTTTTGTTCTCCAGCATGTCCAATACTGTCACCCTGAAAATGAATCACGGTTAGAACCAACCAAGTCATCACCTCAAGTCATAGAATCAATGAGCTTTTCAGGTCATGCGGATGGGAGTGATGGCCAATTACCAGGTTCTCTATATCATGCTGATAACACGGCAAATCTGGAAGAATCTGTCCGTACTATCGCTCAATATACACACCCGCCACAACCTCATGTCAACAGTGAGGACTTTAGAAATAAATCTACAAGTTCCCACACTTCACGGAATGATCAGATGGAGCCTTCGTCACGAATTAACTCGAAAAGAGTGCTCAATAGAAGTACCGAAAGACTCGGCGTACGTTGTTACCTCTCTCTTCTGCTCGCTGGTCTTTGTGTATTTATCGTTGCTATTATTACTATTAATAATATATATACTAACAAAATCCCGGACAGCTTTCAGAGCTAGGACCTTATGCGCATGAAAAGAAGATGCCTTCTTGGCTCCTCCGAATGCTAAACAAGGGCAACCCCACAACTCAAGTAAATAGGATCTCACCGGACGGCAAGCTCTCGAGGCATTCGATCATCGAGAATGAAACGCCTAATGTTGTACCGGTACTCGCTCGCCTATGCAAACAAGACAAGTCTGTGCAGCGTGTGTTTTTGTGCAGCACCCATGTCCACCACATTTCGAAGACGCCAAGAGAAGGAAGCTTTTGCGGATATAGGAATATCCAAATGCTGGTGTCATATATGCAAGAAACTCGCGACCGTGGAAACGACTACTTTCCAGGGGCCTTGCCCACAATTTTGCAACTACAGGATATGATAGAGCGAGCATGGGATATGGGCTATAACAGTGTGGGAAGGGCTGAGACTGGAGGTATCAAGGGGACCAGAAAATACATCGGCACCTCCGAGGTAAGGCAACCGCGACGTATCTCATTCAGGCGTTGCCCGTTCTGAGACACCTACAGGCACAAGCTCTTTTTCTCAGCCTTGGAATCCAGTACGTTTGAATATATGTATGTTTGGTGCATGTTGCCAGAAACTGACAGCACCAGATGCGAAGCAAGCAGCATCGGAAAGACCGAGGAAATGCCGGCTCATACCGCTCTACTATCGCACATTGCCGCCTATTTTAAAAGCGCATCTCCCTTGAATGAGGTAGAAAAGGTCGTTCTGACGGACCTCCCTCCTGTTTATTTTCAACACCATGGTTCGTGGCCTTTTTTTGTTCGAATATACACTGAATATTCGCTGGGGAACTTATCAGCTAAGACTCAACAAAACCAAAAGGACATTCTATGACCATTGTTGGTTTTGAGGCTCGGGATCAAGGAAACGCAAATATTCTAGTATTCGACCCGACTTTCCAGGCACCCTCCGTGATCAAGCATGCCACCACTACAAACATAAAGAAACTTGACCCGACTCGTATCCTGAAAGGATACAGAAAAGGCATAAATTATTTGAGGAAATATCAAGCTTTTGAGCTCCTCAAGTACGCACCCAGCCCTCCATTGATTACCAGTTTTCCTGACAGATCCAGGCTATACCCTCCTGGTATCCCACCAGAAAGTTAACCTATTGTTGAACAAAGGGCCCGGTACGTTTATTTAGCGGCGGGCCTGTCATAGGTACACTTGCTATGCACTTGAATGAAGTACTGGTAATATACTAATTCAGTTAGTGGCACGTAAGTGTCTACTTCTATCTCCTGACGACGTATGGATGTACTTGCAGTAGCACTACGGATGGATCCTTAGTTTGTACTTATCTCCATATTGTTTATCTGGGTGCCTGAGGAATTGATACGGAGTACAACCCCACCAATTTTTTTCCCTCTTGGCATCTGAAATGTCAATCGCGAAATGTCAATCGCAAGAATCAAGGACCAAGGACCAATCCTTAAAGTACTGCTCACATTGAGAAAAAAAAATCTTCATAATAATCATAAGATATGCGGACAGTACCCAACATTATTGTCACAGGCACACCCGGTGTCGGGAAAACAGTACACTGCGAACAGCTAGCCCAAGATTCAGGCCTGCGCCATCTATCGATAAACCAGGTCGCCAAAGACCGAGGCTGCTATGAGACATACGACGAAGAATTAAGAACCTGGATAGTGGACGAGGACAAAGTATGTCTATTGGTTTTCTTCTTTTTCCTTCTCGTCAATTTTTTGTTTGACGCATCGCCTTCTTGTTCGTTTCATTTTCCTGCTCTTACTCACTCTGGCCAACCGTTTGAAGCTTCTAGATGCGATTGAAGACGAGCTACTCCAAGGTGGCTATTTAATAGATTGGCATGCCTGTGACCTATTCCCTAAATCTTGGATCGACCTTGTCGTGGTCCTACGCTGCCCGTCGACGTCCACCTTATATGATCGCCTCAGTTCAAGGTACTTATCTATATCTGACATCACCCTTTACTGCATGCCTCCACGCAACTCATCACCCTTCTCCATTTGACCCATTTGATTGGAAAACCTGACGGGATTATCTGCCATAGGGGATACCATGAAACAAAACTACAAGAAAACCTAGATGCCGAGATCTTCGGTGTCCTTGTCGAAGAGGCGCGCGAGGCCTTTGACGGTGAAATCGTGGTTGAACTAAATAGCGAAGAGGATGGCGATGTAGAGAGCAATTGCGCTAGGATCTGTTCATGGATAGACAACTGGAAAAGCGACCAAGCGAAGAATACAGATTGAAGTACTCGAAAACCTGTAATAGAGCCATAGTGGGTAGGGTATCAACCTGGTCCAGGTCGGCGCGTTGGCTTATGGTTGTTGTTCAGCTAACCACTGTTGCAACTTAACGAGAGCCTTGTATCTATGAGAAATTTTGTTCTGTTTGTGTCAGCAGCAATAAAAATGGGGGTCGACACAAAGGAAACTCTGCACCTTTTCCTCCTTGGCCATCTCTGCATACGTTTTGCCTCCATGCTCAAATATCGGATCCCACCCTGTAGAAAGAGATATAAGTCAGTAACCAAACCCACAAGTATCAGCCACTGAAAGAATATATCCATACCAAAATTTGTCGGTCCTCTGGGTCTCACAATCGTGCCCTTTGAGGTGAATATGAATATTAGCCTATTCGTTCTCAGAGAATATTCCATCATCTCATTATCCATACCTCCGTTCGTCCCTGGAACAGGATCGGTTCCGACTCAGGTCCAAGAGAAAACGCAAAAGTGCACACGGCCTCAGCGCCTCTCGTTTCAAACGAGTCAAGCATCCTGTTTAGTCCCTCATGGCCCAATGCTTCGAGGAACCATTTACTAGGAGGTGTTCTCTCAGCTCAGAAATACGAAAGGCAGATCCTCAATGCAGATTATAGGAGACTTACATATAGGGGCCGGGGAGGCCTTTCAGAGCAAGAAATTCGAGAGCAGTGTCTTCGGTCAAAACCGGGCCTCCCACCTATAATGATTTTTTTTTGTCAGCCAGTCAATATATGTGCTTCACAGGCCGCCGTATCCTTGGTTTCGCTACTTACTGCCTTCGCTGCATGGCTGCACTTTTCCTTTGCTATTTCCTCAATTGTACCTTGTATTTCAGGAACATCGACTACTTCGCTTTGAACATCGACCACGCTGCCTAATATAGCTCTGACCTCCGCCAGCTTATTCTTATTACTGGTGATGAAATTAAGTGTCGTCATAGTTATAAATCAAGCAATTGTAGTGGTTGACAAATTCGAGAGTTTTTGGCGAGTAGAATCGATCTTGGTAGATTATATTTGTAGAAATTGATTTTCTCAATGGTTTGTTGTATCTCCGTGTGCGATATACGCTATAAGTGAGGGAGGGAAATGCTTCAGTCTAAGTGTAGGTATTTGCCGCTGGATACCTGAGGTACCTAGCCGGCGTTAGCTCCGTACTCAAGCTGTGGCCGTCCCCACACTTTCCCAGGCGCGCCGTAATACGGAGTAATTAACTATGAAATTATATCGATAGAAGACATGGTACTAGGCCATCACAGTAGCAAGACAGGACGGTTTATAGGTCCTAAATATACATCTACTATGTTCACTATACATCGAGGTGGTGGCATGTTTCCTCAAAAGCCATTGATTCAACTGGTTCGTAGAAGCACTCATTGACCGCCATCGCAGAAGACGGTAAACGAAGGGGGACATATAAGTTAAAACTATTCAACGGGGATCGCCCCATTGTCAGGATTCTCCGATCTGTCTTGTTGGGCCATTGCTTGCGCTGAAACGATTTCAGCGAGCCGTTTCAGACGTGGTGTTTGGAGCCCTTGGCAAAAAAAAAAAAGAAAAAACAAAGCGGTCAGCAAGGTCTGGTTTACTTCATTATGAATTTGCAGGCACTCACAAGATGGAGTATACGTTTCTAAAGCAGTGATAACCCGGGGCTCGGCGATTTCGTACGGCCCACTATCCTCCATATCCACAGGAGTAAGAAGGAGCACGTCGCTTTTCTCTGTAACACGGGAGGCTACGGCCTTCATAATCTCGCCATTGATGGGCTGTTCGTAGTCGGCCACAAGGTATTGGTTCAGAAGTTTTTGGATCTGGTTCGGAGAGAGCCTTAAACGAATTTGTTAGTGCTTGCATCGTCAATAATAAACGCGACGATAATCTTACATCCAACATATGTCTTGAATAATCTCAATATCGTTTAACGTAGCCTTCTTCAATTGAAGAAGCTTAGTTGCTTGCTATATCTTTGTCAGCTTTCGCCAATCAGCGTTCAAGAGCATAACTTACCATTAGATGCTCCAGTTGCAATGTTCCTTCTGGCATATCGTGACTCTTGCACCATTCCTCGATGCGGGTTATGTTATAATTTATCTGGAGACCTCGCTTCCAAGAAAGGAAATTCCGTCTCATTAGAAGATCATTGAAGGCTGTGACACCAACCAGACGAAGAAGCTCCGTGACAGTTTGAACGACAATTGAATCCTCGAGATAGAACGCCCTCATCGCTTTGTACGCGTTATTCAAAAGGCTAAGGAGGTTGTCCATGCTGAAGGCTGGATTGTTGTTAGATGGCAAAAGCTTTCCGAGGAATCGGTTCGTTTCGTTTGTGACAAAGCCGGGAAGAGATTGAGACTCAATTATGGCCGGAACAATCATCTTGAAGAGCTTCTTTTTAAGCAACTTCATCCAGGTATGGTAAATGTTAAATTCCAAATTCTCCAAATCGTGTTTGACGATCTCCAAAAGACGGTCATACTCGTAGTTGTCAGTTTTCTGCGCTTCGTACCAATCCTCGGCCAAAAAGACAAATGAAAGCATCTCATGCACATTCGAAAGCCAGAAGGCACCTGGACTAATGGTGTCATCACCATCATGTTGCATGACTTCCTGTTGTATTGACTGCATGACATTGGCCAAAAAGCGCTCAGACTCTTTGACAAAGCCGTTATTCCACATTTCAGATGTAACAAGATTAATAAGGTATGCGGGGAACAGGACCTCTTTTTCTGTGGGCGGAGGAGTAGAATTGGGCGCTGGGATCTTGAGGTTGCGAATCAAACCTATTGTTACTTCCTCGTTAAGATCCTCCTCTTCAGAAAGTAAAGTTTCGAGTTCTGTCTCCACAGAGTCAAGACCCGAGATCGCGGCAGCGGAGTAATTCTGGCGGCCTAATGCACTTGGGACTGCCATCGATACAGGTCGAGGGTTGTATGCACCACTAAATCGATCTGTATCAATCCTTTCTGCGCCGGCGCTGCGTCGCTTGGGTTTCGTTTTCTTCGAGGAGACCAAGTTAATAAGGCCATTTGCGGGTGATGGCATTGCCCCACCATGCTGCTGCTCTCCATTTGTGGCTTGAATTGGAATGGTCCTCTTCGCAACCTCGAGTTGTTCCTCAAGGTCGATAACTTGCTGTCGAAGCGAAGATTTCTCGCTCTCAGCCTCGGCATTCGATTGTTTGAGCTTCTCGAGTTCCTGATTCGCGGACCGTATTGATTCGCGAGAAACTCTCTCTTCTTCCTGCAGACGCTTGATCGTTGTTTGTGCATCGGTATGGTTTTGCTGTAATATATTCATTTCCTCCTCCAAAGCCGTCAGCCGAGCAGCTGTGATGCCAGCTTGATTAGCCTCAGCTTGAAGCTCTCGCGACCGATTTTCCAGCGCATTATGTCGACTCCTCCAAGATTTCAACTGAGTCTCATAATTTTCGAGTTGAGAATTAAGGGACTTGTTCTCCCGTTTCAAAGATTCCAGGTACTGAGTTAGTTCGACCACCTTATTTTCCAACTTATACGAAATCTGCTTCAGATCTCTGGCTTCCTCTCTGAGTGTCTTGTACTCCTGTCTCGCTTGTTTGCCCCGCCAGAGATTTTGGACAATAACCACCTGCCGACGATACTGTCGCCACGCACGCAGTTGCCGCCAGGAACGGAAGGAACGTTGAATGACCTTTGCCGCATTTCCGTGAATCGAGTCGAGAATATTCTGCCGACAAAGGAAACCCTTCGATAGCGATTGCAGAAGGATGACGTTATTGCGAATCTGATTGTATGTCTTTCTTTCTTTTTGGCCCCTCCATACCCTTTGGATAGTCGTCGCAGCTTTGACCCGACGTATCTCCGCTGCACGCTGTCTAGAAAGAAACCCTCTCACAAGAGATTGGGTAGCAAGGACGGACGAACGCGCCTCGAGATATCTGCGCCGGTAGTATTTACAACGCAGATTCTTTTGTATCATTATTGCGCATTCGTTTAGCCTTGATGTCCGAAGGTTCTCCAAGAAAGCGAGCATACCAGCCCGGAAGAATATTTTGCTCAGGCCTAGTTGATATTTGTCGTGTTTTTGCTGTGTAGCATCGCCAAGGGCCTTCCGCAGAATGGCGTGGCACATATCCTTGATCTCCGACGTCCATTGAGATGAATGGCAGAGCATGTAATAACGGATAGCGAACTCCTCGTAGGTCCATCGAGTAGGATATCCGGCCGTACTGATGCGGACGGTTTCCAACACACCACAAGCCCTCAGTTGGTTCAACACCATCGGCCCTTCAAACATCCAAGCCTCTTTCGCTTCGTTGGGCTTAATGCATCTGATATAGTGCACATCGGTGGAATTGATAGTACTCATGAGTTCAATCAATGACGATTTGAAGATCCCGCCTAGTGTTGGCTTGCGGTTAATTGCAACTCCAATTTTGCGGCCTGGGGCAGTGACTGGTTTGGATGAGACGGCCGCCGAATCCTTTTCGCGGACAGAAGCAGCGGTATCCAATATCTTTTTCACAAAGTCGTTGGAGGAATTGCGCAAGATTTCCATATGTTCATCTGGAACAGTGTCACGGTTCTTCTCAATGAAACCATCCGACTCGTAAGTCACATCAACAGCATAATGACAAATTGTGAACGCCGATTTCCCAAACCTAGGCTTCTTGTAAAATTTCTGTTTATCAGCTGCGAAGTTGTGATGGAGCTTGGTCACAAATTGTTCATCAGAGCCCATAGGCAGTCTAGATTCTTCGTCCAGAAGGGATAAGATCCCCAACTTTGCCTCGATGAGGTCAATGCATGGTTGATTGTCCGAAAAGTCGATAAAGGTCCAGTCTATCTGCTCTCGCACGTATTCTTCTTGCTCCAATTTGAAGACGTGTTGATTGAATTCCTGTTGCAATTTCTCATTCGCATAATTGATGCAAAATTGCTCAAAAGAATTTTTAGCGAAATGCTCAAATCCGTAAATATCCAAAACACCAATGAACGACATGAATTTGCTCAAGACTTCGTCTGTTGCAAGACCTCGATTGATTTTGTCGACAAGCCAATCGAAAAGGCTAGAATAAATGAATTTGGCAACGGAGTCCCGAACAACGATCGCCTGTTGTTGCGTCAAGTTGGATGTGATTTTCTCTCCTCTTGTGATTAGCTGTTTCTTGACTATCCACTTGGCAAACTCATTAGCATCAATACCAAGTATGTCGCATGCTCGGGCAAGCGATGGTTCAGAAGGCGAAAGGGCGGACTCGGTCCTCGTTGCGGTAATCTTAACATTTCCCAGATGAAGCAAGGCTGCGAGAACACGGAATATCTCTGATTGCGTCTTCTCAGGTACACCGATAGTTCCTAAGGACTTTTTAGTTGCGATAAATTCCGCCTTGTCGTCAACTCCATCAATGACTGGAGTTCCCCCCTGGTTGAGATAATCAAAATCTTCAACCGAAGCAAGGCCGAGTTCACTCCTTTCTAAATCGGTAGCTCCGGCCACAAGCTGGTAGAAAATATGATAGTTGCGCTCCTTAAGAGGCTGAAAGACAAGGCGAGACCTTTCAAGTAGGTAAGTTCGTATTTTGGCGCCAACAATATTGGTCTTGTCGTCGAACATAATCTCAATATATTTGCCGAAGCGGGATGAATTGTCATTGCGTGTAGTTTTCGCGTTTCCAAAAGCTTCCATAACCGGGTTTGTCGCTAAAATCTGTTCTTCGGTTTCGCTGATTGCATCGGCTCTACTGGTAGTATATTTCCCAGGCTGGTCCGAAGACTCGCGAGTCGCGAAATACCGCATGATATACTTTGCGCTCACTGTTTTCCCTGCTCCAGATTCACCTGAAACCACGATCGTTTGGTTCTTTCCATCGCGTAACATATCCCTATACACAACTTCAATAAGTAACACTTATCACCGGAAGCACTCTCGGCACTTACCCAAATGCCTCTTCTGCGATAGCAAATAGATGTGGAGCCTGCGATGCACGGTGTTTCCCGGCATATACTTGGACCATCTGTGGCACATATAGTGAATCGACACGGGCGAATGGGTTGGTTGCAATGAGAACAATGCCACTATAGGTATATATTTCTTTTTGCGCATAGCGTAATTTGATAGCTTGCAGGACTGCCAAAAGTCAGTGCAAGCTCAGGTGTTTACTCAACTCATGGCAATACCAGCTGGTTCATTCAAGTGGGAGAGGTTCGTAAGATCCTCACTCGCTTCAAGCATAGCAGGATTCATTAGCGGCGGTAGGTTGGAATTATTGTCCACTTGCAATTCGGCTTGTGTGGTTTCTATTTCTTTGGTCTTTTTATCATTTAATTATTAGTCTTAGTTGGTCATAAAGATTTGGATGCACTGCGAAGTGGATTTAGACGAACCTCGCCATTCTCCAGCACAAAAACAAGCTTAACCTTGTCGCCATCAACCAGCTTCTCTTTGACCTCAGAGGCTACCCAGCCCTCAGTTGCATCTGGTTGCCAGGCCCTCGTCCCAGCCTCATAGTTATGTGCCATTGTGACCACGTAAATGGTGTGGTTTCAAATGGGCGCGCCGGGGGGGGGGTCACTGGGTTAGGTGTTGCTTTCTTAAAACGAGTCTATAAAAGACATCAAGAAAATATTAAAAATAAAACAAAAAACAATCAAAACTGAGATTTCAAAGAAAGCTGGCGAAGAAGTAAAGAGTTGCCTTCCAGGGCACTAGATAACAAGTCGTCGGGTGAGAAAGAGAGATCTCATGCTTCTCGAATTTCTTACCTGAATGATGGATGACCAGACTGGCCGCTCCAACGCAAGCCCCTGAGGAGCCTCGGGGCGGCACCACTGGCCACTGGCTGAGCCGTTCTCCACCGTCTCAATTGTCCACGCCAAGACCCAGTACTTTTGCACGAATAACCCCAACCACCTTAAGTTGTCCACTGCCTGCACACCGCACATGTGGAGGTGAACCACGGACTACTCATCATCATCTTCTTCAGGGTTTGCCTTAAATATTCTATCATTAAAATCTGGGGCAATTCAATATTTGTGACAGCGTGTTAGTTAATACCAACTTTATCTGATTCAACCTGGCTGGGTTTCAATGAAGGAAGAGAACCGAATGTAGAGAGACATTATAGAAATAAATATCAATCAACTGCATCCTTTGATACCAAACTAATTGACCTTCTCCCCTTATTCTTCAAAATCCAACAACAATAAAACCCCGTACAAATATTACTTGTATATTCAAATAGAACTAAGTTGTAACCTTTAAAATCCTTGTCACGTATTTTCATAACATTCGCGCTATCAACTCGCATGTTTTAAGAACAACTAAGAGAAAATGTACCTACTCCTCGCGCCACTAATGACTCGAAATTAAGATAATAATAAAAAAGGGAGGGAGCTGGGTGGGGGGAAGAGAGAGAGAGAACCAAAGGGTGGGGATGGGGTGGTAAGGAGCAAGGAACGCGAGCTCAGTCTTTGCCAACGCGATAAAGCAAAGAAGTGGACGCCTGTCCACATATCCATCGAATTAGGAGACCCTGTATGTTTTACACATACTCAGCTTATCAGGAGGGTCATTAGATAGCCTTGCTAGATAATGTTTAAACGGACAATCTGGGGAGCAAAAGAAGACGGGAAACTGGATGCGAAATTAAAAGCCGCCGTTACAAGCCAGTGCAGCCAAATTGGCTGCATGTGCCACAGTTGCAGGACTTAGTTTTTAACTTTGCTTGCACTCAGCCGCCTCTTTCTTTGGCTTGGAAGTACCATCCTATCTAGCGTCAGTATTTGGAAAGCGTAGATGTAAGAAAGAAACCATGATGGTGATATGTATACGTACCTCTTCATCAGAGTCATCAACATCTTCATCAGACGCTCTGCCGTCTTCATCCTCGTCGTCATCCTCGTCGTCTTCATCGTCAAACTCGTCAAACTCATCAGGATCCATATCGTCACCCAATTCCTCAAACTGGAGGGCCTCCCCAGTGAACCAATCTATAGCTCGGGGTATGAGCTTCTCCTTAATATCTTCTCCAAGCTGGTAGTCAAGCTCGAGGCGCTCCTCAATATCCGTAGCAACCGTATCATCATCCTCTGCGGGGGGTTGTGGGGGAGCGAAGAAATTGAAGAAAGACTCCGTCGGTACCGTAATCTTGACAACACGAGTTTGTTTGGTATCTAATAATGAGTCAGTGTTCCATCTATGCCCATGTAGTGCCATGTGGGACCTACTTTTGTTCCTCTGCTTCTTGCTCTCAACGCGGACGGTGAGATCCTTTTCGGCCTTCCAATCGATCTTCGTTCCCTCGGCATGATCATAGATAAAATCGCCCCCATAACCATTCTCCTCCTTGTAGAAGTATGTTTTTGAAATTGTCTTGTTGGTGAAAAATTCGTTCTCCGAGAATTCAAAGATAAGTCTGAAACCAGGACGATCAAGGTATTCCATACGGATATCAACCAGATTCTGGAGAGCCTCTTCGTCCTTGTCAGTGATCATCTCGGCAAGTGAGATCTGGTTTTTCATTGCAGAGAGCCAGAATTCTGGAATTCCAGCCATCGGAGATTCCTCCTTCTCATCTCCCTCCTTCTTCGAGTCATCGTCCTTAGCATCAATTTCCTCCTCTTCTCCCTTACCGGCTTCAATTTCCGTGTCGGTCGGTTCGGTAGCCCCGTTAACGATCGTGGCACGTCTCTCATAAAGGGGGGTAAATTTGGCGAAATATTTCTTTTCAAGTTCAAGAACCTCCTCTTGGAACTGGGCTTCAAGCTTGGCATGTTCCTTCTGAATACCCTTCAGCCCAGCAACCCGGCGACGAACAGAGACAGGCAAAGACTCGATGTAGCCAGATGAGCGGCCAACAAGCGAACCAAGTTTCCCTTGAATCATGGAGACAAGTCCGGGATTTCTCGCGAACAACGAAGCGGCAGTAGCATGGTCAAGAGATTCTACAAATTAACCGAACTCGATTAGCCAGATCATAAATTCGTAGCAAATGAAAAAAAAATTACCTTCTTTGATGCTGGAAACACCAGGTTGCTGAGCATGGGAGGAAATCGGTGCATTGTTAGCTGGCGTGTTTTGCGGTGTCCTGTCAATTGGTCAGAAATCAAGATATGGCAAATATGTTGGGAAGTTGCCCTTCCGAACAAAGCAGAATGGAGTTACACACGGGGCGACAGGAAAATCCGCCTTCTTGTTCCTGATGGGCTCAGACATCGTAGATATTTAATCGAGGGGTTATACGGAGACCTCAAGAAGACAAAATCCGTTGAGGGGTTGTCGCGGAGAGGGAGGTTAAGGGTTGAAAGAATTTGATACGCTGAGATTTTGGGGTCTGGAATCCAGGCTTGGTGGGATCTTAGCGTCTTTGGGCCGAGGGGCTTGGCGGGACAAAGTGACTGTTGAGAACACCCACGAAAAATAAACGTCGGGAACAACAACAACTTCGAAAAATAAAATAAATAAAAGGCAGGATATTAGGAACAAAATTTGGGTGATATTTGTCATCTCTAGATAAATAACTTTTGGAGAGCTGAAGATTGACAAAAAAAAGAATCAATATGCCCTCCAAACCGCCTCAGGTCCTTACAATTGGAGAATGAGACTGGAGCCTTATGGTGATGGCCTGGGAGAACCGAAGTTCACCTTTTTCTAATGACGGCAGTTAATTGCAGTGCTTATCTACAGGAGGAATAGGTACTGCCACTCCTTATTTTTAAATACTACATTCATCTGTAGGTAGTCGGTACCTACTATACTAGCTACGTACTACTTGGTGCTTCCTACAGAGTTTACACTAGTTACTGTTAGTACTGTCATGGAAGGCGCGAAGGGACCGTGGGCTTTGACCTACTTAATTAGAACTTTTCATCAACAACAACAACCACCTGTAAGAAGAAGCAAGCATCATTGTCTTGTTCCATCAATATCCAATGAAGGGCTATTTTCAAAGTTTTTATTTTTCTATCCTCCAAAATACGTATGTTGTAGTTTAACTGGTTAGTAAAGTTTGCTGGATGAACTTTCATCATACCGAGCTGCAGTACCAAGCCATAACACGCACATTATTTGATACCCTATCTCATGAAGACCTGCAACCATCTCAGGGACCCAGATTAGGGCCGATACAAGAATAGTGGTAGAGTTCTCAGGCTTATCACGTGCTGGGGTTAGTAATACTAGCCAGCGGCGTACGTGCGAAGTGAGCAGATGTACAGTGACGTACTCCGTACCATCTGTTTTATTACAAGACCACAGTCCACATATAAAGTATTTGATTTCGGTCTATGGCGATTACTTGAACCCACAATAATCCCCTGACCCCGAGCTACGTATTCTCGTTGGGCAGAATTGTGATGGGAATAGCAAAAACCAAATGATCATCCTGAAACTGCAAAATGGAGCGCCCCTCATATACAACACTGGACACCCAGTCACCAACACCGGAAGCCATTTCAATGGCGCGGCGACGTGACTCAATGAGAAGCAGGTAAAGAACCACGAGACCGTGCATCTCAATCCGGCTGATGTCAGTTCAGTTTTAGTGTTGCCACGGATGTCGGAATGGCTCGCAACGAGGTACGTGTATATGGTGCCTATACAGCTTTCTTTTTTTTTAATATATAGGAGAGGGGGACGATCCAACTTACCGTAATAGATTTTTGACGGACCAATATCCGAAAGCATCCCATCTAGCGTCGCTTCGTTCTCCCGTCGCCGCATCAGAAGAGACTCCAATATAAGTCTCTCATATTATCATCAAGAGCCGGATGATTCCATTGAATGGCCTCGTAGGGAGTCCTTAGACCTCGAGAACGGTGTCGATGAACCGGTTACTGCTGAGCTTGATGATGACACAAACGAATCTATGAAATTTTCGTACAGATCAAGACAATATTCCTACCGCCGGAGCTCTGTTGAAGATCCACTACTTCCACAGCGTTCATTATCTGTCAGCTCTATTAATAAAAGGCCTCTGGGAGGTGGTGGAATCCAGCAGGAACTTTATATCGCGTCCGAAGATACGACCATCGTTATAGCCGGTTTTACCACAGCCACAAGCGGGGCTATCTTATACTACTCCTTGTGTGTTTTGACCTTCGGATTTGCCTTTCTATTGTTCAGATGGCTCCCAAGATGGCGAATATGTCTATTAGGTAGGCCGTCGCCGTTGACTTCGTGTCAATGGGTGGTGGTTGAGGTATGAGACTCCCATTTAATTCTTATTCATGGTCTATTTCTAAATGCGACAAGGATCAATGGAAACAACTCAGCATATGCGAAGTCTACAATCGAGCATATGAGCAACCTCTTTCTACGATATTTGCCGACACCTATCGGTATACATACGACGAGGATAGCGACCCTACCGTTGAACGACTCAGACATTTCGACTACAGGTATTTACGTCTCTTCTACCACCCCCTGGAGGACAAATTTCTCTTGATTAGTGGCTGGAAAGACCCGTCCTGGACGAACGCAAAGTCTATGAGGGTTGGACTCAATGCCGACGATCGTGATAGCCGTGAACAGATTTTTGGTAAAAACGCTATTGATATTCAACAACGGTCGCTATTTAAACTCCTAACGGATGAGGTACGTATGCGTCACAGGCGTTGGTTTGTTTATATACTGATGAGGTAAGGCTTTTCACCCATTTTACATCTTCCAACTTGCCAGTCTTGTTCTTTGGTCTCTGGACTCGTACTACTACTACGCTGCTTGCATCTTCATTATTTCCGTCATTAGCATAGGAACTACAGTTGTTGAGACCACTGCAGTATGTAATGACCATCATATATCCGCAAAAACCTGCCTCATATACCTAAACAACTCAGACAACGCGACGCCTGAAAGAGATGTCTCTCTTTGAATGTGATATTCGTGTTCTTAGAAATGGGTTTTGTTAGTGTGCCTGCCGTACGCACTATCGGGGCGAGTATTAACAAACTCTAGGGAGATCTGTTTCATCTCAGGAGCTAGTTCCTGGAGATGTATTTGAGTTTTCTGACCCTTCCCTGAACCAGGTTCCATGCGATTGTATCTTACTATCTGGGGATTGTATTGTAAATGAAAGCATGCTCACAGGTATGGAATACAGGAATGTTACTATGGGTATCGGTGAAGACTAAAGAGAACTTAGGCGAATCGGTTCCGGTTTCGAAAACCCCCTTGACAGATGATGCTCTCGACTATCTTAATCTCAGTGCACCTTCGGTTCATTCAAATGTTGCCAGGCATTTTCTATTTAACGGGACTAAGATCATCAGAGCACGACGCCCTCAGGGAGTTGATGATGACGAGGCGATTGCGCTGGCAATTGTCATGAGGACTGGGTTTCTAACTACTAAAGGAGCTCTCATTCGCTCAATGCTTTTTCCGAAGCCTTCGGGCTTTAAATTCTACCAGGACTCGTTTCGTTATATATCCGTCATGGGCCTAATTGCTTTTCTAGGCTTCATCGCATCTTTCGTTAATTTTGTGCGCCTAGGGGTAAGTCCTGCCGCCGCTAATCACCGAAACACAATGGACTTATACTTGATAGCTTTCGTGGAGCTTGATCATTGTCAGGGCGCTTGACTTGATTACAATCGTTGTTCCCCCGGCACTGCCAGCTACATTAACAATCGGAACCAACTTTGCTCTGTCTAGATTGAAAAAGAAAAGGATTTTCTGCATTAGTCCCCAGAGGTAAAACGGGCGCTCTATAATATCGAAGATGCCCATGCTAACATTTATGATAGAGTCAATGTGGGCGGTAAGCTTGATGTGATTTGCTTCGATAAAACCGGTACCCTCACCGAGGATGGTTTAGATGTCCTTGGAATACGAACAATGACTCGACATCAAAGGTTTGGCTCTGTAGCACAGTTCCTGCTTCCAATGGCTGATTCGGCTAGACTATCTGAACTTATATCCGACACATCATCCAAACCAGACCCGGTTTCCGCCTTATCTCAAGGATTTGATAGCTATGATATTATCATCCGCATCATGGCGACGTGTCACTCTCTGCGAGTAGTAGACGATGAGCTCCTAGGCGACCCGTTGGATGTGAAGATGTTTCAGTTTACAGGGTGGTCTTTTCAAGAGGGTGGAGGCCTGGCACCCGAGCACCAAAATTCCGAAAACGAAACCATCGTTCCTTCTGTTGCCCGTCCGCCCAATGCCACAGCGTCCATGAGCGGTAGCGATCATGATATTGTGAATGTAAGCAACTACCCGCTCGTTTGTTTTACTGCCAATCTAGTCGACCGTGGGAATTAACGTTTTGGCCAAACTCCTAGGGAACTGTGGAGCTCGGTATCTTACGGAGTTTCGAATTTGCCTCGCAACTTCGCCGTGCAAGTGTGATTGTAAGACAATTTGGTGATAGTGGTGCCACTATTTTTGTAAAAGGTGCACCAGAAAGCGTCAAGGATATCTGTCGCCCAGGAAGCTGTCAGTGTGTCCATACTTTTCTCAGCATTGACTTATTGACCGACTGATACAGTACCCTCGGATTTTGAAGAGATTCTAAGCCAGTATACACACAACGGCTACCGCGTCATCGCTTGTGCTGCTAAATATGAACAAAGGTTAAGTTGGATGAGAATCCAGAAAATAACGCGCGCGGATGCAGAGGCAGGCCTGGAGTTTGTCGGGTTTATAGTCTTCGAGAATAAGCTGAAACCGAAGTCTACCGAAACGATCGCTGAGCTGAACAAGGCCAACATAAGAAACATTATGTGTACGGGCGATAATATACTTACAGCAGTAAGTGTTGCCCGGGAGTGTGGGATACTGGGAATTGAAGACCAATGTTTTATACCACGGTTTATCGAAGGTTGGTTATCCCGGGATGGTTCATGGCGCGTCTTAGCACTAATATGACCAGGGATACCACATAATATGAAAGCATCCTTATGCTGGGAAAGTGTTGACAATCCAGCCTTGGAATTAGATCCAGAAACGTTGATGGTATGTTACTTGACTTTGAATTAACTAGATGTGGGGGCTAAAAAAGAGCAGCCAGTGTTATGTTCCGGTGAAGCTAATCCGTCCCTTCCTGAGGATCCCTACAACGCTTGCAAATTCTCGCTCGCAATCAGCGGTGACATTTTTAGATGGATTCTAGATTATGAGAACGAAACTGTTGTGAAAAGGGTGAGTATGCATGCAAGTTTTGGGAACCCAAAATTGACCCATTCTCCTACTACATTTTATGATCTAACTCAACTTTTTTTTTTATTCAGATGCTTGCTCGTGGAAATGTGTTTGCGCGAATGTCCCCCGACGAAAAGCACGAACTTGTGGAAAAGCTTCAATCACTTGATTACTGCTGTGGGTTCTGTGGCGATGGTGCTAATGACTGCGGAGCATTGAAGGCTGCAGATGTTGGCATATCCCTGTCGGAAGCCGAAGCCTCTGTAGCAGCCCCCTTTACCAGCCGCCAATTTGACGTTACTTGCGTCCCGACTCTGATCAGGTTTGAGGACCCGATTCTTTCTATAACATAGCAGCTAATTCTACTACAGAGAGGGCCGTAGCTCACTGGTCACGAGTTTCTGCTGCTTCAAGTATATGAGCTTGTATTCAGCAATCCAGTTCGCAACTGTCAGCTTTCTATACACAACAGCGTCTAACCTCGGAGACTTCCAAGTGAGAGTTTTTCCCCCCTAATACATTAGGGACTTCACTAATCATCGTTCATTCAGTTTTTATTCATCGACCTTACTCTCATATTACCAATCGCGGTCTTTAGTAAGCCTGAAAATCCCAACCCCATTCTATCATTCTAAGATGTGAAACTTATTTCTTTTTCAAAGTGGGATGGACTGCTCCCTATCCCGTTCTTTCATGGAAGCGACCAACTGCAGACCTTGTCTCCAGAAAGGTCTTGACGCCATTGCTCGGGCAGATAATTGTATGCGTAGTTGTCCAGCTCATAGCCTACAAATCTGTCCAGTCACAACCCTGGTAACTTTCCGTGTCTATGAAACTTCTTAGGAACCACTGCTCACCTTTCTTTTTTTTTTTTCTTTTTTCCTTTTTGGCAGGTTCAAAGCTCCCAATACAGACCTAGGAGAGGACAATATCGAGAACTCGGAAAACACCGTTCTATTCTTGACATCCAGCTTCCAGTATATATTGGCAAGTGTTGTTTTGAGTGTGGGCCCACCGTTTCGAAACCCAATGAAGTCGAATAGTACGCCTTTCTGAAAATTGTACTGTCCGGCGATGATTTCTGATACTTCCCAGGGCCACTCCTTGCTGTCATATTTATAGACTTATTTTTTTCGGTCTATATGCTTTTCAGACCATCCAGTTGGGTAAAGCGGGTTATGCAGTTGACGTACTTATCAGACGGGTTTGCTACATGGTTGCTTGGACTAGCCATTGGAGGCTTCTTGTTCGCTTGGTTCGCAGAGCGAACAATATTTCCCCAACTTGCTCGCATTATTGGACACCTGAAAATCGCCATGCTGCCAGGTCATCAGAAGCAACGACGCCGGTATAAAATACTGCTTGAGGAGATGAATAGATAGGTTGCTAACTGGGAGTGGAGAAGTCGGTGCGATAGCAAGGATGCGCATATCGGCGCTCACCCAGTTGGAATTGAGATAGATAGATTCAGAGTACTGGTGAATTGTGAATACATGCGCATTCGATGTTCTAACACGTGGTATTCAGTGTATCGAGAGGTGTATGGCCGGCTGATCCAGCCTGTACTAGATATATGAACATGGTTTCTCTCCCATTTTCGTTTGCGCTCAATGATCCCAAGGGTGCTTCCAACCGAGCAATGCAGGCCCGTCCTTCTTAGCTCGGTACATTAACTAAATATGTTGAGGTTTTATTAGAGAATTGACGAGGACATCGTAGTAAGGTGCTGGCGAACTTACGAAAAACCACATGCTGGCGCCGAGGGCAGTTGCCGTAAAGCGGTAGAGTGGTCGAGCAGGGTGGATGTGGATGGGATGATTCGCTGCCATATCTGGAAAACGGTGAGATGCCGCCGCAAATATGATTTGGGCAATAGCGGATGGGTTCTCACCTACTCAAATTGCGGATATCAATTGACGATGAGGTTCGATGAGGCCGGGAACGGGGAAGTTGGTTTGCTTCCAACCCGGAGCCAATCGGGACTCATCACGTGATCCTGTATCCATCATGCTTGATTGCTCCGTTGCACTATATGCTGGAAGTAGCCCAAGCCTCCAAGTATATGAAACTTTTGTGTCAAGTACTGCCAAGCGTGATAGGACTGCAAGCTGATCTTTCTGGCCTGTTTCGTCTCAATTTGGTATAACTTTCGAGCTCCCCCTTTCTCCCTCTTTCAGTTAAAAAGCCTTTATCTTACTCTGGTTTATAGGAACATATTTGAACTTCTCGAAATACCCGAACTATAACTATAGTATATCCCATTGTCGTTGAGCGGAAAGCGACGACACTCAAATCTCCGTCGCCATCGGATTCCATTTCCATCGCAATATCAACAAACATCCAAATCCCCTTTGAACAAGACATAGCGAATGCGAACCCCATCCTGATGGAAAATGGGTATCGGCCCTCTGGATCGAGATAGCAATGGTGGCACGAGGTTCACTGGATGTACCGGGATCCGCGACTTTGAATTTTTGGGTAAACTCGGTGAAGGTACCTTTGGGTAAGCATCTTCCACGATCATCTTGGATTTGGTTGACCTGGAGCTTTTGCTTCAGAGAGGTCTATAAGGCGAGAGCTAAAAGGGACGACTCTATCGTCGCTTTGAAAAAGATCCTTATGCACAATGAACGAGATGGGGTGAGATTGATCTGGTATTCCTGTTTCCCCCCTCAACTATCTGACCGTAAAAAGTTTCCGATTACGGCCCTCCGAGAAATCAAGCTTCTCAAAATGCTGTCCCACGTCAACATCATGCGACTCAGGGAAATGGCTGTGGAGCGAAGTAAAGGTACAAGATATCTTGTTATACCCCTTGCGAGACCGGTCTGACTATCGAGAAGGAGAGGGACGCAAGAAGGCTAGCATGTATATGGTTTTCCCCTATATGGAACACGACCTTTCGGGACTTTTGGAGAATCCTGCTGTTCATTTCACTGAACCCCAAATTAAGTGCTACATGATCCAACTCCTCGAGGGATTAAGATATCTACACGGGGTATTCCTATGCCTAAGTACAAGGGGAAATGGCTTTTTCTGACTTAGTACAGAATTGCATCCTACACCGCGACATGAAAGGCTAGTTCTGTCATAATGTTTAAAGGGATACTTTTGCTTACCTCGGTACAGCCGCGAACTTGCTTATAAGCAACCACGGTATCCTACAGATCGCTGACTTTGGTCTGGCACGGCCTTTCGACGAAGCACCTCCTCAGCCCGGGAAAGGGGGGGGAGAAGCGAAAAGAGATTATACCACTTTGGTTGTGACTCGATGGTATCGCCCTCCGGAACTACTTCTCCAACTCCGTCGCTATACCTCTGCTATTGATATGTGGGGTGTTGGGTACTTCATGCACTTGAAGCCTTTTTCGTCCAATATCTAACATATACAGATGTGTTTTCGGTGAAATGTTCAAGGGAAAACCAATCCTTGCCGGTAACAGTGATCTCAATCAAGCACAACTCATATTCAGTCTTGTAGGCACTCCTACAGAAGAGAATATGCCAGGGTGGAGCTCCCTTCCGGGTTGTGAAGGCGTGAAAAGTTTCGGCAACAGGCCAGGGAATCTTGCTGAGGTATTCAAAAAGTAATATATCCTTTCTATGTGCCCCCTTGGTTTAATTTGGCCATATCTTTACGTCAAGGGAATCAGCATCTAACTGAGCTCGTTTACAGCCAAAGCCCTATCGCCATTTCTTTGCTAGCCGAGCTCTTGAAACTTGATTGGCGGAAAAGGGTGAACGCGATTGACGCGTTAAAACACCCTTATTTCTCGACACCACCCCTTCCAGCGCGTCCGGGTGACATTCCAACTTTTGAGGATTCCCACGAACTTGATAGACGGAGATTCCGTGGACAGAGAGCTGCTATGCCTCCAGCACCTGCTGGAGGTTCTGTGGGGGTGGGTCGGAATGGAGGATGGACCACCAATTCAGGAAACAAAACAAACGCAGAAGCCAGGAACCCTCGTGTTCCAGGAGCTTCCCGGGGAGTTAAGGCAATTTCTAATGGAAGCATGGGGAGCCAACGGCGCGATACCTGGAATAATGATTCCCAGCACAGTCGGCAGAGAAGGATTAATGAGGATTCAAACCAAGGTCTCCCGTCTCGGCATAGAGACGGCGGCTTACCACCTAAACCCCCAGCGCCAACCCATCATGAACCGTGGACAGGCCATCCCGATAAAGGAGCGCGAGACCGAGGGTACGGGCCTCGCTATGGGGGCCCCGAAGCAAGTGTCGATTCATACATTCCTATTTACAGCGGGAGCGATCGAAGTCGTGAGAGAGGCCATGGCCCCACCAACTCCGACTGGCGTGGATCATATCATGACATGCCATACCAGAACAAGCTTGATTATTCGCGAGAGAATTCATCAAGGAGGCGGAGCCGGAGCCCTATGTATAAAGAACGAGTAGACAGGGGCTCGTATCGCCGATAATCCGATAGTTTCACCGTGCCGTTCGTTACCCTTTGGATTCGGCTCTACGGCGCCGGTGGGGTGGTGTTAAAACGACAAATACTTTTATGCTCTTCGTTTCGAAAAACAATTAGTTACTTATTCGCTCACGTTGAATGCTTGGCATTACAACAACATTTACTTTTTCAGCGTCGATCCGAAATATTAAGACGGAAAAATGAAAGACTTTTCTCTAGCAAGTTCTTAAGTATTCAAGTTGCACACGTCAGGTGGTCGACCTCCAACATTCTGAAGCCCAGCAAATTCGGGTAGAAAGGTACCGTTGAGGGACTCCTACCAGGAACCAAAACAAAAAAAAAATGACATAACCCTCTTAACTTCCCGCCCGTCCAGTTCTCTCCTGTTGCGACATGGAAGTATATGTGCCCCCTAATCTATGTGGAATGATTAATGCAATGGAGCTCAGGAGAACTCAATCTGAGCAGACTTAATACAATATTCTCGTCATTATCCGGGCTAAAGAGAAAACCAGTAATTAGCCGCCAAGAATCATTCATTGGGTGGAGGGGGTATCGTATCAGTACATGAGAGGCTTTCAAGTCTTTCGTATAAGTCCTTTATCGTCGTATTATCGACGTTGCTGATATCAGCCATCAGATACGCCACCTGCACAGGATGGTTAGCGCTATGTTTATACCATCAAAAAAAAAATATTAATAGTATTACTAGTATTAGGGGGCCGGCGGGGAGCAACTTACATCACCTCTACTATCTGTCATTTGCTTGTCGACATTATGATCACCGAGGATCTCGTTGACTGGAAAGGTCAGCCAGTTTAATAGAAATATTTGGTATTTTCTTACCTTTCCGGAGAACACCTGGGACATTGTGGTGAATATAAATAACCTATAATTGTCAGCGGGTCGATGCATGATACTTGCAAAGAAGGAAGGGGGGAAGCATTATATACCCGAGCATGATCTGGTTCATCCAAGGTTAAGGATCGAAGAGCTACCTCCGGAAGATTGACCGCGCCCAGAGTTGTGCCCTCATTAACATATCTAACTAAAGCCTCTGCCACCTCAACGCCAATGGCACGTTGCGCCTCCTCCGTGCTACCACCGATGTGTGGGGTCAAAATTAGATTCTTGAGAGCACAGAGATCGGTTCCCCAAGTGTTAAGATCACTGTTAAAGTAGTCACCATTTCCCGCAGGCTCGTTGGGATACACGTCAAGTGCAGCACCGGCAATTTTTCCAGACCGCATCGCGTGTATCAGGGCAGGTATATCGACGACAGTTCCTCGACTGGCATTGATCAAATAGCTACCATCTTTCATGAGCTCAAATTGTTTCTGTCCCAGCATGTTTTTCGTTTCAGCAAGCTCGGGCACATGACACGTGACGAAATCCGCCTCGGATAGGAGATCCTCCAGCGTTGAAACCTGGCGAGCTGTGCCCAATTCCATGAGATTTACGACGTCATAATAAACAACCGACATGCCCATAGCTTCCGCCAAAACCGATAGCTGGGACCCAATGTGGCCATACCCAATAATTCCTGTAATTGAATGTCAGATTGCGGCCAATTTAAACCCACGAGCCAACCATATTAGGCGCACCGTGGCTAAGAAGGAAGAATAATACCTAGTGTCTTCCCCCTAATCTCCCAACATTTGTTACTGACTTTGTTCCACGTGCCATTATGCATTTCATTGGATCGGTCGCCAAGCTGACGAGCGAGAGCAATGATTTCACAAATGACCAGTTCAGCCACGCTCCGAGAATTGCTAAACGGAGAATTAAACACGGTGATGCCATGCTCCGCTGCATACTGGAGGTCGACCTGGTTTGTTCCAATACAAAAACAACCAATCACTATGAGATTGCGTGCTTCCTTTAACACACGCGCTGTCAACTTTGTCTTCGAACGAATTCCGATCACATGAACGTCTCTATTGACAAAGAGAAAATCTAGTCAGTAGGCATTTTCGAATGGCTAGTCTACACTCACCGAATTTTCTCTATAAGTTGATCCTCGGGGAGCGATGACTTGAGAAACTCTACTTGATATCCTTGCTTGTTGAGAATATCACGACCTGTCTGGTTGACATTTTCCAGGAGTAAGACCTTGATATCCTCAGTGGCAAAGGGTTTTAGGTGCTTCGCATTGAGAGACGGGACCACGCGGTTTGTGAAGGCCGAGCCGCCATGGCTAGACGGAGCAGATTGGAAAGACGTGTTTGGTGAAGTTGAAAAGCTCTGGCCCTGCGAAATACCCAGGCTGGCCGCATCCCTACCGGAACCTATATCTCTCGCGGATGCCGCCATATTTTAACCGTCAGTGGGCGCAAAGTGAGACAGACTCCGTAGAAATTGTTCTTTTGATCTCGGATAATCAAGGTTAGAACTATCAAGATAGTGGTAACAATAGAGTGGGGAGAATGGTTCGCTCACCAGTTCTCACTGACTTCCCGGGCAATTTACCCTTGGGCGATTTTATGTTTGGAAGGTAAAGACAAGCTGTGGATTCAAAGGAGGAAACGTAGTGTGTCATAAGTTTCTTTTATATGAAAAATTTAATAAGCGCCGCAGTTCTGGAGCAGCTGGGCCTACGGGGTCATTGTACCATTTGAATTGAGTCATCCTACTCGCCTTTACTCCGAAATAACTCCAGCGACCACCAGTCGATGAACCGGTTTCAAACACCGTAGGCCCCCATTAATAGGGGTTGAACAGGCATATCCAATACTAGAATAATAATATTCACTAAAGGAGAATTATACCAGTGCTATATTACCACGCTCAACGATGGACTTTCTAGTCACTGCAGCCAGCGCCTGACGCCCAAGAATTTGTCGCTCAGAACAATCAGCTCCGGACTCGGAGTCTGAGGAGCAGCACAAGTCCAATGGAGGGGTCAAGGTGGGGCAGTTATCCTAGCCCCGCCACAGTGAAGTTAGGGAGGTCATTAATCATTCAAATTGTCAACCAGCCTGTTAGGTGTTTGTTCCGTTCGTGTTTCTCTCTGTTTTCAAAAAAGGATTCTTCTGCGATGACTCGGTACCATAACGGTTGCTTAATCCAGAGTTTGTTTACGGAACTCATTCCATGTATTTTATTTTATTTTTTTCTAGAAAAGAAGTTCTCTAAGAATTGCTTCAGAATAATAATCTATATCCTCCAGGCCCGTCATCTCGCATGGTTTTGGCACCTGCTATCAAAGATGCTGTTTCCATGCGGACGGATTAAAGGAATAAATTTGGCATGGATTGAAAGTCATTCATCCACATTACTATCATGTCCCAAGGCATCCATGTTAGGTATCTTCTGTGTGAATCCAAATCAAGCTAAAACCAAAAGCCTACCATAAGAGGCCAGTCGATAATGTTGGAAGTTGTTAAAGTTTCTCCCCGCTTGAATTATACCTGCATGCCTTGCAGCTTCTTAGTTGCTTCGTCTGTGCCAGTAAAAGGCTTGCTGGCGGCTTTGGGTCTAGATTTGGTCGAAGTGCTGTCTTTCGGAAGCTCTTTGGTGTATGGGAGAAACTCTGGCGCCCCGGGTATGTATTTGCGGAGGGGCTCTGGAACAACAAATCCCTATCTGTTGTCAGTATGAGTCATACCAACTATATAGACAATACCTGGTTCATACATCATCTGTTTGGTAGTTCTCAAGTATGCAACAGAGCGTTCTCTCGGTAGCACACAGTGTAGCATTAAGTGCATGGACGTATGCTTTTTTCGCGTCCGTGGTCTTTTTGGGACCATACCGGATGCCGAGTGCGCGTGCCTGGTAGTCGGTACAGTTGGAGCAAGAAACGAGCTCTTTGTATTCCTGCTGGAAGGGAAACCAGGCTTCAAGGTCGAATTTCTTTGCTGCGGCATTATTCAAAGCGCCAGAAACTATAGAGACAACCTGATAGGGGAGTCCAAGGGATTGGTAGAACTCCTCAGAAGTGGCTATCATTTCGTCAAACACTTTCCAGGAGTCTTCAGGTTTCGTCAGAATAAATTGCTCGATCTATTATTGAGTCAGTTTTTTTTTTTAGTGAAATCGTTAACCTAGTGGGGGTCTATGTCTGACCTTCTCAAACTGGTGAACACGGAATATCCCCCAAGCATCCTTCCCATGAGCGCCGGCCTCCTTACGGTAACAAGTACTATAACCAGCATACCTGCCATCCAGTAAGCCTCTGTGTACCACTATAAATGCGGGATGTCTCACCTAATAGGCAGATCCTTGTCTTGGAGCCACTCGCTATCATGCAACGCCGATAGCGGCTGCTCCGAGGTGGCAATCAAATACTTGTCAGTGGACTTATCCTCGCTCTCAGTGACTTTGTAGAGCTCTTCGTCAAACTGCTCGAGCTGGGCAGTTTTTGCCATCATCTCCCTAAGCATAAAGTGAGGGGGCTGGTTCGGCTTGTACCCACGCTTCCATAGGAATTCCAACCCATAGTTCACAAGTGCAAGGTTCAAGAAGAGACCATAACCGGTAAGACAATATCCACGGTGGCCAACAATCTTGACCCCGCGTTCCGGATCATAGCCATCAAGTCTGGTCAAAACTTCATGGTGCGATAAGCAGTTCGGTTTTTCGGTAACCAAGTCGTCCGGAGACCACGTCCTGATAATAGAATTATCATCCTACATGCCGCGATCAGTATCATCCACAATTTCTACCCTTTTCCCTAAGCACCACTGACCTCATTGCTGCTCACGGGGACTGAGTCATGGACATAGTTGCCAATTGTTCCAATTTTTCGGTCTCTCAGGCTCTCCTTCTGCAAAGCGACCTCTTCTGCCACTTTCCGCCGGGACTCTAGCTTTGCCTTTTCCTCCAAAAGAAGGCTTGCGTCTTCCTTGTTCTAGTTTCCGACAGTCAGTAAAATGACAATATTGTTGAATTTAAGGATCTCGAGGACCGAATCTCACTTTTTTCTTTTTACCAATCTCCTTGAGGAGCGCATTGAGCTGGGAGTTTATTTGGGAAACCTCATAGCGTGCTGCAACAAATCTCAAAATTAGTTATTTATATCTCAAGTTGTCCGCATCACTAAAGCGAGTTATCAATAAGAACTTACCCCGGCGAGCTTCCTCATATAGGGAAAGAACCTCATCGACGGCAGTTTCAGGGGCCGATCTTCTCCTCTGGCTCTCCTTGATTTTATTCGGATCTCCGCCACGGTCGGTAATGAAATCAGCAAGGTCCAACATATTTTGTTATTATTCCCGCGTATTCGAAACCAAACGAGTTCGATTCCAGGTGGCAGACCCAACCGAGTATTGGTATTGGCGTTTGTTTGATCAATGTGTAGCAACTTCGACTAAGCGGGGAGATTGAGGGGCAATCGAAATTTGATCAACATTTCTCCGATCAGCCTGACTGTTAGGGCATCCACCCGCACCTAAAGTATTGACCCTCCAACCTCAAATAGGCTAGCTCATATGTATCTAAATGAGGACTAAATAAAAATCATCTAATCATCAGTTTCATCACTCGTTAACTAACTAGTAACTATTCGTGAGTTACACGTTACTCAAATCATCAAATGATGGTTTGTAAATAACTACTCTGTAACAGTTAATCTAGTTAGTTTACTAACACTGGTAAGCCTAACCAGGCAGCTTAATTATTAACTATCAGGGCTACTCCATAACCGTACTTTACAAGACCTTTGAAGCGGAGACGAGTACGTCGAGATATAGCCAGAGGGTTTCAATCGAGTCGATTAGCTGAACAGAGTGAACCTCTGGAGCAATCTGGTTCTTCTGCGCCGAGGGGTAGCATAAACACTTACTTTACTGCGCAACTACTTACAAACCATGAGGTAGCTTATAGCATAGTTGCGGGGTTATTATAGTCAATCTGTAAGGACCTGAAAAGCCTTCCCTTTTTATTTTGATGGAGGTTATGCTGTTTTATATCCTCTCTGCGGTAGCTAGCCCAGGTGCCGAAGTGGAAACTACCTCGAGGACAAGCCGCCTGTGACTTCTACAAATATTTATCCTTCGCATTTCCGGGTGTGTTTGAAAACAGCTGGAGGGGAATTCAATCAGTTGGTAACTACATCAGATAGCACTATGTGCAAACATTTCATCCAGAATCAAGGTTTCTAATCAAATAGGAACAAGAGCCCCGTTCCCCCGCGTCTCAGGCGCCAAGTCAATTGGTTCTGTAATTCGATTAGTGAGGTCCCTCGGTAACAGCCAAACATGGTCACCCGCGGACACTCCAAGATCAATTTGTTGCGCATCAACATTGGCTGAAACACACTAGGAGAAGAGTAGAGAGCGCCGATTTTAAAAGCAAAACACGATCCATTCTATTGGTTCGGTCGACCGTCTGTCACATCAGAGCACACTTATTCCCTCCAGTTGGTTGTGAAGGATTCTGTGATCTTTCAATTTCTCCGATCATTAACTCAAAAGCTTTGGCTACGTTGTAGTCAAGACGAGCACTAGCTTCCGTAAACGCACAACGAAACTCTTCCCCTAGCTGCCGGCCCTCATCTATGGACACTTGACGTTGTTCAGGTTTAAGATCACTTTTATTTCCCACGACGACAAGTGGCACATAATCTGCCCCCTGGTGCACTTCAGCTGAGAGTAAAAACGCAAGTTAAAGGTGGACTACTTACCAAATGGTTTAGAATTTTGTCTCTGATGACCCTTACCATATCAAAAGACTGACGGGACGCCACGGAGTAGGCAATTAGATACCCATGAATCCCGATGAAGTGTTTAGAATTTAATATGCTGTACTCGTCCTAGTTGTTTTTTTATTTTTTGAATTAGCGCTTTGCAATAACCGAGCACGTCATGAGTGTCCTCACTTGGCCGGCTGTATCAACTATCTCTGTCGCATAGTCCTGGCCATTGTATTTGATAATTCGACTAAAGGTGTTCTCAATCGTCGGATAGTAACTCTCCACGAAGTGTTGCTCAACGAACCGAACCGTGAGCGAGGATTTACCTGGGAAATTATTAGCCCTGAAAAGAGAAAATCGGGGAGCGTAGACACATGCCTACGGAGCGACTGCCCACGATAGCTATTTTTCGTTGTTTTGGTGCACTGGGCATTTTCATGGGCCCAGGGAGGGGATAGCAATCGGGGAAAGACAAGATAACTCGTGGCGCTTGCAGATATTAATGCGTCCGGCGATGCTAGCCAGAGCCGCGGCGGACAGATACTAACTGCTATGGGCAAAAATCATGAAGAGATCTGGGAGTTTTCGATTGGGTTAGGGAAACAATGTTAGAGTAATGGATACGTACCTTTAGCTCTTGGGAGCGGTGCAGTGCCGATGATGATGACTCAGTGGGATGTGGCAAACGTCCAGCAGCTCAGGAGCTAACGAACGAATGTTGCTTATTTTTTGCCGGCACACGCAAACATACCTATCAAGAACAGGTATATCCGATGCTGGTCTGGGGCTGCTACGACAAAGTATGATACTTTTAAACAGCATTGACTCGGGCATTTTTAGCCAAGTCGTATTTATACCATGTCCACGAAGTATGTTTCTGGGAGTAGACCGTTGTTGCGACGTGCGACCGCGTCATAGGTACTTAAGCACACCAGACCCGACCGAAAACGGATTTGTAAATGAAAATGTCGCCTATCTCACTTCAACTCCAGAATTGCTAGCAGGGGGGCAATGATCTGATAGTCCCCCCCCCCCCGCCTTTTCTTTTCTCCCTAGCAGCTTCTATCGACATGCCAGCCGGCCCTATTTTCAAAGGTGTATCAAATAGCAAGTAATTTGATACCAGGGAATTATATATTAGATTCCCACTACTATAAAACGGCGGAATTTTTCCTTTCAGCCTCTATTCACCGTATGAGCAAGCCCCTCCAACTGACATATTTGATCAATAATATGCCCTAGTCGAGTCGTGAGCCTAGATTCTCCTTGCTCCCACGTCTCAGTGGGGCCAGTATCCTTTTCAACCTCTCTATGGTACTGCAAAAACTTTTCAGCTGTTGACAGGATCAATGCCAACCCACCCCCGGTTAGGAATTCATTAACCAGATGGCGGGCTTCCTTGTCGAGGCAAATAGTAAGCAAAAGGATGGATAGGTATCCTGCAACAACATTCACATGCACATCGGCCACGGAGTGTGCCTATATATAATGTCAGAACACATCAATAGGTAATAATTGTTTCCTCACCTGGTCCATAGTGCCAACACTGCCAGAGAATTGCTCGAGAAGCTGGCGAAAGAAAGAAACTGCTCTGTTATCGGAACTTATAAGTATAGCTCTGGACTGCTTGGTCTTCTCTGCTAGATTTATGAGGGTTCCTAGAGCCAAAATGACCTCATTCAATGTGCCATCGTCCTGGTGGCAAAGTTCGCTAGAAATATCCCGAAATTCTGTAGTAACAATACCCGCGAGCCCGCAGACAATATCTGGGGTTGCAAAGCAGTCACACAGTTTCGGCTCCTTGTTAGTAAGATTTAGTATCACCCGGATATAGGACATCGAGGCATGTCTTCGATCGCGATGATCTAAACTTAAAACGTTATGAAATCGAACAAGACGATGGAAACACTGGCAATGATTATAATCAAATGGCCCCGATATTACCGAGTAATCCTCGAGAATCAGAAATATTCGATCCAGAAACTCAAGTTGGTCTTTCGGTGCTGAGGAATTTAGATCTTTGATGGCATTTTCCGCAATCAGATCGATCAACTTGCCCAAAAATAGTGTAGAAAAATGGTGAATTGTATGCCCACTCTCCCGGAGAACGACCAGAGAAGATTTGATGCACTCAAGTGCTAGCAATTGGGGTGACAGACATGGCGAAAGAGAACCCATGGCAGGCAATAAATGAGACCGAACATCCCTGATGGCTGCCTGTGCAGTCTTTGAAAGACCAATCGAAGGTTTTCGGGCTAAAATAAGGATATCGTCCTCCGTATCCAATACTGCGGGGGGTAATTCGAGGATCCTTGCCCACAAAGAGTCGGAAAAAACGCGGGAAGTATGGCCGCCGACTATTATCAGTCTGTGAGCACTGAGAGCAAGGGAAGCAGATATTAAATCCAAATCGTTTAATGTACAATTCACCAGACGTTCGTCAAATCCCTGCTCAGAGAAACGATGTACAAACTGGGGATCCAAAAGTTTGCCACATAATTCGGCAAGGGCACAACATCTTCCAGACTTTGAACTATATCTGTCTTCGATATCTTCAAAAATCGAGTCGATGACTTCTCGAAATCGGGCATTGTCTCCAGCCCGCCGAAGCTCGTGGATGCTACGGACGGGTTTGCTATCCTGGGCATCATCCTCTTCGGGAGATATGCGCGAAGAGCGTACGTTAAGAGATTCTGCTTCAGTTTCGAATTCGTGAGAGTTCTTTACATCATGGTGTTCGAGATCGGTCAAAGTAAGTGAATCATTCAAAAATGAACGCTGCCGTGAATAAGTAACTCCTGAAGATCGCAACATTGAAGAAGGTACGGGCGCGGGAGGGCTTCTTCGAAGGTGCTCAGGGTCACATGTCCTGGATTCGGACGCTTCCCTATCAAGACGCCGGCCTGCTGAAGTGAAATCCACCTCATCAGAGGAGTAGAGTGGTTTAGGCACATAATGGGACAATGGCGCAAAAGCCCCACTGCCTCCATTATCTGCAGTGCCTAACGAGTCGACCAATCTTTTCCGCGGCGAAGCCGAGTCGAGCCTCTGAGATGTACCCAAAGAACTACTTGAACCCTTACGATCATCTCGAAGCTGAGAAGCTGGCTTCTGTCGACGGGTAGAGCGCCAGTAAGAATATGCTGGTCGGTTGATTGATTCGGCCTCAAGCGTGGTGTCTGGACTCGCAGACCGAGAAGTGTCACCGCCGCCCGAAGGTTTGCCCCGATGGGTGTGTTTTGGAGGGGAATTAATGTTGTTTTGCAGGCCGGCATTCCCTAGATTCACACCCAGGGACGCAGCCGCATGTGAGCTCATCCCGCGTAGTGTAGGGTCAATGTAAGGTTCTTCATGAAGCGACTTCCTCCGTTTTCGCGGCATGGCGATATGCTCGTCTCCTTTATTCTCATCCTCGTTCCCCCCTCTCGTGACCGGAGAATTGCCTAGTTTTGTTATGAGTAAATCAACGTGCTCATGGACCTGAGTACTCACTTGAGCTCTTCAGCAGCCGGGAAGACCGAGACGTTCGAACAGAAGATGTTGCTGACGTAGCTAATTCATTAATTGGGGAAATGCGAGACGTGGATGCTCTGGCAGAATCACCTAATCCCTGCGTATGTGACTCAAGCCTGTTTAAGGGTGATTTACCATACGTCACTCGTCGTTTCCTATTTTGCGACATGCTGAGTAGACAGGGTGCGAGGAATAAAGAGGCCTAGATTGTATGATATGGGCAAGGTACGCAAAGCACAGTGTTCCACGCATCCTCTTATGATATCCGAATGCAGTGTCCTTGAAGTAAGGCCATACCAGATACCAAGTTACCAGGGTTCGTATGTCGTTCTTCCAGAACTGGGGACTAGGTCAGCCTCTCATTCTCATCACATGATGACTAACACTGGTACTCGTAACTAACTAACTACGGGGCCTCGGTATTTAGACTACTTATCAGTTACTATATTGTCGCCGAAGGTTACTCAAGTTTCTTAACCTACCCATGTGTTGAACAGCACATCAACCAGGAACAAAAGTCAGCGATTCCTGCTCTGGTGGGAATATTGCGTGGTATATTCAGGGCTTGTATTTACCTATACTGCGCAAAGTACCAAGTACTATGGACTCCAAGCACTCCCTCACGACCATAGTAATCTTCACTTATTAACTATGTAAAAAGTGATTTAATTGCTCACCATTGCTAGTTGTAACAATGGACCATGGGGCCGCCAGTACACCGTAGTCAGTACGTACCAGGCCACGGAGTTACGTGGTAGTCTAGTATTGATAAGTTAGGTAATACGTAACATAGTAACTAGTTAGTCTCAGCAGGCGACACTAGCTGGGTGGACACGCGATCAGAGGCAGGAGTAGCTTATCTTCGTTTGCATTTTGATACTTCCAGTGTAGCCATTACCTATTCCCCTGAACATCTTTTCAACCATTCTAGTAACGCTATTACAACATTGGACACGGCTTTACCCTTGGGGACCTTTAGTATTCTGCGTCTTCCTCTACCCCATCACCACGATAACAGTGTCATCTTCATTTTTATCTTGTTTTTTACATCTACCTAGGCATCATTCTCCTAGCCAAAATGAGCGGAACAACGGAACCCATTCCTTCACCGGCTCAAGGTGTTGGACCAGTTTACCGATCTGATAGGGAAAAGCCCACAGCAACAGTGTCCAAGAGCATATCCTACGACAACGTCCATGTTCTTCCTCAGACCCCTCAACTCATAGCACTATTGACGTAAGTCGCACGGGATTATCCACACTCCAGGCCCGCCTAATATACCGCAGTATGATTAGAGATCAAAATACCGGTCGCGCTGATTTCATCTTCTATTCGAACCGAATAATCCGCCTCTTGGTAGAAGAAGGACTCAACCATCTCCCAGTCGTCGAGCAATCTGTCACTACCCCCGTAGGTCGCTCTTACCTGGGCGTAAAGTTCGAGGGGAAAATCTGTGGTGTTTCAATTATGCGAGCTGGAGAGGCCATGGAACAGGGGCTGAGAGATTGCTGCCGTTCTGTGCGAATAGGCAAGATTCTCATACAACGAGATGAAGAAACGTGCATGCCGAAACTTTTCTATGAGAAGCTACCCACTGACATCTCCAATCGATGGGTCCTTCTGCTTGATCCAATGTTTGCAACGGGTAAGCAAATACGTACTAGCGGTGCTGAGTTCAACAAGGTTAAAATAAGCTAGGAGGATCCGCAACACTTGCTGTCGACATATTAAAGGCTAAGGGTGTTCCCGAAGAGCGCATCCTTTTCCTCAACCTCATCGCAAGCCCCTCGGGTGTCGCAGATTTCGCCGAACGCTTTCCTAGGCTACGGGTTGTGACGGCCTTTATCGACCAAGGTCTGGATGAAAAGAAGTAAGGACACGCCAGTGGGTTTTGATAACCCCTCTAATACTAAGACTTTATAGGTATATAATTCCCGGTCTCGGTGATTTCGGTGACCGCTATTATACCTTATAAGAGCCGTCCCAGACGGCCCACGGCCCCCTCAAAAAGACCGACATAAATCGCATCAACTGTTTTGCCGGAGCAGCGATACTTACCATTGGTGAGGTACGCCCACATTGCAGTGTATCCTATTAGCAGGACATTGGATTTCTGGGAATAGCAGAGCAGGGTGGACGTTCATAGAGTCTTCATATTGTAGGTTGTTTATCTTTTCGGTAAAAACCCCATTAGTCCTCATCAAATTGACCAGTCTGCTCTGCAACACCAACACCCTGACCGCCTGGAGAATAGGGCCGGTTATTAGAACGCATGGTGATGGCATCGCCTTCTTCGTATCTATCCGCGGTGTCCTTGGCAACTGCGTCACAGGCATCAACCCAATCCGAGTATACATCGACAGCAGCGGAGAGGTCTAGAAGCATATGATTAATACTAGCGCGTTCTTATCAGGAGATTCCAGAGCTCACAGTTGATACCCGTCTGGAATCGTTGTCCGCAAACCTTGCAGGACAAATGTCCTAGTCCGAGCTTTTTGTCCAACTTCACAACAATCGAATTCTCGTGGTTGCAAAATAGACATGCGAACGTGCTTGGGAGAGGCTCTCTCTGCTCCTAAAGTCAGCCCCTGTTCGAAATGATATGAAGTTGTCTTCAAACTTGTACTACCTTTTTGGGCTGCTGAGGTTGACGGCTCGACTTCTTACGTTTACCCTATCATTTATAACGCATCAGATACAACTCCGGGATTTATCCAACCTCAAAATTGTATAGGTAGAACAAACAGAGCTAAACATACCATACTGGATGAATGCAGATGGGATATGGCAACGAGGATTGGGAGTCTTGTAAATGTTCCCGGAACTCTTACATTGATTGAATCAGGTTCGGCAAGGTGGTAACTCGGGGTGCAAATGGTGCAAATGGTGCATATACTGCGGGCTGCGGCTCGCAAGCGGGCTGTTTGCACTTTGCAGCTTAGCCCCACCTAACTTTAACAGACCCTAGGTGGGGAGCACGCGAAACAACCAAAGGGAGTATTCGTACTACATACATCCTCAAGAGATTGATTGTGCGTATACGAAAAATTACCCTTTGGTAAGAGTTTGTAGATACATCATTGTTGTTGAGGGAGTGCCACAGCCCTGCTACTAACATTAATGTACAATATACAGGGGGTGGTGAACTTACCACATCAAGGCGTCGAATGTGGATTTAAAAATTTCATAACATCTCGAGGCGAGGGGTCTGGCTTGAGCATCTGAGACAAGACCTTATGCCTCTCAGTTTAGTCTCATAAACAAAATAGTTTCTGTCAGCTGGTGTCTACAAAAATCCAATCACAGCTTGGAAGCAAAGGCCAGAAGGCAAACAGCGCAGGTCGAGCGGTGGGTGTGGGGATCCACGTGACTTACTAAGTCCTCTCCAATAAAGCGATCCTAGGTTTGTGGGTAACATATTACGTAAGGAAGCTATAGGGCCAGTGTCTCGCTTAACCGAACTTTTCTGTGGGATTTTGCCCTCAACTTCTTGTCCGTCGAAACCGCGGCAAGCAGCACGAACCGACTCGACCACTTCCACCTAATTGCGTGGTGTCAACTTCTCGTCTGTCTTCGATTATTGACGGATAGGACCGAGTCGCAATTATGGCTGTTGGAAAGTACGACATTTCGAGCCCAAAGTCATTAGCCTCAAACCCAAACAGCACGTTGCTAACGAACGGCTAGGAACAAGCGCTTGTCGAAGGGCAAGAAGGGTATCAAGAAGAGAACTGTTGATCCCTTCACCAGGAAGGACGAGTACTCTGTGAAGGTAGGCAACCTGATTTCCTGGATCCCGGGTTTTGTTAACAAGGAGCAGGCTCCCTCGACCTTCCAGACCAGAGAGTGAGTTGGGTTCTAGCTGAAAATTCTTCGTGATGATCGTGGGAAAGGAACTAACTCGTCTTCGGAAAGCGTCGGGAAGACTCTCGTCAACCGCACTAGCGGTCTTAAGAATGCGAACGATTCTTTGAAAGGCCGCATCTTCGAAGTCTCTCTCGCGGACCTCCAAAACGACGAAGATCATGCCTTCCGCAAGGTCAAGCTCCGCGTTGACGAAATCCAAGGAAAGAATTGTCTCACCAACTTTCACGGTCTTGACTTCACTACCGACAAGCTACGATCCCTTGTTCGCAAATGGCAGTCACTTATTGAGGCCAACGTCACCGTGAAGACAACCGATGACTATCTTCTACGCCTATTCGCGATCGCTTTCACCAAGAGACGTCCCAACCAGATCAAGAAGACCACATACGCTCGTTCCTCCCAGATTCGCGCTATCAGGAAAAAGATGACCGAAATTATGCAACGGGAGGCCTCGAGCTGTTCTCTTTCCCAGCTTACGACGAAGCTCATCCCTGAGGTTATTGGCCGCGAAATCGAGAAGGCAACACAGGGAATCTATCCCCTCCAGCATGTACGTCTTGTGGCGATAAAATCGTAGAGATTGCAGCTAATCAGTATACAGGTCCATATCCGCAAGGTTAAACTTCTTAAGGCGCCCAAGTTTGATCTCGGTGCATTGCTCAACCTACATGGCGAGTCAACCACCGATGACAAAGGCCAAAAGGTGGAGAGGGAGTTCAAGGAACAGGTGTTGGAGACCGTTTAAGATTCTACAATCTGCAAGTTCCTGGGCTCTTCTTTGTTGTAGGGTCGTGGCAATTTTTCTAGATTGTTCCGCTGTGAAAATAACCAAAATCAATGTCAACGTGAATGATACTTTCTCCTATATTCGTACCTCTTAATTTGTCGCATGTCTATTCGGACTTGTAGGGCTACTTCCTTTGCCTTTGTGTCAATTTAAATTATAGGAAAAAAATGTTAGGGACAGTTGAAGGATGTTCTATAGTCTATTGTTGGTGATGATTTGATCTGTGGAAGTATGGTTAGCTGATTGTTAGTTGAAATACGGTCTTTAATAAGATAGAGCATGTGGTCAATAACCAGTATTGCAGAGTCCATAGACTGGCATTATTTACTGAGAATACTGCTACAGTGCTACTATTATTTATTCTGTTTACTTAGTATGTCACACCTGCCAAGACTGTGACACGTGACTCACTGTCTACTCCGGTTGACCCCGGTGGTTTTATTAGTATAGTGGGTCCTACTAGAATTATAATCCTTTAAATTCTGCTAGTATTAAAATTAAAGCTACTTCTAAGTAAGTTAATTAGTATTTTATATAGTTATTTTCTATATCTATTATTATCTAATATCTTACCTATATAAATTTAATAAAGTTTTTTAAAAAGTTCTTTAGTATTATATTTATAAAGCTTATATAATCTCTTATAAAATATTATAAGAAAGATTATTATTATAAGAATATTATTTTTAAATCTAGTTTTTTATTCAGTTTTATATTATTTTAATTAGATTAAGATCTAGTAAGAAAATAGATTATAAAATAAAATAAATTTTATAATTTATAGGAATGAAGTTGTTTGGAAAGATGATTGATTAATTGAAGCGGACAGCTAGGTAGAAATAGCAGGTCTAGAATAACTAACTAACTATTAGCTAAACTAAATTAGTACTAGCTCAAGTTAAGTAAAGTAAGGTAATAATAGATATACTATAATAGTAAAATAATAAAAGATAAATATTACTATAGATATAGAGATTTTTAAGAATATAATAATTTTATTAATTATATAATAATAGAATTAAATATAATAAAATAGATTTAGAAATAGCCTGATAAGCTTTTTTACTATAATTAAATATATATAGTAATTAAATAATAGAAATAAAATAGTAAAGACTTAGAACTAAATTTAATAAATAAATAAATAAAGTATTAAATATTATAATTAGAATTAGAATTATAAAATAATTTAAATTTAATAATAGTTTTTTTAGTATTAATAAAATTCTTTTTTTAAATTTATTAATTATATTTAGAGCTATAGCCTAATTATTAAATATAATATTTAATAAAGAAAATATATTTTAACTATATAAATAAATTTAATAATTAAATATATATTTAATTTTATAATAATTAAGATTTTTAAGAAAATAAATATTAAAAACAATAAAATATTTTACTTGCTTAGATTTATATAAATTAAGATTTATAGATATAGGTTTAAATAATTAAAATAATTAAATATATATTTTATAAATTAAATAAGTTAGATAGTTTATATCTAAAATATCTAATATAATAAATAATTATAAAGAATCTAGTATAATAAAATTCTAGTTTTAAAATAATATTAATAATAATAAATAAATTATATTTTTTATATAAATAAAGATATATTTAACTTTCAGGTTTAAATAAAATAAATATATAATAATAATTATAAATTTATTTTATTTAGATATAAGTAAATTTATATATTTTTTAATATTAAAATAAAAACTAAAATCCTATTTAAAAAAATAATAAAATATATACTAGAAAATATATAAATTAAGATTAAATAATAGATAATAAAATATTTTATTAATTATAATACTATAAAAACTATTAATTATAATGATTATACTAGATAAAAAACTTAATTATATATAATAATTAAATATATAGTTATAATAAAATATTATTTTAATAACTTAAATAATTTATTTAAATTAATTATTTATTTAAAAATAATATATAGTTATATAATACTAGATTATGCTAGTAGTCTTATATATAACTTTCTAGAATTTAAAGATAAAGATTTAATCTTAATTAAAAATAATATAATAAGATATTCTCTAATTATAAAATTATAGATATTATATAATTAATATATTGTATTATTTAATATTAAAGATAATTTAACTAGAAAATAAGCTAATATATTTTATAAATTTATTAATAATAATAAATAGAGTATTAAATCTAGCTTTATTTTTATATATAATATAAGAAATACTATTAATATTATAGATATTTAGAGATAAAATAACTATAAAATCTATAATAATTATATTAAATAGTATAGAAATAATATTAATTAATTAGAGATTATTATAAAGCTTATATTTTTATTTAATATTAATATTATAAAATAAATAATATAGAATATATTTTTTTAAAAGTTTTTAATTTTTATAAATAATAAGATCTTTTATATTTTATATATATTTTTTAAAGTCTTAGTAATTATATTAATTATAAATCTTTTTAAAAACTTTATAAGTTATAAAATAAAGAATATAAATCTAAGATTTAATAATAATAATAATATTATCTTTAGAGTTATTAATAATAATAATATTATCTTTAGAGTTATTAATAATATTTTAGTATTTTATATATAATAAATTATTTTTAATTATATAGAGAAGTTTAGTATTAATACTATTCTTATAATATTAAAAATTAATAAAATATAATAATTATTTAGATATTTATTTTTTAAATACTCTTTAAACTTATTAGTAAATTTAATAATTATAAAAATATAATATATTTAAATATATAAATTATTAAAATCTAAAGATTATATATTAATAATATATTTTACTATAGTTAAAAATTTTAAAAATAATTATAATAAAATATTAGAAATAATATTAGCTCTTCTAGACTTATAATAAATAATAAATTTAAATTATTATAGATATTAACTAGTATAAACTAATTAATAATTAAGATTTTTAATAATAATAAATTAAAATAATAATTATTTTAAAATATTAATAATTAATAAATAATTAGTATAGATAATAATAAAATATTTTAATAATTTAATATAATAGTAAACTCTATAAATAATTTATATAAAATAAAAGACTTTAAATTTAATTACTTAATAATTATATTTAGTACTAATAAGTAAATAACTTAGGAATAGAATAGATAAAATCTTTATTTATATAAAAGAGATAGAATAATTAGTATATTTATTTTTAATATAATAAACTATAACTCTATATATAATATAAAAAGTATTAATATATTAATAAAGTTACTTTTTAGGGTTAAAATATATAAGAAACTAGAGATTTTAGAACTTATTCTATAAATTAAAAAATAATAATAATTTAATAATAATAGATTTAGTAATAATAGTATACTTTATATATTTTTAATAAATATAATCTTTTAATAAGCTATTTTTTAAAAGCTTAATTTTATATAATTATAGAGATTTACTTTATATAATATAATATTTAATTTAATAATAGAACTAGCTAGTTAATTTAAAGTAATATTTAAGATTTTATAGAGTAATAGAAAATTTTAATAATAAAATAACTTTAATTTTTTTAATAAATATAGTAAAATTAAAAATATTAACTTATTATCTAAATAATTAAATAAATAGAAATCTAATAAATATTTTTATAAATTTAATCTTAATATTTAAATCTTATAAATATTAGAATATAAAACTTAAATAGTAGAGATATTTATTAAATTTATTAGAGATAATAATTATATTATTAATATAAATTTAATAAAAAGCTTTAAATTTTATTAAATTTAAATCTATCTAGTATTAGATATAAGATATAAAATTAATAAAGCTTATAATAATAATATTAAAGATTTTTTAATTATAATAATTAATAATTATAAATTATTTTTAATAATCTTAATAAAGTAGTTATTAGTAGAAGAATTTATAAATATTAATAATAATAATAATATATTAATAATTATAATCTAGTTTTATAATTTTTTATTAAGCTAGTATTAAATATTAATTAGATTTAGCTTTTTTATTTATATTATATAAATTAATAATAATATAATCTTTTTCTTTATTCTTTTAAGTTTAGTAATTATATATAATATACTAGATAATAAATATAGAATAGCTAGAAGATATATAAATAATAATAAATTTAAGCTTGCTAGCTTTATATAAAAAATCTAAGATTTTATTAATTATAGCTTAGTCTTTTAGAGATATATAATATATTTTAGATTTAAATATATAATATTTCTAGTCTTTTTTAAATAGTACTTCTATTTATTAAAATTTAAGAGTATAAATAATAGAATTAATATTTATATTAATACTCTAGATATTATAATAAAATATAAATTTAGTAAAGTAAGAAATAGCTTTAAAATATTTAATATAGATAATAATTTTATTAAATAGAATATAGATATATTTTAATAATATATTATTTTTATTAAGTAGTTTAATAATATTCTAATAGATTTTAGTAGATAGTTAATATTTAATAAAAATATAATAAATATTAATAAATAATTATTTAATATATTAGTAGTATAAATAATTATTACTAGTCTTTAAAGTAGTATAAATAATATTAAAATCAGATTTTTTTACTATAATTAAAAATTATTAAAAAATAACTAGATATACTAGAACTAATTTTATAACTTTAGATTTAACTAAAAATATAATATAAATTTAGGATTATTAATAATATCTAGATAATAATAATTAAATAAAATAATAGTTTTAAAGATTAAGTTAAAAGTTTTAATAAAAAATATATTATTATTAACTAGATAAATATAGATATAAAAATTTAATTTTATTAATTTTTTTAATTTAAAAATTAGATCTCTATCAGACAGGATAATAAATTTTATAAATATAAAAATTTTAATCTTTATATAAAAAAATATTTTAATTTTTTTAATTAAATAGATTTTAATTAGCTTTATATAGTTATTAATCTTATAATATATAAGAATAGTTATACTCTAATATAAATAAATAATAGTAAATTAATAACTAAGATTAATAATTATATTTTTTTAATCTATAATTTTAGTATTAATAAGAAGTTTAGTAGTAATATTAACTAGATAAACTAAGATAGTAATATATTTAAAAATAGATATAATATTAGTATCTAGAAAGAAAAAAAAGTATAAATAAAATTTTATATATATATTAAATATATAATTTAATCTAATACTATTAATACTAATAGTTTTATTAGCTTTTATAATTTTTATAATTTTAATATTTAGAATATTTTATAGAAAATTAGTATTATTAATTAACTAGAAATAATTTATAT